TCGAGGACAGCTCAAAGCCTTGGGACTTGGCACCCACGTGGGAGACCAAGAACCTTCTAGTTCCTGGCGCCTAGCTTTGGATCAGCTCAATTCTAGCCATTCATCGTGGCCACTTGGGGAGTGAAGCGACAGGCAGAAGATATTTCTCTCTGTCTCTCCTCCTCTCTGTATATCTGCTTTTCCAATAAAAATAAATAAATCTTAAAAAAAAAAAGCTAGGGGCCCGGCGCGGTGGCACAAGTGGTTAAAGGTCCTCGCCTTGCACGCCCGGGATCCCATATGGGCGCCGGTTCTAATCCCGGCAGCCCTGCTTCCCTTCCAGCTCCCTGCCTGTGGCCTGGGAAAGCAGTCGAGGACGGCCCAAAGCTTTGGGAACCTGCACCCGCGTGGGAGACCCGGAAGAGGCTCCTGGCTTCGGATCGGCATAGTATCGGCCCGTTGCGCTCACTTGGGGAGTGAATCATCGGACGGAAGATCTTCCTCTCTGTCTCTCCTCTCTGTATATCCGCCTTTCCAATGAAAAAATAATAAAAATAAAAATCTAAAAAAAAAAAAAAAAAAAAAAAGCTAGACTTTAAGATCTAGAAGACAAAGATGTCCTTTCCAGCCCTTTCATTCAACACAGTATCAGAAGTCTTTTGACAGAAAATTAGGCGCGAACAAAAGGCATCCAGTTAGGAAACGAGGAATTCAAATTGTGAATGTGTGTAGAGGACATGATTTTTTTTTTAAAAGATTTATTTTTATTTTTTTTTATTGGAAAGGCGGATATACAGAGAGGAGAGACAGAGAGGAAGATCTTCCGTCCGATGATTCACTCCCCAAGTGAGCGCAACGGGCCGATACTATGCCGATCCAAAGCCAGGAGCCTCTTCTGGGTCTCCCACGCGGGTGCAGGTTCCCAAAGCTTTGGGCCGTCCTCCACTGCTTTCTCAGGCCACAGGCAGGGAGCTGGAAGGGAAGCGGGGCTGCTGGGATTAGAACCGGCGCCCATATGGGATCCCAGGCGTGCAAGGTGAGGACCTTTAACCACTTGCGCCACCGCGCCGGGCCCGAGGACATGATTTTATAGAACAAAATTCCAAAGACTTCACCCAAAAGAGTATCAGGCAGCTGACACTGTAGGCAAAGAAGTAGTACTACCCCCTTGGGACACTGGCAGTGCGTGTCGGGGCGCTGGCTCTAGTCCCTGGCTGCTCAGCTCCTGATGCAGCTCCTTGCTGAGGTAGCTGAAAAGCAGGGGATGGCCTGCACGCCTGCGCCCTTGCCGCCTAGGGGAGAGCAAGGTGGGCGTCCGGGCTCCTGGTTTTACCTCTAAATAGCCCTGGCCATTCTGGCCATTTCAAGAGTGAACCAACGGAGGGAGCATCCATCCCTCTATCTCTTGGTCACTCTGTTTATCAAACAGAGAAATCAATATTTTAAAAAAACATTTGAATACATGAATTCAGGAAAATTGTAAGATATAAAGTCAACATGTAACTATTGTTCCATACCAGTAGTGAATTATCTAAGAAAATCAATCAAGAAAGCAATCCTTGCTAAAATAGCTATAAAAATAAGTAAAGGGGCCCAGCGTGCTAGCGTAGTGGTTGAAGTCCTCGCCTTGCATGTGCCAGGATCCCATATGGGCGCCGGTTCTAATCCCGGTAGCCCCGGTTCCCATCTAGCTCCCTGCCTGTGGCCTGGGAAAGCAGTTGAGGACGGCCCGAAGCCTTGGGACTCTGCACCCGCGTGGGAGACCTGGAGGAAGTTCCTGGCTCCTGGCTTTGGACTGGCTCAGCTCCAGCAGTTTCAGCCACTTGGGGAGTGAATCATCAAACAGAAGATTTTCCTCTCTCTGTCTCCTCCTCTTTCTATATCTGACTTTGCAATAAAAATACATAAATCTTAAAAAAAATAACTAAAATATGTAGGAACAAATTTAACCCAACAGGTAAGAGCTGTACAATGATAACTAATACACTCACTGAAGAAACAAGAGTACACTAAAAAATGGAAAGGCATCCCACACATTAATGGACTGGAGAATAGCTGTTACAATATCCATCTTACTAGAGCACAGGTTCTCAGTTTAACACACCGTTCTGCTGCGTCACATTGATAGCGTCGCTGGGTGTAAATAACTGCACATTAGAATTCGACTTTTGCTCAACTTCATTGTGAACTTGAAAATATTGTGAAAACTAGCCTTTTTCTTTTTTAAAAAAAAAGATTTATTTTTATTATTTTTTTTATTGGAAAGGCGGATATACAGAGAAGAGAGACTGAGAGGAAGATCTTCCGTCCGATGATTCACTCCCCAAGTGAGTGCAACGGCCGATGCTATGCCGATCTCAAGCCAGGAGCCTCTTCTGGGTCTCCCACGCGGGTGCAGGGTCCCAAAGCTTTGGGCCGTCCTCGACTGCTTTCCCGGGCCACAGGCAGGGAGCTGGAAGGGAAGCGGGGCTGCCGGGATTAGAACCAGCGCCCATATGGGATCCTGGGCGTGCAAGGCGAGGACCTTAACCACTGTGCCACCGCACCGGGCCCAACTAGCCATTTTCAACACCAGTTATAATCGATTAAATACTGCATGGCATCTCAGATGATGCCTTGGCAAATGACTCGTCCTTTTGTTATTTTTAGAACTTATTTAAATAAAATTGGACCTTTTGGGACTCACTTTCTTCATAAATGAGTGTCTATGATCTTAAATCCTAGGTTAAAGAAAACGGTTATCTCCAACTTGCAGATATGGTGTCTCTTAACCCAGCAATAAAGCCTCAATTTTAGCTTAAAAAGAGGCAATACAATTTCAGAAAAGGCAAGTCATTTCCCACCCCTCCTGATGCAAGTCATCAGGGGACAACTGGTACTTAACCTCTTAAAAACTTGGCAGGCTCCGGCGCGGTGGCGCAAGTGGTTAAAGGTCCTCGCCTTGCACGCCCGGGATCCCATATGGGCGCCGGTTCTATCCTGGCAGCCCCACTTCCCTTCCAGCTCCCTGCATGTGGCCTGGGAAAAGCAGTCGAGGACAGCCCAACGCTTTGGGAACCTGCACCTGCATGGGAGACCCGGAAGAGGCTCCTGGCTTCGGATCGGCATAGCATCGGCCCGTTGCGCTCACTTGGGGAGTGAATCATCGGACGGAAGATCTTCCTCACTGTCTCTCCTCTCTGTATATCCGCCTTTCCAATAAAAAAATAATAAAAATAAATTAAAAAAAAAAAAAAACCTTGGCAGGCTGCTAATCCTATCACGACAGGCATTGTTGTCATTGCGGGCCAGGACCCAACCTACACATGCCTATAGGGGATGAATATCTTCCCTTATCTTCACTCATCCTTTCACTTACGGAATGTGTTCCCCTCCTAAATAAGAACATTCTTTGGGCCTGGCTCGACGGCTCCATTGGCCAATCCTCCCTCTGCAAGCGCCAGCATCCCACATGAGCATTGGGTCACTTCCGGCTGCTCCACGTTCCTGCTTCTGACCTAGTAAAGCCGTGGAAGCTGACCCAAAGCCTTGGGACCCAACACACAAAGCAAGACCTGGAAGAAAACTCCGGTCTCCTAGCTTCAGATCAGCTCTGTTCCAGCCACCGTGGCCATGTGGGAGTGAACCAGCGGAAGAGCTCTCTTAAATCTGCCTTTCCAATAGAAAAATATATTAAAAAAAGAGTAATGTTCCTTTACGTTTACGGCTTTGATTGTGAATGAGAATCTTACGGTTCGGGTCTCACTCGCCAAGCCCTGGCTCTATTTTCTCCTTTGAGGACTCTGTTGTAAATACTCCAACTCCACCATTTTCTGCTGTCACTCTCCACCCCTTAACGTTTCTACAAACACAACCTTCCAGTTTTCTGGCATTTCCTTTGCGTTCCGCTTCTCTTCAAAGGTTTGCAACCATGACTTCTAGACGCTTTCTTTTAACCTCCTCGCTCCTGCTTCCACTTTACATTAAAGACTGCGGAGCCTGGACGCGTGGGATTCCTGCACTCAGCGACTCGCAGGACCTGCCCAAGCCCACCGCCCGTGCGCCTAAGACCCGGTCTGGGATGAAAGACTGTGCTTCACACATAAACAATTCTTCAAGTTTCCTTAATTCTCTGAGTTCCCACGGCTGCCAGCCCAGCACTGCTGTACCGAGGAGCCCGCAGGGAACAGGGCTGCCTCTCGGTCCCTCAGCCCCGCCGCTCGCCGGGGAGCTGCCTGGGGCTCGGGGCAGCAGGATGTCGTGCACGGGCTCAGCCGAGCGGGGAGCCGCCCGTCACCGTCCCCGCCCCCGGCCCCGATCCCTCGGCCCGTCGGCTCCTCAGCCCCTCAGCCCCGCCACCCCCGGCCCCGATCCCTCGGCCCCTCAGCCTCTCAGCCCCGCCACCCCCGGCCCCGATCCCTCGGCCCGTCGGCTCCTCAGCCCCTCAGCCCCGCCGCCCCCGGCCCCGATCCCTCGGCCCGTCGGCTCCTCAGCCCCTCAGCCCCGCCGCCCCCGGCCCCGATCCCTCGGCCCGTCGGCTCCTCAGCCCCTCAGCCCCGCCGCCCCCGGCCCCGATCCCTCGGCCCGTCGGCTCCTCAGCCCCTCAGCCCCGCCGCCCCCGGCCCCGATCCCTCGGCCCGTCGGCTCCTCAGCCCCTCAGCCCCGCCGCCCCCGGCCCCGATCCCTCGGCCCGTCGGCTCCTCAGCCCCGCCGCCCCCGGCCCCGATCCCTCGGCCCCTCAGCCTCTCAGCCCCGCCGCCCCCGGCCCCGATCCCTCGGCCCCTCAGCCTCTCAGCCCCGCCCCCCCCCGGCCCCGACCCCTCGGCCCCTCAGCCTCTCAGCCTCGCCGCCCGCTGCCGAGCGGCCCGTCGGCGAAGACGCGCTCGCGGCCTCGCGGGGCATGACGGGCCGGGGGCGGGCCGGGGGCGGGCCGGGGGCGGGCCGGGGGCGGGCCGGGGGCGGGCCGGGGGCGGGCCGGGGGCGGGCCGGGGGCGGGCCGGGGGCGGGCCGACGCGTCTCTGTGCGTCTCTGCGCGTCGGGCGCGGGGTCCCGGCGGGCTTTGGGCCGCGCGCCGCGGCCTCTCGCGAGGCGGGAGGGGCACCCGGCGGCGGCGCGGGCGGGCGGCAGCCATGTTTGTGGCGCGCAGTATCGCGGCGGACCACAAGGACCTCATCCATGATGTCTCTTTCGACTTCCACGGCCGGCGGATGGCCACCTGCTCCAGCGACCAGAGCGTCAAGGTGCGCGCGGCTCCCTGGGCTCGGGGTCGAGCCTCGAGGAGCGGCCGTGGAAGGGACGCCGCAGTGGCGGCGGCAGCAGCGGCAGCAGGCCTCCATCGCTGGCATCCTCCATCGCCGCCATCCCGGCGGCAGAGCCCCCATCACGAGGCCTGGGTCACAAGGGGAGGTGGCGGGCGGGTCCCCCCGCGTCCGCCGCGGGATTGTGGGGTCGCGGGGGCGTCAGGCCGCGTGCGCGCTCCGCCTCCGCCCGTGCGTGTGCCCCGACGGCTGCAGTTTAGGGGTGCGGCTGGGGTCGGGGTGCTCGGGGGTGGCCCGCGCCCTCGGTGTGCCATAGTTTCTCACCATCCTCCCAAGAAGTGCGCTCATCACTGCCTGGGAGGGTCGAGTGGTTCTTACGGGCTCCTGATAAGCAGCGTGTCCATACTAGGATCGCGTTTGTGATTTAGGGATTTCAGAGGTGCGGGCTGAATGGCTGCAGACTTGAAGATGAAAGCTGCAGTCTGGATTCTGTACATTCTTGAGAAGTTCAAAATACCTGAGAATTTGAGGGGTACTTTGTCCTTTTCGATAATTCAGATTTGATACCAGTGATCATGAAAAAGCAGTGACTGTAAAAGAATAACCATACTGCTCACATTCGTAGAAGAATTGGTGTCAACGTGAAAAATATTCCTCCTTGGTTAACTACATACATAACCATTTTTAAGTTAAATGTAATGTTTACATTGTAAATTTTTTAAATTGACATTTACTTCTTTACTTGAAAGAGTGACACAGAGAGGTCTTCCACCTGCTGGCTCACTCCCCAAGTGGCTGACCCACCAGGGTCAGGCCAGGGAGGCCAGGATTTGGAATCCCATGCTGGTCTCCCATGCCTGGCACACTAGCCGGGACCTGCATGGAAGTGGGGCAGTGTGTCTCACCCGCGCCACCACTGCAGGTGGCAGCTTGCCCTGCCAGGCCGCCATGCCAGCCCCTGTTACAGAGCTTAATGGTGCGTGGAAACTACCCAGGAACCTACTGCTTTCTGTGAGTGGCCTGTTCTGTCTGTGTATGCGTTTGCCTATTCTAGGCGTTGGATTTATTTCACTTGGCATGACGCATAGCGTATTTCAGAAATGTATTTTTTTTTGAAAAACGAATAGTATTTTGTTGTAGGGGCTTGATTGCGTTTTGCTCATGTTTTCATCCATTTCCCATTGTGGCTGTTACGTGTAGGGTGGCTGCAAACACTGATGTACAAATACCTGTTTGAGTGCCCACTTTTCTTTCTTTCTTTTTTTAAGTTCTATTATTGTTTTTAAGATTTATTTTTATTTTTATTACAAAGTCAGTTATACAGAGAGAAGGAGAGACAGAGAAGATCTTTGGTCCAATGTTTCACTCCCCAAGTGACCACAACGGCTGGTCCTGCGCTGATCCAAAGCCGGGAGCCAGGAACCTCCTCCAGGTCTCCCACGCAGGTGCAGGGTCCCAAGGGTTTGGACCAGGCCACAAGCAGGGAGCTGGACGGGAAGCGGGGCTGCTGGGATTAGAACTGGCGCCCATATGGGATGCCGATGCGTTCAAGGTGAGGACTTCAGCCACTAGGCCACGCCGCCGGGCCTAAGTCCCCACTTTTCCATTGCCATCTGAGCTAGCCATACAGTGGATATTTTAAGCAGTCTAGATACATTGATTATATATGTGTTGAATTTATACTCTGTGTGACAGCATCAGGTGAGGTGTGCTGACTTAGAAGTTCTATATTTTCAGTTCATTCATTGTGTAGTATTGAGCCTCTCTCTGCTTCTTCCTGACTACTCTTTCGAAATTTTTACTTGTAAATGAGTTTATCCATTGCATGTAGTTATACATGTATGGATGTGCACATACATTTGTACACATGCTTTAAAAATTTATTTTACTATTTTTTTAAGATTTATTTATTTTTATTGGATAGGCAGGTATACAGAGGAGAGACAGAGAGGAAAATCTTTGTGCTGGTTCACTCCCCAAGTGACTGCAGTGGCTGGAGCTGAGCCAATCCAAAGCCAGGAGCTAGGAGCTTCTGGGTTTCTCGCACAGGCGCAGGGTCCCAAAGCCCCGGGCTGTCCATGACTGCCTCCCTAGGCCACAAGCAGGGAGCTGGATGGAAAGCGGGGCCACCGGCATTAGAACCAGGGCCCATATGGGATCCTTGTGCATCCAAGGCAGGGACCATTGCCATAATGCTATTGCACCGGGCCCCACATACTTTTTAAAATTTGTATGTTATAAACTTTTGTACCTTTTTAAAGGAAGAATTACAGGCTCATTTCTAATGAATACCACTAATTCATAATATTTGTTAATTTTCACTATTCTTTTGGAATTTAATTGTAATGATCATACACACGCACCTGTTAAGAGAACATAGCCATCATGAATAATGAGACTTGACCATAGCTGTCATTTTCTTTGTAAGCTGAACTCGGGCCCCTGGTTCTTCAGTGCTTTGTATGATGTCTGGGCACATTTTGAGTTCTCAATAAATGCTTTTAAGAATTTCAGTAACTGGGCCCGGCGGTGTGGCCTAGCAGCTTAAGTCCTCGGCTTCAAAGCCGGGATCTCATATGGGCGCCGGTTCTAATCCTGGCCAGCTCCACTTCCCATCCAGCTCCCTGCTTGTGGCCTGGGAAAGCAGTCGAGGACGGCCCAAAGCCTCGGGACCCTGCACCTGCATAGGAGACCTGGAGGAGGTTCCTGGCTCTTGGCTCCTGGCTCCGGATCCGCATAGCACCGGCTGTTGGGCTCACTTGGGGAGTGAATCATCGGACAAAAGATGTTCCTCTCTGTTTCTCCTCCTCTCTGTATATCTGACTTTGTAATAAAAAAAAAAAAAGAATTTCAGTAACTTATTTGGGAGGCAGAGAGAAAACATGCGGAAAGACACAGAGGTAGAGCTTCCATCTGGTTCTCACTCCATGTCTGTCTGTTGTCTGAGTTGGGCAGGCCGAAGCTGCGAGCCCTGTTTTGGTGTTCCCTGGGAGGGCAGGAGCCCGGCTTGAGCTGTCATCACGCATTTACAAGGTCTGCATTAGCAGGTGGCTAGAGTTCAGTTAGAGGCAAGAATGGAACTCAGGTACACCGGTGAGTGGGAAGCAATTGTCATAGCCAGCGTCTTCATCATTGGGCCAAATATCTGCCCCTTAGAAAGGTTTAATTGAGGGCAGCACTATGCCTTAGTAGGTTGACGTCTTGGCCTGAAGTGCCGGCATTCTACGTGGGTGCCAGTTTGAGTCCTGGCTACTGCATTTCTCATCTAGATCCTGCTAATGCGCCTGGGAAAGCAGTGGAGGATGGCCTAAAGCCTTGGGCCCCTTCATCTGCGTAGGAGACCTTGAAGAATCTCCAGGCTTTGGTCCAGCCCAGTTCCAGCCCTTGCATCCATTTGGGGAGTGAACCAGTGGATGGAAGGTCTCTGTCTCTCCCTACCTCTCTCTTTGTAAATCTGTCTCTTTCTCCTTTCTGTGTAATGTTGCCTTTCCAATCAAAATAAAGGTTTAAAAATTGGATCAAAAGAGTTTTTGTTATCTTCTGTGATTTTGATCTTTATTTTGCTCATAAACCCAGTCAGTTGAATAAGAATTTCTATCAAGTGATGGAGATGTTTTTAATGTAAAATACCTGCTTTTTGTTTTCTTACAGGTCTGGGATAAAAGTGAAAGTGGGGAATGGCATTGCACTGCAAGTTGGAAGGTTAGTATTTGCCTATACAATGATTTAAAAAAATATTTGTTTGTTTTTATTGGAAAGACATGTACAAAAGAAAGAGAGACATGTCTTTCATCTGCTGATTCATTGCCCAAGTGACCACAGTGGCCACACCTGAGCCACTCCAAAGGCAAGAGCCAGGAATTTCTCCTGGGCCTCCGAAGTGGGTGCAGGGTCCTACTGCTTTCCCAGGCCACCAGGAGAGCTGGATGGAATGTGGAGCAGCTAGGGCATGAACCAGTGCCCATATGGATTCCCAGCGCTTGAAGGGGGAAGATTAACCAATTGAGCCATTGTGCTGGGTGCTACAATTATGTGTGTGTGTGTGTGTGTGTGTATTTTTTTTTTTTTTTTTGGAAAGTCAGATATACAGAGAAGAGACAGAAAGATCTTCCGTCTGCTGGCCCATTCCCCACGTGCCTCAGCGGCTGAAACTGAGCCACTCTGAAGGCAGGAGCTATGGTCCCGAGGCCTTGGGCTGTCCTCTGCTGCTTTCCCAGGCCATAAGTAGGGAGCTGGAGGGGAAGTGGAGCAGCCATAATACAAACTGGCACCCATATGCGTTCCTGGTGCGTACAAGGCGAGGGCTAAGCTACCATGCTGGAACCCTAGCAGTGATATTTGTGAACTAAAACTTCTGTTGTTTATTTGGTGATGGTTACCTTTGAGGAAATTATACAGTTTGTGCTCTGAAAAGGTTCTAGAAAGATATTTTAGGTGTTTTTGTTTGTTTTCGTGGTACTAGGAAAGGAGTGGCAGAGAGACCTTTCATTTGCTGGTTCACTTTCCCAGGTCTCTCAGATGGATGGCCAGGGCTCAGATACTTGGGCCATCCTCTGCACTTTTCCCAGGCCATGAGGAGGGAGCTGGCTGGGAGTGGGGCAGCCAGAACCTGAACCAGTGCCCATACATGATGCTGGCATTGCAGGTGGTGGCTTAAGTCACTACACTACCATGCTGGCCTCTATATTTCTTCTTAAAATAACAGATACATTTTGGCAATTCTGTTGCCTAAATAAATATTTTAGCGTATTTTTTTACATTTTTCCATTGCATATGTTTAAGATTTATGTATTTTTAAAGGCAGAGTGACTGAGAGGTGGAAATTTAAACACACACATGCGCGCACACACCCCCTCTTGCCATTTGCTGGTTCATTCCCCAAATGGCCACAACAACCAGGTTATGGCCAGACCAGAGCCAGGAAGTCTGTCTCCTGGCTGTTGGGCCCATTTGGGCTGTTTTCCATGAGCCCTTCAGGCATATCAGCAGGGAGCTGTTTGGGAAGCAGAGGGTAGGGTTTAACTTTTAGCACTGCAAATAGTTGACTTTATCCTATTAGTAAACAGAAAAATTTTACTCCAGAAGGCCCCAATACTAAATATAAAGTCTTCTCAAGGTTGAAAAATTTCAGAATTGAACTTTTTCTTTAAATGTTTGATTAACTTTTTCCCTGTTGCTAAAGTCAAAATACCTGTCTCTGTTTTCTCCGATAAAACCTTGTAGAGTGTGAAATGTGAATTAGCTCAGTGCTTGGTTTGGAGTGGAGGTCGGCAGGAAGCAAAGCCCTGGGACACTGATGACCTGTTTGTCTTCTTCTTAAACTGCAGACACATAGCGGATCTGTGTGGCGGGTGACCTGGGCCCATCCTGAGTTTGGGCAGGTGTTGGCTTCCTGTTCTTTTGACCGAACAGCTGCTGTTTGGGAGGAAATAGTAGGAGAGTCAAATGATAAGCTGCGAGGACAGAGTCACTGGGTAAGCCGCTTGTTAACATTCCTGGGGGGGGGGGAGTGTGGAGGGGACCTGCGCATCAGTCATCTCAATTCAGTGCTGCCACTCCCCTCTGGATTTACCACTTCCCCTTTTCTGTCTCCCATGTTGGTCTTCTACTTGAGAGAGAGAGAAGCAGACTCAGCAGCAGACAGATCTTCTGTGTGCTGGTTCAGTCCCACATGCCCGCAGCAGCTGGTTCGGCCAGGTAGATGACAGGAGCCCAGTTGACCATGAAGGGAAGAGCTTTTGTAGACTGTTCTTTTCCATTGTTCTATTAAGATCTTCATGTCCATGCAGCTATTTTAATTACTGAACTTTGTGTTTTTATTTTTATTTTTTTTTTTTTTGAAGATTTGTATGTTTTTGTTGCAAAGTCAGATATATAGAGAGGAGGAGAGCCAGAGAAGAATATCTTCCATCCGCTGATTCACTCCCCAAGTAGCTGCAATGCCTGGAGCTGAGGCCATCCAAAGAAAGGAACCCAGAGCTGCTTCTGGGTCTCCCATGTGGGTGCAGGTTCCTAAGGCTTGGGGCCATCCTCGACTGCTTTCCCAGGCCACAAGCACGGAGTTAGAAGGGAAGTGGGGGTGTTGGGACATGTATCGGCACCCATATAGGATCCTGGAGTGTGCAAGGCGAGGACTTTAGCCACTAGGCTACCGTGCCAGGCTTGACAGATCAGATTTTTACGGAGATAAGGTGGGTGGAGAGAAAGATCTGTCCCTTGGTTCACTCCCCAAATGGCTGTGATGGCTGGAGCTGAAGCGATCCAGAGCCAGAGGCTTCTATGTTTCCCACGTGGGTGCAGGATCCCAAGGCTTTGGGCCATTGTCTCCTGTCTTTCCAGGCCATTAGCAGGGAATGGAATAGCCGGGACCTGAACTGGTGCCCATGTGGGATCCCAGTGCTTGCAAGGTGAGGCTTGAGCCATTGCACTGGGCCCAGTTTTCGTACTGTTTCACGATGAACAGCTTCATACAGCGAGGAAAAAGGGAAAAATTTAGATTTAGTAGGGATGTTCTGGTGGCATTGTTACTTGTGAGATTCTCTGTCCTTTCCACTCTGCTGTGCTTGCTTTTCGTATGTGATTAAGTTGCTCACTTTGTTTTTCCAGGTTAAGAGGACAACTCTGGTGGATAGCAGAACGTCTGTTACCGACGTGAAGTTCGCCCCCAAGCACATGGGTCTCATGTTAGCCACTTGTTCAGCAGACGGGATAGTGAGGATCTATGAGGCCCCGGATGTGATGAATCTCAGCCAGTGGTCCCTGCAGCATGAGATCTCGTGCAAGCTGAGCTGCAGCTGCATTTCCTGGAATCCATCAAGGTAAGTTTTTGGTATCAAACCTCGGAAAATAATGATTCTTAGAAAGCAAGTTAGTTTTGTTGTTATTGTTTTTAAGGTTTATGCATTTGAAAAAGAGAGGGACAGGGATAGATCTTCCGTCCGTTGGTTCACTCCCTGGATGGCTGCAATGCCCAGTGCTGGGCAAGGCTGAAGCCAGGAGCCGGGAAGGCTTTTTTCTAGGTATCCCAAATGTATGTAGAGGCCCAAGCACTTGAACTAGCTTCTGTTGCTTTTCCCAAGCTATTAGCAGTGAGTTGATTGGAAGTGGAGCAGCCATGCCTCGAACTGGTGCCCATGTGGGAAACTGGCATTGCTTCACTTGCTGTACTACAACCCTGGTCCTATTTCATTCTTTTTTTGTGACTGTACTAACATATGTACTAATATATAGTTGCTTCTTTTTAATCCATTTAAAAAACTATTAGGATCATTTGGTGAAAAAATTGAAATAATTCAGAAGAGTATAAAATGAAAGAGAAGTTCTGCTATCCTTACCAAAATATACTGTTTATAGTTTTTTTTTTTAGATTTTTTTTTTTTTTTTTATTAATTTGAAAGGCAGAGAAGAGAGAGAATCTTCTGTTTGCTGCTTCACTCCCCAAATGACCATACTGGCTAGGCTTGTGGCAAGCTGGAGCCAGGAGCCAGGAGCTCCGAGCCCTGGCCAGGTCTCCCATGTGGGTGGCAGGGCCCAAGTACTTGGACCATCTTCAGCTGCTTTTCCTAGGTCATTAGCAGAGAGCTGGATTGGAAGTGGAGCAGCTGGTACCTGAACCAATACCCATATGGGATGCCTGCTATGCCACAATGTGATTTCTGTGTTTCTGTAATGTTATATTTTTCTACTCGTCTTCCAGATTGTAGTTTGTTCTCTAGGTGCACATTTTATTCTATCGTTGAATTGTGGGATGACTGACACTTTTAAGATTATTTACTTATTATTGTTATTTTTTAAGATTTATTTATTTTCACTGGAAAGTCAGATATACAGAGGGGAAGAGACAAAGAGAGGAAAATCTTCTGTTTGATGATTCACTCCCAAAGTGGCTGCAGCGGCTGGAGCTGTGCCGATCCGACGCCAGGAGCCAGGAGCCCTGAGCCTCTTCCAGGTCTCCCATGCGGGTGCAGGGTCCCAAGGCTTTGGGCCGTCCTTGACTGCTTTCCCAGGCCACAAGCAGGAAGCTGGATGGGAAGCAGGGCCGCCGGGATTAGAACCGGCGCCCATATAGGATCCCTGAATGTGCAAGGCGAGGACTTTAGCTGCTAGGTTATCGTGCCGGGCCCAAGATTATTATTTTTTTTTTAATTGAAAAGGCAGATTTATAGAGAGAAGGAGACACAGCAAGACAGATAATTTGCCTGCTGGTTCACTCCCCAAGTGGCCATAAGAGCTGGAGCTGAGTCGATCTGAAGCCAGGAGCCTTGAGCAGGTGCAGGGTCCCAAGGCTTTGGACCATCCTACATTGCTTTCCCAGGCCACAAACAGGGAGCTGGATGGCAAGTGGAGCAACTAAGATATAAATTGGCATCTCTGTGGGTTCCTGGTAGTTGCAATGTGAACATTTAACCCCTAGGCTATCGTGCTGAGCCCAGCAATCATTTTTAATTTTTAAGAAATCTTTGTTTCTTTCTGATCACTTTTTTTTATGTGAGTCTGTTTTTGGTACAGGTATGTGCTATTTCCCTCAGAATCCTAATTAAGACAAAAGGAATTTTTTTTTTTATTTGTCCCCTGAGTTACAGCAGCTTACATTATTGGTAATAGTCATATTCTACTAATCAACTAAGTAAAAGAAAAAAAGTCATATTCTAAAAAGTTGGCAGGAACACTGAAGTATACCTAAGGGAATACCTAATAGCTAACTCCTAAGGGAAATGCGGAGTTTTCCAACCTAACTTTTTTTTTGAAGAGTAAAGGCTTTGTGTATCCAGTTGGAAGAATGTTAGGTGCAGTGAGAGGGGAGGAAGTTTGAAAGGGTGCGAGGGGGTAAGGGAATAGAGAGAGAGAGAGAGCGAGAGAGAGCCTGACTGACTTCCATTCAGTGATTGGCTTGCCGAATGCCCGCAGCAGCACGCAGCAGCCCGTGCTCAGCTGGCTCAATAAGCCAGGCTGACGCCAGGAGCCCAGCACTGCATTCAGGTCTCCCACAGGATGGGCTGGAATTCTAGAACTTGGACCATCATCTTTTCAGAAGCATTAAGAGGAAGCTGGTTTGACGGCGCAGTAGTGAGGGATTGAAGCAACACTCCGGTGTGAGATTCGGGAGGCCTGAGCTGCAGCGTGACCTGTCGTCTTACAGCACGTGGCCCCGTGTGTTTGTGTTGAATGGTAGCTCGCTTCCGTGTCTGTTATCAGTTATGCGGACCAAGAGGTAGCTGCTGTCCCGGGCGCTTGCCCACTGCTGAAGGAAGAGGACTCGAGTATGCGGATGGAGCACTTTGGTGTCATTTGTTCCTCTGTACCCTTCCCACTGCCGGCTTTGGTGTACTAGTTTTTTTTTTTTTTTTTAATTTTATTATTTTCTTATTGGGAAGTCAGATATACAGAGAGGAGGAGAGACAGAGAGGAAGATCTTCGGTCCGATGATTCACTCCCCAAGTGAGCGCAACGGCCGATGCTATGCCGATCTGAAGCCAGGAGCCTCTTCCGGGTCTCCCACGCGGGTGCAGGGTCCCAAAGCCTTGGGCCGTCCTTGACTGCTTTCCCGGGCCACAGGCAGGGAGCTGGAAGGGAAGTGGGTCTGCCGGGATTAGAACCTTAACCACTTGCGCCACTGTGCCGGGCCCAACTAGTTTATTTCAAGATTTTGTTGTTTTATTCATGTTTTATTCATCTCACTGGTTTGTTCCTCATTCTGTGACCTTGAGCAGGTAGTTGCGTACCTTCTCTGAGTCACTTCACAATTGCCCTGTGACTCATTACATGTACCAGTTGGAGTTTGATGCTTGTGGAATTTTCTGCCCTGTGGTGATGATATGGAGTCTTTTTATTTGTTTGTTTGTTTATTAAGGTTTATTTGCTTGAAAGCATTACAGAGAGAGACACACAAAGAGAGATAGGGGGATCCTTCATCCTCCCCACTCAAGTGCTGCAGTGGCCAGAGCTGGGCAGCTTTGAAGCTTGGAGCTAGGAGCTTTTTCTGAGTCTCCAACATGGTGCAGGGGACCAAGGTCTTGGGTCACCCTCTGCTGCTCTCCCAGGCTACTACTAGCTGGAGCTGGATCGAAGCTTGAGCCGCTGGGAGCTGAGCAGTGCTCATGGGACGCCAGCACTAGAGGCTGGGGATTAGCCTGCTGTGTCACTGCGCCAGCCCCCTGATATGGACTGTATTCCCTTGGCCTTTTTCCTTCAGTCTGATTTCCTTCTGCTTCATGGCCTGCTGAGGTTCCTGCAAGTCTCCTGGTTTCAGATGGCGTCTGCTGATTCCTAACGTTCTCTAGGTGCTGTTCTTTCATCTGCAGGAGATGCAGGTGACCTCAGTTGCACAGCTATGTGGCTTTTCTCACTGCTCAGTTGGGAATATTTAGGAAGTGGCTTAAACATAAACATGAGCATTTTTAAATTTGGTTTAAAATGATACTGAAATCTGAGAATATGTGGCTATTGAATATGTTATTACTTTTGGTTCTTATTCAGATTAATATTGTAAAATCAACATCTTTGCAGAATATTGGAAAAAGTAATTTGTGGGGCTGGCCCATTGGCTCAATTGGGTAATCCTCCCCCCTTGAAGCACACAGACATCCCATGTGGGTGCTGGTTTGTGATTTCCATCCAACTCCCTGCCTGTGGCCTGGGAAAGCAGTAGAGGCCGGCCCAAAGCCTTGGGACTCTGGAACTACATGGGAGACCCAGATGAAGCTCCTGGGCTTGCATCCACACAGTTCTGGCCGTTGTGGTCATTTGGGGAATGAACAGTGGATGGAAGACCCTTCTCTGTCTCTCCTTCTCTACAGTCCTTCTCTTACAAATCTGCCTTCCCAATAAAAAGAAATAAATCTTAAGGGGAAAAAAGGGACACTTGTGAGATGTAGCAACTTCTGTGGTATTTATCTCTGCTTCAGTGGCCAAGAATTATTATAGATACCAGTTTTATTATTATTTATTATTTATTTATCTATTTATTTATTATTAGCTCCTTGCAATTTACATGGTGAATTTATTAGGTTATATTTAAATACCCAAAGCTTTAGTAATATAGAAGTGAAATTCTTTTTTCCCCAGCTACCATGCTTTGTTTTTAGCTGTGAGAGATCAGCACATCCTAATAATGATGTCGGAAGTGAGGCAAGGGAGCCAGGTTCAGAGAGAAGCACAGTGACCTGGATGAGGGGGCGAAGGAGAGCACGGCCGGGCAGTTAGGCATAGGGCAGGAAAGGGCCCCGAGCCGTGCACTGTGCTAGAAGCAGTCCTTGCTGCTCATTGTCGACCCTGCTTCTGGAGAGGAACGGGACCCGTGGGCAGTGCCATGTGTGGTGTGGGCTTCTCCGCTTTCCTCCTCGCGTCTCTGTCTCTTCTTTTTTTTTTTTTTCCAAAGCACTTAACCTTTGTCATAAAATTCGTCCCACTAATGATAACTTCGTAAGGAAAATTGCTGACACCTCCCAGGTATCCTTTCAAAAACGTGCTGTTGAATGGTTAACATCTTGCCATTTGGGGAAAAGAGTTCAGTTTCTGAGCCAGAGGGAAAGGAGGTTAAAACCAGTCTAGAAGGGTGGTGCCTTCAGTTCCTGTGTGTAGAACCGGCATGGACTTGGAAGGGTGACTGTGTGAAGTGATGGCAGCTCAGATCATAGTAACAACATAGCAGCTACAAGTTTTCTCTTGGCTTTGGTCTTTAAATTGTCTTAATTGAAAGTATCTCAATTTTACCATTGTGAAAATAAATGTTTACTGTTTATTTCTAGCTCTCGGGCTCATTCTCCTATGATTGCCGTAGGAAGTGATGACAGCAGTCCAAACACAATGGCCAAAGTTCAGATTTTTGAATACAATGAAAACACCAGGTGAGTCCTGCTCTTATTTTAGTTGAGAATTATATTTACTTTCTTCAAATGTTGTTTGTTTATTCAGTAATTGTGCATCATCAAGTGTGCTGACTTGGTCTTCTCTCATCCACCAAGTTCTATTGCTAGGTTGTGATGATTCGTAGTGGAATAACAGAGGACAGGATAATGGCTTTCTTGGTGTGTGCCATCTTTCAGAGAAGCCACCAACAAAATAGTGACTTGTGTGATCTCAGGGAGTTACGCCTCAAGGACACTCGTTTGGTTTTGGGGGCAGAAATCTTTGCCTAGAAGATACCTGTTGGGGAAGTAGAGGCGAGCCAGGGAGGGCCAAAGCACTCCTAATTTGGAATTTCTGAGAAGCCTCCAGGTTCTGCCAGCCACACAGGGGAGAAGCAAGGATGTGAATGAGATTGCGAGTGAACAGGGTTCAGGAGGATGAGTAGGGTAACGAGCTGTTTGCAAAGAACTCTGTTGAGTGAAAGGTGGAGCATAGAACACTGGAGACAATAGTTTAGAGCAGGGTGGTAGAAAGGTGAGATGGGGACTTTTTCTACCGCCTTTCTATGCATAGGCTTGTATGCTTCTGTTCTCTCTCTCTCTCTCTGTTTTATTCTGTTTTTATTTGAAAGACAGAAAGGTATTCCATCCACTGGTTCATACCCCAAATGGCCTCAGTGGCAGAGCTGAGCTGATCTGAAGCCAGGAGCCAGGAATTTCTTGTGGGTGCAGGGGCCCAAGGACTCCCATCCAGCTCCCTGCCTGTGGCCCGGGAGAGCAGTCGAGGACGGCCCAAAGCCTTGGGACCCTGCACCTGCGTTGGAGACTTGGAAGAGGCTCCTGGCTTCGGATTGGCATAGCATCGGCTGTTGTGCTCACTTGGGGAGTGAGTCATCGGACGGAAGATCTTCCTCTCTGTCTCTCCTCTCTGTATATCCACCTTTCCAATAAAAATAAAAAAATAAATCTTTAAAAAAAATGGCAGTGGGAATGGAGAGAAGTAGACCATTGGCGAATCAGAAGTATTGTTAGTATCTGGGGAATTATTAGATATGGACTGTGAGGGAGAAGGGGAGGGGTCAGGATGATTGTCAGGATTCTGACTTACTGCAGTGGGTGGGACGTAGAAGAAATGTTCAAAAGGAGTATTTTGGGTGGAGTGTGCCAGCATTTGCAAACCAAGTAATAGTGATCACACTGAGATATAAGTATCGTATAAATCCTGGGAGCCAGAAGCATTGTATAGCTAGAAGAGAGAGCACCCAGCCAGGCGGACCAGGTTGGCTCCCCAGGAGCTGGGCGGAGCTCCTGGGTCCTGGGTCCTGGGGGAAGCAGAGGGGAGAGATGTGTGTAATTATCATAGCTTATGCAGTTCAGGATGCTACCCCTTCAGTTTCCAAACGGTTCTTAACCCAACTAGCTTCTTAGATTCTTGATTTCTTAGTGGCTCTAATTAAGCCAACTAGCTTTGTACGTTCTTGATTTCTTAGTGGCTCTATGTAGGGGCGCTGTCCTGGAGGACTTGCTGTGGTGATGGGTGTGGACTGTCCCTTGACATCCAAGGTGACAGCCCTTAGCTACCGGCATCTGTGGGAACTTGACATGTGGCAAATGCAACTGAGAAACTGAAATTGTTAATTTTTATCAATAGCAATTTAAATTTCAATAGGCACATGTGGCTACAGGCTATAATACTGTTCTAGGAATCTTTATGTGTTTAGATGTCTTCATGGTTTTTTCTTTTTTGTTTGTTTGTTTGTTTGTTTTTGTTTTTCTTTTTTGGTTGAAAGCTGTTAACCAGCTTCTGGTGGTTCCTGGAATTACTGGCTTGTGGCTTGTGGCAGCGTCATTCCAGTCTCTTTTTTTTCTGTGTTCACATGACAAATTTCTCTGTGTCTCTGCTTTCCTTTTTTAAGATTTATTTGTTTTTATTGGAAAGTCGGATTTACAGAAAGAAATAGAGACAAAGATCTTCCATCTGCTGGTTCACTCCCAATAATGCCTCAATGGCCGGAGCTGAGCCAATCTGAAGCCAGTAGCCAGGAGCTTCTTCCCAGTCTCCCATGAGTGCAGGATCCCAAGATTTTGGACCATCCCCTACTGTTCTCCCAGGCCAGAAGCAGGGAGCTGGATGAGAAGTGGAGTAGCACCCTTGAGGGATCCCAGCGCTTGCAGTAGGAGGATTAGTCAACTGAGTGATCACACTGTCCCCTCTCTGCTTTTCTTTTTCTGACTTGTAAAAGGACACTGGATGCTGGTGATCTCAGCCTGAGATCCCTAACTACATCTGCAAAGACCTTCTTCTTTAAAAAAAAGTTACTGTTCACTGAGGGTGGTAGAGTTGGACATAAGTGTTTTGGGGCCATTATTCAAGTAGGTACTACTTGGTTATGGACAGGCTGAAAAAAATTAGACGTAAACTAGTGGGAGGATGTAAAACTATGAATTTTTTTTTTTTTTGCAGTTATTTTTTTGAAAGATTCCATTTTTTAAAAATTAATTGTATTGCATTATGTGACACAGTTTTATAGGCACTGGGATTCCCCCCTTCCCTTCCCAAACCCGCCCCCCCCCCCATGGTGGAATCCTCCACCTTGTTGCATTACCACAGTTCAAATTCAGTTGAGAATCTTTCCTTGCAAGCATCAACCAAGCATAGAGTTCAGCATCTTATCGTCCAGATAAGTTCAACAGTTTCTTGGGGAGACCATCTCTGGTCTGAAGGTAGAGCCGACAGAGTATCATCCCGATCAATTAAAAGCTCTATGAACGTCTTTTCCTGAAAATTGTTGATGCAGATTGTTCTTTTCACAGGAAATATGCAAAAGCTGAAACTCTTATGACAGTCACTGATCCTGTACATGATATTGCATTTGCTCCAAACTTGGGGAGATCTTTCCATATTCTGGCAATTGCAACCAAAGATGTGAGGATTTTTACATTAAAACCTGTGAGGTAAGCTTTAGAAACAATGATGATTATTTTTATTTGTGGAGAAAATAGTAGGGGTAACTATGATTGAAGATTGAATTCTGTAATGAATGATTTGTGCATTACTGTATGGCTTTGAAGTGAGGAATTAAGTGTGGAGAGAGCCATGCTTTGATGTTTTATTTAGGATAATGAGCATGAATTACATCATCAGAATATATTTGGTACACTGTCAATTCTTGGTACACTGTCAATTCTATTAAAAGTTTTATTTATTCAAAGTGAAGATTGATAGAAAGAGGGAGAGACATTGCGATCTCACACCTGCTTGTTTTCTAGCAAAGGCTAGTAAAGCCAGGACTGGGCTTGGGTAGCCTGGAGGCAGGGATCCTGAATTCCAGCTGGGTATGCCACATGGATGTCAGGCGAAACCCACTGCTTTTCCAGGTACATTATCAGGGAGGGGAGCTGGATTGAAAGTAGAACAGCTGGACCTGGAACCACCATTCCATGCCAACATTATTTTTTTTTAATTTATTTATTTTTATTTGAAAGGGGGATTTTTAGAGAGAACGAGAGACAAATATCGTCCATTCACTGATTAACTCCCCAAGTGGTTCCCGCAGTCACAGCTGAGCCAATCCAAAGCCAGGACCCAGGAGCTTCTCCGGGTCTCCCACATGGATGCAGAGTCTCAGGGCTTTGGGCTGTTCTCTACTGCTTTCCTAGGCCACAAGCAGGCAGCTCAAAGGGAGATGGAGTAGCCGGGATATGAATCGGCGTCCATAAGGATTCCCTGTGCATGCAAGGTGGGATTTAGCTATTGAATCATTATTCCAGGCCCCATGCCAACATTTTTTTTTCTTGATAATCTGACATACTTGATTAGGGTAGAGAAAGGGTCAAGGGCTACGGGAAAGTGGGTAAGACCGTTGTTCACACATTAATATTATCATTTCCCCCCCCAGTATCTGGGTTCAGGGGAGAAACAAAGGGAGAAGCCCCACCCAGCCTCCCACCCATCCCAGGTCCCTGATGTGAGGCACACTCCGAGGGTCCTGCTCAAGCAGTTTGGACAGTTCAATAGTTCTGAATTGCTGCCAATCTCACCATTCCAAGCATGATGAAATCTATTCAGAATCCACTGCCATGTCAACATTTTAATTGCTAGCCTAACCTGCTGTGTGTCACAGTGATTTTTGCTGTCATTTGTCTCATGAAACAATGAATATCCTTTATCTGCTGCAATCACTCCAGGTCCAGGGAATCCAGTGGCAATAATATCAGCCAGCTCAAAGCCTAAGGGGTGGGGGAATCCAGATGTGCGTGTTATAAAATCATATATTATATATGTTATATATATTCTAAGTTATATATATATTCTAATATGTCTGTATATAGTGTGTGTATATATATTTATATTTATACACACACACTAAAATTTTCCTCAAAATTTCCATGAAAATTTTTTACACTTGAACTTAGTCAAAAGGTTGAGAAGTGATCCATGAAAACTTCTTTATTGACAGGAAAGAACTTACTTCCTCTGGTGGGCCAACAAAATTTGAAATCCGTATAGTGGCTCAGTTTGATAACCACAATTCTCAAGTCTGGCGAGTGAGTTGGAATATAACAGGAACGGTGCTAGCATCTTCAGGAGATGATGGCTGTGTACGATTGTGGAAAGGTAAGATTAAGGAAAAGAGTGATTGTTTGATATTTCTGCTTGGAATTAAAAAAAAAAAAAACCAAAAACTGAAGCTCTGCAATATTTTGGAAAAAGATTCTTTTGTAGCTTGTTTTTTTCCAAAATTTTTGCAGTTACTTTCAAATTACTGTCCCATTAACTTTTATTACATTGAGCATTTTGCCTAGTTCATAGAGCAGTTAAAGACTAATTAAACTGCTTTTCAAGTGTCAGTATGGTGCAAAACAACTTTTTCAGAAAAAAGTTTTTTTTAACGAATTATTTGTTTTGCTTATAAGAGGTACACACACAGAGGGAAAGATAGAAAGATCTTCCATCCACTGGTTTATTTCCCAAATGTTTACAATGGCCAGAGCTGGGCTGATTTGAAGCTGGGAGCCAGGAGCTTCTTCCAGATCCACTAAATGGGCCCGGGGTCTAAGGCTTTGGGCCATGCTCTGCTGATTTCCAAGGCCATAAGCAGGGAGCTGGATCAGCAGTGGAGCGGCCAGGACTTGAACCATATAGTATGCCAGTGTCCATGCCGGCCCCACAAAAGCAATCTAAAGAAAGTATTTGCTTTTATTTGAAAGGAAGAATTACAAGAGAAAGTAGCAGAAACAGCAAGAGAGATTCTCCATCTGCTGGTTCAATCCTCAAATGGCCACAACAGCTAAAGCTGGGCCAGTCCGAAGCTAGGAGCCTGGAGTTTCTTCCATGTCTCCCATGTGGGAACAGGCTCCCGATACTTGGGTCACCATCTACTGATTTCCCAGGCATGTTAGCAGGGAGCTGGGTCACAAGTGGAGCAGCCAGGATTTGAACCAGTGGCATTATGGTGTTGGCACCCTAGGCAGATGCTTAACTTACATGCCATGGTATGATCAAACTTCTAAACCTAACTGTAATGAAAGGTGATAGGAGCACAGTCATCTTTTATTTTATTAAATAATTGATTTAAGCAATTAGTTCTTAATAAGAAAGTCCAGCATCTTGTGGTTTTCTTTTTACTGCTTCGCAAATTTCAATAACCTTGGGATCCTGATGTAAGTTGGTTTTGGGTGCCTGGTGGAGGCAGAAGTCGGCCTGGCCTGCTGATGCTGTGGTCTCTGACCCTGGGTTCTGTACTTTTCCATGGGGGGTTATCCACTGGACAAAGATGTTTGTGATTTGTGCAGTGTCATTGTGGATGGGGTCCAGCCCATGCGTTCAGAATTAAAGTTATCCTGAGCAATTACTGTTTCCCAAGTGCGGTTGAGCTAAGCTTGCAGACAGCCCAGACCCAGTTTTAGGCTGTGATGGATATTCCTTTCCTGCTAACCCATTTGACCATTTCCCTTTCAGCTAACTATATGGACAATTGGAAGTGCACTGGTATTTTGAAAGGTAACGGGAGCCCAGTCAATGGGAGTTCTCAGCAGGGAAACGTAAATTCTTCCTTAGGTTCAAATATTCCAAATCTTCAAAACTCGTTAAATGGATCGTCTGCTGGCAGGTAGGCAGTTTTGTGAGGAAACTAGAAATTATCTTCTTTTAAAATAATCCTGGTGGCTATATATATATTTTTTTATTGCTTTTATTTTGACAATCTTTACATAGTTGATTAGGGCACAAAGGGTCAAGGGCCACAGGAAAATGGGTAAGACTATTACTTCCACATTTTTTTTTCTGTATCTGGGGTAAAAGGGGAGATAAAGGAAGAAAACCACCCAGTCTCCGCAAAATAACCCTAGTAGCTATTTGAAAGTTGTTTTATTTCATGAAGTTGAAGGTGGAATGAAGAAATTTCTAAATAATTATGATACTTAGATTAAAAGTTTACTCTTCATTTGATCTTTGCCAAAATGCCAAGAAGGGATAACATTTATTCATCACATCTGTACTGGCTGAACTAGTCATATCCTTACCGGTTGATTGTGAGGTTATTAAAGTAAAATTTCTTGTAAAAGTCCGTGGTCCAGCAGCTGAGATGTTTATAGATTTAAGATCTTATTTTGCTCCTACATTACTGAAGGGGAAGTACGGTTTAATAGTGAGGCCTTCCGTCCGCATGAGCACTAGTGTTGGTAGTGCTTCTGCTGTGGAAAACAAAGTAGACATAAAATTTTAGGTAAAACACATTCATAGCAACTTGTACAAGAGAATGAGCCAGATGCTTTGGGTTCTGTATTTAAAATTTTAATAGACATTACTATATATATACTGTGTGTATATATATATAATATATATAAGATCTTGATTTTGAGGATGTTTAAGATATGTAAATTTCTTGTTTATATGAGCATTTATGGTCTAGCCATCCTTTTGCTTTCATGTTCAAGTTTAAAACATGCATTTTTGAGAGGAAAGTATTTGAATATGCCTTTGAATATAGATTTAGAAAATTTAATACAATTTTTGTATCTTAAATAAGAAGTAGTAAAATTTCTGGGACTATTATCTTCTGTTTTTAGAAGGAAATACTATTATTTGATTTTGAGGTTTTTAAGTGTTTGCATGAATACTATTTCACATTACCATAGAAGATCTCAGATTATAAAGGTGGTTTCATGAAGCAGAGAATATCAGAGTTTATTAAATTTTGCTTTGTTTTTGGTCACTGCTTGTACCGCACATTTTCTTTTCTAAGTAGCTTTGGCGTTTTGATCTGTATTACTGTCAATAACCACGTGTGTTAGCTCTGTGATGCATTTCCCTTCTCCGTTTGTATTATGTCCTTTAACAGAAAGCACAGCTGAGTACAAGCTAACTGGAGTGACTTTGCTGTTTTGCTGCTTGTTGCATGCACACAGGAATGGGAAGAGAGCTCCTTTTCCCTTACCCAGCGCCGACTGACCTCTCCCACGATACACCAGCAGCCTGCTCACTGCTGAACAGTCCAAAAGGCCTTTAAGATGCAGCGGATATCATTTCTTTTGTACTAGTCAGTTTATTGACACGATTGGAAATTTTTCAGATATGAATGGAGAGGTTTTTTTTGTTGTTGTTGTTGTTGTGAATTGCCACCAAAACAATTTTTTGAAATGTTCTTGAAACTAACTTGGTCCTAAAAATGGAAAGAATCATTATCCTTCTAAGTGGTTGGGAGGAGGGAAAATTCCATTTTACTCCCTTTGGAGAATATAGGCACGTTTCCTTTATTTTCTAAAACAGCTAAAATGGTGAATTTTTGTAATTTTAATTTCAAGATTGAATAAATATCTTTCATAAAGATTGTTTTGAGTGCTAATTTATTTACCTTGTTTAGAATTGCTTTATACATATTCAGTACAACTTTGTCATTTCTTTGAATTATTTAAAAAATACTAGTAGAAGAGTAATAGTAAAATGAAAATAGCTTGACTGTACAGTTTGTAGCCAAGGGAAGCATCAAGTATTATGTGACTTAGAATTTTTGTAGTAAAAGGGAAACATCTTTGTAAGTTTCCATTCATGTTTGGTGAAGAAAGAAAAGTTTATAGTATGTGTTTGTATATTTTTATGGTTTCATTCTGTGGCTTAATGTTTACTACAGATGGAAATCTGGAAACATAAGAGAAGCAATTACAATTTTGCTGAAACTGTACATGCAAGTTAGCATTCCTTGTCTCAGGATTTTCCTTAATTTAGTTTGCTGTTTCAATTAGTTCATGTCCTCTAAAGCTCTGATGTTGATAACAAAGCTGAAAATTCTGTGTTTGCTAAAATGCATAACTATTACGGGTAAGTCCTAAAATGGTAAAAGAATAATAAGGTGTAATAATTCTTCGAACATTTTACTTGTCAGAAACTCTGCAGCAATTCTAACGCTTTGTCTGAGGAATAAATGCATTTGATCATTGTATTTCTTGAGGAGCATGTCAGAGGTCTAGCCATGCTATGTGGAAGTGTGTCTCACTGTGTGTTATGTGTGGCTGCTGTTACTACGGATGGAATATGGCTCAAAATAAAAAGATCATTAGATCTGTAAATTTATAAAATAGTACCCAGTGTTTCTAAGAGAGTTGAAAATGTATCAGATTAATGTCTTTCTTTTTAACATTCATAGTGATGATTTTTCTTTGACATTTTAAGTTTGACAGAAAGTATGCCTTCCTTTCAGCTTTTCTGCATTTGCCTGAGCAGTCTTGATTTGAGGCAGGGTCTTGGTTTGTGCTGCGTTTTGTTAGTTTGGCATGAATACACTAAAGCTTTTTTTTTCCCCCCAGCATGTGGTTTCTCCTCTTTGGTTCTCTTTGTATTTACTGCGTTTCTCTCTTTTTTTTTTTTTTTTTCTGTTTTGTTTTGGTGTTCTGTTCTTGTTTTCATTGTTTCAGGAATTTCTTTGCCCCTGTGGATTCCCCACGGGCTGGATCGAGATGGTCCAGTTACGCCCAGCTCCTTCCTCCTCCTCCTCTGGTAGAACACGCTTGTGATGCTGACACTGCCAACCTCCAGTATCCTCACCCTCGCAGACGATATCTTTCTCAGCCTCTTAATCCGTTACCTGAGAATGAAGGGGTTTAAAACACTGGTTTAACATTTAAAGGCCTTAATCACATGCTTGTAAATGCTTTTACTCCTGACCAATTTTTTTCTTTTCATCTTCTTTTAGAAGGTTTCTCTGTCTTGCATGTATTACAAGCTGACACACAGCATTTGGAACCTGCACCTGTTTGTGGGTCTGCATCAAAGGCAGCTGTTCACTGGTGGCTCAGCTTGGATGATCCCACATGTGTACAAGGGACTGTGAAAGTTACACATAGTAGCTCACTTCAAAGTGCCTGTTTTGTACATTTTGAACTGTTACTGTAGTAGTCTTAAGGTTTTTTTATGCTTACCATACTGATTAATGTGATAGCCTATCATTGTACCGTCTTCTTTGCCTTTGAGACAGAATAAGAAATGTCTTTTACAGGCTCATGTTGTAACTGACTAGTATGTAAAATAAAGTATTCCTGTGTATGAAGCAGCAAAACATTAAATGGACTTTTTGGTGTTTTTATTTTTCCTCTTCTAAGGAAAATTACCTTTCACTACTTGGAATTACTGTTTCAATCTTTTGTAATTATTATCCAAATAGGTATTTTAAATAAAATACATTTTAAAACCTATGAATCTATTGCCTTTAAGAAATAGAATATACTTTATTTAAAGTAGTTGGCTAGGCAGTCTTTTTACCATGTCACAAAAATAAGTCCAAAGAAAACTCGGGGAATAAGGAAATATAACATATGAAGTTTGTGTGTAAATTGATATCTAGTCAACATTAGATTTTCTAAAACATTTTAACAGTAGAACAAATGACAGTAATTAGAGTAAAATAATCAATTCTCTGGGACTAGTGCATGGAGTTGTGGAAGATGAATGACTTTGCATGGGCCTCACCTCCAGTTATCTGGGATGCCCCCCTTGGTCTTGAAGCCTCTGTAAATTCTACCGATGAGGAAACAAGGGAGGTCTAGCCTTCATTTCCAGATGGCAAGCAAGGTTAGATACTGAGGAGTAAGGTTCATGAGCTCAATGGCGTAGATGTAATTATTTTACACCCTTAGGACAAGCCTCTGTGCCAAATGAGGTAATTATTTCCGTCTTGCAGATGAGGAAAAGTGGCGTTAAAGCTACTTGTCCACTAATTACAGTTTTCTCATGTTTCTTTTGAGAGGAGAATTCAGTTGTCTTACAAGGAGTCCTTTCTGTCCTGGGAGCTGGAAGTGGTGTGTGAGTTGGTGCCAAAGTGGAGGGAAGACTCCGTATTCGGGTCCAGCAGTCCAGCCTTTCTGTCTGAAGGCCCGTAGCTCACCAGCAAGTGAGATCAGAATGCAGGGCAACTGGGGAGAGTTTTGGAGACCTGAGAACATTTCTAGAATGGGGGACACAGAGTTGTATCCCTAGAAGGCAAGATGACCAAGTCCTGTCAGTACGCTCAAGCGGCCTACCTCCACTGTGTGGCCACTGAGGTTCATGTGCTGTCTGAAAGAAGGGAGGCTCATCAAGTAATTTTTCAGCTCTAGAATTATTTGGTTTGTTTTTTTTTCAAGATACAGGAAATCTTGAGGTTTTCTGCACTCACATTTGCCCCCAGTGAGTGTGGTCAAAGGCAGAAAAGGGTCAAATCCAAGTTTGGAGGCAAGACATTGCTGAGTTTGACAGCTGATAGCTGTCAGTTTGACAGTTATAGTGGTGCCCTGGACCACACTAAACGACATGGAACGAATGAGGCGCTTTCAGCAAGAATCAAGAAGAGGTGTGTGTGTAGGGCTGCACTGGGGGCAGCACTCTTGTAGGCAGGTGCGAAGGAACTAGTGGAAAAGTTATCCAGAAATGATAGCAGCGGTTTGCAGACAAGAGACTGCAGACAGTTCTCCACTAGGCTAAAATTGAGGTCTCCTAGGTGCACTATTATTTTTACATTAAGTTATGAAGGAGTTGAGCCTATCTGGAAGAGATTTTGGCAAAGGGAACTGCGCGAGAAAAAAAAAAATGAATGTCGAGCGAGAGCTGTGAACAACTGTTCCGGGGCTATGTACAGCGGTTTAAAAAAAAAAAAAAAAGGAAAGGCTGGTGCCAGGTACGTGAAGTGAGTGGGCTGAGGAGAATGGGAGAAAGCATGTCTCTAGTTAGTATTCCAAACCGAGGCCTCTCAGGGCACTTTCCATTATCTGTGATGCTGGGCGAGGGCTCCAACCTGTTCGCGACAGGTCCTAAGCCGGTCCGGTGGTGGTTTCAGGAGCATTTCTCTTGCGTACGGTGGCTTGCGGTGCTGTAGGGTGCCAAACTCAAGGCGGAGAGCTAAGAAGTGACCGTGAGCAACGCGTAGCTCTTGTGCAGACGCAGGCCCGCGGTTTACCTCGCTTCAAATCCAGAGACGCCTCGTCCGGACCAATCGGCGGGCTCCTGCCCGCTACGTCCCTTCGCGCCGTCCAATCCGAGCGCAGCGTAGAGTTCCCGCCCCTCGCCTCGTGCCGCGAACAGACGTAAACCCGAGGGGCGCGCCGTACGGCCGGGTCCGGCGGTCGCGGTGCGGGCCGTGGCGCACGCGCAATTGCATAGCGGCTGGTCGCGCCTGTTCTCCGCCGACATTCCCGCTTCTCTCGGCTTTCGCAGTCTGTGTTGGTGGCCGGATGAGTAAGGGGCACGCCTGGGCGGGAGGCGCGGTACTGCCTCTGGGCAGCGTTTCTGCTGTGGGTCAGGCGCGATACTGACGGTAGGGCCGGAGGCCGGGGGCGCAGGTGGGGGTCCTGGGGCCGGAGGCTGGGGGCGCAGGCGGGGTCCTGGAGCCGGAGGCTGGGGGTGCAGGCGGAGGGCTGGGGGCGCAGGCGGAGGGCTGGGGGCGCAGGCGGGGTCCTGGAGCCGGAGGCTGGGGGCGCAGGCGGAGGGCTGGGGGCGCAGGCGGAGGGCTGGGGGCGCAGGCGGAGGGCTGGGGGCGCAGGCCGGGTCCTGGGGCCGGAGGCTGAGGGTTTAGGCGGAGGTTCAGGGGACCGGGGACGTAGGCGGGGTCTTGAGGGCCAGGGGCTGACGGCACAGGAGGGTTCGAGGCCGGGGTGCAGATGGTTCAGGGAGCGAGGGCGCAGGTAGGGTCCTGGGGGCACAGGAGGAGGGCTGTGGGCCAGGGGTGCAGGCGGGGTTCAGGGGCCGGAGACCGGGGTGCAGGTGGGAGCTCAGGGGTCGGGGGTGCAGATGGGGTCCTGGGGGTCGGGGTCTGGGGGGCACAGAAAGAGGGCCGCGGGCCAGGGGTGCAGGCGGGGGTTCAGGGGCCGGGTGCCGGGGGTGCAGATGGGGTCCTGGGACCGGAGACCAGGGGCGCAGGCGGGGGTTCGGGGACCAGGGGTGCAGGCGGGGGTCTTGGAGTCGGGGTCTTGTGTCTCCCTGCTGCACCTGCGCTTGTGTACTTAGGGTCTAGGGTCTGTATCTAGAGTCTATGAGGTTAATGATGTTCCTCTGTGGCCAGGGGTCTTGCCGGGCATCGAGGGCTGGACTTCTGGGGTAGGAGGTTGTGTGTGTGGGAAAATCGCATGCTTCCTCCTCTCCCCTCCTCCCTTTCTTGGAAAGTTCTGCGTTGACCCTCGGTGTTTGCTTTTTTTTTTTTTTTTATGTTGAGCAGTTCATTCTGTTTCTGGGTTTTTTGTGTTGTGTGTGTGTTTGGCTGGAACTGATCCAGAAAGTACCAATCTTGTTCACTTCTCACACCTAGAAGCCTGTTTTGACTTTTCCCTGGGTTGTGATTGCTACTTGTAATGAGATCTTAATCTGCATTCCTTTCCAATAGAGCTGGAATGAGATAACGTTTAAGTCACTCTGCTTTTTGGTTTTGTTCTTCGTTTCAGAAGTTTAGTAGAATATGAGGCCACTTTGGATGCAGTCATTTGGATGACAGCTGTTTATATGACAATAATCCCATTTGTGGTTGCCATTCTGAGGTCATTCTGGTACTTCTACTACTCCAGATTTCTGTTCTGTGGCGAAAAATTAAGGTAAGCTTTGAAAAGCAATATACTACATGGCCAAATCTCAAAGATACTGTTCTAAGCAGTGCTGGGGAAGTTTGACTAGGTTTGGTTTCTGTAACTTACTGTTAAGTGTATTTAATGGTGCACACAGACTTAAATTCAGATCTACAGTAAATAGTGTTTTTTATACACTCAGAAATGTAATTAAAATAACACTGCCAAACCGAAAAAGTGAAATTTAAGGTCACTGCTTTAAGGAGCAATTGCAGTGGTTACTTGTTGACATTGATCAATTTAGATGAAGGGGGCGGAGTAGGCATTGCGGTACCAAGGGTGTCAGGGAGTTCTCCCACGGAAGGCTGGGAACAAGTGTAATCCTGTTGGAAGGCAGAGAGCTGAGGTGTTAGGAGGCTCCCCGTGGGTTGTGTTACCATCACACCTGTCATCAAGTTCTCAGAGCAGTCCACTGAGGCCATCCACAGCGATCTCAGCTCCCTAGGAGATGCTTCCTTATCTAGTCACTGATTTGTTGCATTGTTGATATCCTGCATGTTTGGTGTTTGATAATGATTGGCCCATACATGATCTTTGTATAGTATCTGAGTCTTTTTGGATTTAATCCTTTTAGGGTAAAGATAACCATGCAGAGTTTGGTGTGTATTTTAAGCTGATCTGTCTGGGAGTAAATAAACAACTTGATAGTTGTAAGACTAGTCTGAGGCTAGCTCTGAGATTGGGCAGTGTTTCAGACAAAAAAAGTGGGTCTTAGCTTGAGCAGTGTGTGTGAAGGTGGAGCAGTGAAGTTTGGTAGCTAAGGGAGCTAAGGGGGGACCAGCAGGTACCAGGAGTCCAGCTTCTGCAGAGGGCTAGAGATGACCTGTATTCTTTGTACTAGTCGTGTTCTTTGATGCTGGGCTGAGGAAGGAAGGAAGACGGAGGTGTCAGGAGGTACAAATGAAAGGTCAGGGAGCTTGCTTCCCTAGCGCCCATCCTGGTGTGGGAGTTGGAACACGGGCATGGAAGCCAAGGTCAGAGCAAAGAGGAGATTGCTGTGCTCATATGAAAGTCTGTGATGCAGTCATTCGTCCTTGCAGTAAATGTGTTGAGGGTCCGCCCTTGCCCAGTCTTAACCAGGACTGCAGTGGCAAACCATCTGGGCGGAGCCTGTACTCTGATAGAGCTGACATTTTAATGAGAGGGAGAAAAACACATGAAGAGTTGAATTACAGGGGCTGGCATTGTGTTTCAGTGGATTAAGCTTCTCCCTGAGATGCTGGTGTCCTGTAGGAGAGCTGGTTCAAATCCTGGCTGCTCTGTTTCCGATCCAGCTCCTTGCTAATGCACCTGGGAAAGCAGTGGCAGATGGCCCAAGTGCTTGGGTTCCTGTACCCATGTGGGTCACCCAGGTGGGGTTCCAGACTTCTTGTTTGGCCTGGCCCACCTCTGGCTGGCTGGCTGGCCATTTGAAACTTCTCTGTCTCTTCCTTTCTAGATCTTTGTCTTTTCCTTTCTCTCTGTAACCCTACCTTTCAAATAAATATTCGAAAGGCTGATTTACAGAGGCAAGGAGAGGCAGAAAGGTCCTTCATTCACTTGTGCACTTCCCAAATGGCTGCAGTGGTTGGAACCAAGCCAATCTGAAGCCAGGGGTCTGAAGCTTCTTCCAGTTTTCCCACACTGGTGCAGGGTCCCAAGGCTTTGCTCCATCCTTCACCGCTTTCCCAGGTCATAAGCAGGGAGCTGCTTGGGAAGTGGAGCAGCTGAAACATGAACCAGCACCCCTATGGGATGCCAGTGCTTACAGGGAAAGGATTAGCCAGTTGAGCCATTTATTTTCCCCAAATGGACTCTTTCATAAAATTGAATACTTGTTTTAATAATCGCTGAAATTAAGGGACTAGATTTTGCTAGCTCTACTTTTTGTTTTTTAACCCTGTGTTGAAATAAGTATGTAACTACCAAACTTTAAATCTTTGCTGGATAAGGTGGTAATTCATATTCCTTGATAAACCAAGCCAAGGGTAGATTATATTTTATTATGTTAGTGAAAGGAAGGTAGGTTTAATGTTTATGTTCTCAGTTGTGAAGTTGTAAAGTATTATGAGAATTTGGGAAGAATAATGTGATGTTCCGAAAGATTTTTTCTTAAAATTTATTGTTTTCTAGGACTTATAGGATTTGTTGTCTTAATTATTTCAAGAGCTTTGTGAGTAGTGTTTAATTTGTAAATACACTTTTGTTACAGGGAGATGGAAGATTTTCAAGGGATAGCAGAAGAATCATTTCCAAGCTTTTTAACCAATTCTTTGTTTGGTAATAGTGAAACTTTTGAAAATGTAACTCTTTCTTCAAATCTTGGCTTGCCTGTTGCTGTTTCTACACTTGCTAAAAATAGACCCAGCTCTGAGGATAACAGGTAAGATTTGCTTGGCAGAATTTTTTCCAGATTCAAAAATCTATAACAGATTGGCTGGTCTGTGAAGTTTCTTAGTCCAGTGAGCTGTTGCGTTCTATTCAGAGGAAGATGACCAAATATACAGAAAAGAATATAGAAAAAAACGGAACTGTCCCTCGTTTTATTGCTCTATCAATGAATGCGTTGGTTGTGTTTGGTTTTTGAATGCCATTGACCTGTTTTTGGTTTACAAATTATTTTTTCTGTCTGTAGTGTTTCGGATTTGTAGTAGTTCTGATTTACTGTTGGCATGAAATCTCCCAGTTTGTGCTGCTGAAGTTCAAGTGCCCCGGAATATTTTATGAAAATCCAGGCCAGCAGTGTGGAGCTGTATTGCAGGGAGGCACAGGACCTGGGTTCCTCCTCCCACTCTCCTCTCTCGGTCCTCTGGTTATATTTGTTTTTCTGTTCTGAGGTGCAGAAGAATACACCACAGACTCAAAAGACCACTGTGAACTTAGGTTTCTAGCTACATAAGTAGACTAAACTGTCTTGGGTCCAGCTGTAGGTAAGGCTTCTCCCTGCAACAGCAACATCTGTATGGGTACTGGTACATTCCCAGCCACTTCACATCTGATCCTGCTCCCTGCTAATGGCCTAGGAAGGCAGTGAGCCTGAGAGCGTGAACCATCTGCTGATGCACTCCCCAGATGGCTGTGACAGCTGCAGTTGGCCAGCCCAAAGCCAGGAACCATGAGTTTCCTCCTGGTCTCCTATGTGGGCACAAGGGCCTGAGACCCTGGACTGTCTTGCACCCGTTTCCCTGGTCATTTGCAGGGTGCTGGATCAGAAGTGGAGCAGTGAGGACATGAACCACTGCCCGTATGGGATGCTGGCACTGCCCCCTAGAGAGAAGTTTAGCTAAAAGTCCCTTTTGGTGAATTTGACCTTGTGGACGTGCAGTGCAGTGTGTGAGGCTTATCCCTGCGCAAATGGCAGGGTCATCACTGTTACCTTTGGCGGGAAGGGGCTGGGTTGTCTGAAAGCTCTTTAGTGCTAAGATGACTGTGTTTCTGAATGTGGATCAACAACCTAGCCCTGGTGGCAGGTCTGAGTCTTACACAGAGCAGGGGTGTTGAGTGAATGCTGTTGGCCTCTGTGGTCATTGTTTCTGCTTTCACCAAGCCATTTGTGTGAATCTTACATGTGCGTATTAATTCTTAGAGAATGAAATTTTCTTTGTAGGTATCATGATGTCCAGGCATCTTATTTAGTAGAAAGGAGGGTTTCAATTCCATCCGAGTCATCTCCCAGTTGCCAGAGTGATGTTCAACTGAGAGAGAGGTTACAGCTTAGCTTCCCGGATGACGAGTAAGTTCGTCTTTTCGTTTGTTGCACTGCGTTAAAAACCAGTCTTAATTTTAAGGAGTTTGAAATTGTTATTTTGACTCTGATTAATGTTAAGAATTCTTAAGAATGTTTTTAATGTGGCCTTTTTTTTTTTTCAGAGATGTGTTTATTTGAAAGTCAGAGTTAGGCAGAGGCAAAGAGACCTTCCATCCGTTGGTTCACTTCCCAAATGACTGCAGCTGTCCAACTGGGCCATAATAATGCTTTCCTGGCGCATTAACCGGAAGCTGGATCAGAAGTGGAGCAGTCAGGACTCCCAACTGGCACCCTTCTATAGGATGCTGTTGTTGCAGGTGGTGGTTTAATTCACAACACCACAATACTGCATCCTTTTTAGTGCATTTTAATCATTTAGTTAACGTATTAAGATTTCCTTTTGTTCCTTGATACAGATTTATATGTATAGGGGATCATTCCTCCCCAACCTTCTCTGATTTATTTTTAAGTTATTATAATGGCATAGTCATTCATTTCACTTTTTTTTTGTTAAAGATTTATTTATTTATTGGAAAGTCAGATATACAGAGAGAAGGAGAGATAGAGAGGAAGATCTTCCATCCAATGATTCACTCCCCAAGTGAGTGCAACAGCCGATGCTATTCCGGTCCGAAGCCAGGATCCAGGAACTTCTTCCGGGTATCCCACACAGGTGCAGGGTCCCAAGGCTGTATGCTGTCCTTGACTGCTTTCCCCAGGGCACAAGCAGGGAGCTGCGTGGGAAGTATAGCTGCCAGGATTAGAACTGGCACCCACATGGGATCCCGGGGCATTCAAGGCGAGGACTTTAGCCGCTAGACCACGCCGTCGCAGACATTTGCAGAGTGAACCAACTTATGGACGTTCTCTCTCTCTCTGCTTACTTCTATAAAAATCTGCCTTTCAAATAAAAATACATAAATTTTTTTTTCAGAAGTAATGGCCACACCAGTTTGCTGAGCAGATAGATGGGTCTTGTCGCTCCTCCTCTTTGCATATCTGCCTTTCCAATAAAAATAATTTTTTTTAAAAGAAATTAATGGGATTTAAGTTGTTGGGTCTTTAAAGTTTTGTTTTGTTTTTATTGGAAAGTCAGATATACAGAGAGAAGGAGAGAGAGGAAGATCCTGTGTCCGATGATTCACTCTGCAAGCGGCTGCAATGGCCGGAGCTGTGCTGATCTGAAGATGGGAGTCAGGAGCCTCTTCCGGGTCTCCCACGTGGGTGCAGGGTCCCAAGGTTTTGGGCCATCCTCCCAGGCTTTCAGAGGCCACAAGCAGGGAGCCGGATGGGAAGTGGAGCAGGTGGGATGTGAACTGGCGCCTATATACAGTGTAGGCTTGTGCAAGGCGAGGATGTAGCCAATTGAGCCATCACACCAGGCCCAAAATTTTAAAAAATTTGAAATAAGATTTTATTTATTTGAAAGATATAAGACAGAGGGAGAGACAATGAAAGCAAGGTCTTCCATCTGCTGATAAAATCCCTAAATAGTTTCAACTACTGGGGCTGGGCCAGGCCAGAGCCAGGAGCTTATTCCAGGTCTCCCACATGGGAACAAGGGTACCAGCACTTAGGACGTCCCCTGTGACTGCCAGACACTTGAGTAGGAAGCGCATTGGAATAGAAGCATCTGGGTCTGGAACCGGCACACATGTGGGATGGCAGTGCAGCTGTAAGCGGCTGTAAGCTGTAAGATGGCCACAGTGCCATCACCACAGAAATAAAAATTTTAAAATGCTTCTATTTGAATATTTATGGGATTATACATACTTTAATTTCTGATTCACTTCTTGTAGTTGTGTTGTGTTTTTACCCTTTATGTAAGTGATTTCTGTATATTAAACTTTTAACCAGTTATATATTCATTCATTTACGTTGTGGTTTCAAGTGAATGTGTATATTTGCTGGATACCTTTCCAGGTCCTCAGATAACAATGCACAAAACAGGTCTTAAAAGCAGTAAAATTTTGCAATTACAGTGTTTTAGGTGGGAAAGGTGTTAGAATGAAAAAACACATTAAGAAAGATTATCATGAGGACTAAAAGTGATTCAAGGGTCTCATGGACGAGGTGAAAGCTGAGGCAGAGCTGTGGGGAAGGGTGTAGCCCTGTGGACATCAGCGGGTGGGGCTGCAGTGGAGCGTGCTGCCAGGTGAGGGTACTGAGGTGGGTTCGACCCAGTGGGCTCACAGAGCATCAGGGAGGCAGACCTCAGCTCTTGCGCCATGGGAAGTACGCAGAGCCCCATCCAGGCTGTGTTTACAAGCTCATTGCTGTTCTGTAAAGCGTGTGTGATAAGCAAGAGTAGTAGCAGGAAGACCATAAAAATGAGGTTGATTCAGCTGTGTGAGCTAGAATGATGACTAAGAGCAGGCCATGTAGGGTAGTATTGATTTTCATCATTAGTGACCTCGGTGAAATAGCTTGGGTACAAGTCGAGCCCGCTTAGAGTTTATGGGAGAGTAGTGGGCTAATGTTGGAGGTCGAGTGGACGAGTCCTGGAGATGCTCTCACCGAGGAGCAGAGAAATGGGTTTGTAATGGCGTGTACCTGAAGTGGGTCAGGAAAAGTTTATTTTTGGGTGGCGTGGGGTGGTGGTGGGGTGGAGAAGTTGCCACCTGTTTCCATGCTAATAGGAAGGATTCCCTTGGAAAGAAGAGGTTCCCTGGGCCGCCAGTGTCTGCGTAAACTAGAGACAGACTAGATTGCAGTGGAGTGAGTAGCTTTGCTGGACAGGATGGTGGGCAACTGCTTTCTGAATCTGAAAAGGTGATGCGGTATATGTAGTGATGAGAATCGGCCAGGTGCCTTTTCAACTGTTTCCAATTAGAATAGAGTTAGTCATGAGAGCATAGAAAAGTGAATGGATGGGACATAGTAGGATTGCCAAGCGGCACAGGGGGTTTCGCTTGGGGATCGTGGCATGTATTTTGAGTCTATTCAGTGGGATTGCGATGTTTTCACACAGTCTGTTGTGATGGTGCAAGTGATGGGTAGGTACAAGGTTGAATTTAATCAGAGTTGTAGCTTTTTCACACTTAAAAAATAGTCCCCTGTTTGCACCCGCCTGCCACCCCGACTTGTTGCGGAGATGGAGATAGGTGAGGAAGAGAGTGGTTTTTGTGATATCCATTTTTCTTGTAAGAGTACCTGAGGTCGGTCCTGCTCTTGCTTCTGCTCTGGCTCTCTGCTTGTGCCTCGGAGGCGGCTGAGGATGGCCCACATACCTGGGTTCCCCTGCTCACCTAGGGGACCCAGATCGAAGGGCCAGCCCTGACTGTTGAGGAATTTGGAGGAATAAACCAATGCTTGGAAGTTGTCTCTCTCTCCCTGTTTTCTTCCTCTCTCTCACGTTCTCTCTGTCACTCTTGTCTTTTAAATAAACTTTAAAAGTTGATAAATACAACTCAGAAAGTAGAAAAACTTAAAAAAGTATTTTATAGAGTTACCCAAGGTAATTGATACTATTGTTATTTTGTTTCCTAATAAAATAGGAAAAAGAACTACATGGAAAGTCAGCATTTGTCAAGTGGGCACTGGAAGCAGTTACCGTGTCAAGGTGCTGCAGCAAGGGCAGAAGAGGACCAAGCTAAAACCACAGCACACTTCCAGGACCAAGATTCTTTTGATTCCATTTTGCCGCTGGAACAAGAACAAGGTAATGAATTGTTAGAAATTTATTTCCTAATGTATATATTTACATTTTCATTTTAGCCATTTGGGGATTGATATAGATGCTATCCTATGGAGAACTGAAAAATGCTTTGGCATGAAAATAATAATGTACTGACAGAACTTTTATAGGAAAAGGTGTCCTAACCAATTTCTAGCTGTTTCACGGGTTTCAGCAAATTCTCCTTCCTCCAGCAACTGTACTTTCGGAGAGCCAGTGTCTGCTGTATGATTAAAACCAGGAGCCTGTTTATTTATTTATTTATTTTAAGATTTGTTTATTTTTATTGCAAAGTCGGATATATACAGAGAGAAGGAGAGATACATATCTTCCATCCGATGATTCACTCCCCAAGTGGCCACAATGGCAGAAGCCTATTGTTTTTTTTTAAGATTTATTTGTTTATTGGAAAGTCAGATATACAGAGAGGAGAAGAGACAGGAAGATCTTCCGTTCAATAATTCACTCCTCAAGTGAGCACAATGGCCGATGCTATGCCAATCCTAAGCCAGGAGCCAGGAACTTCTTCCAGGCATCCCTCACGGGTGCAGAGTCCCAAAGCTTTGGGCTGTCCTCAACTGCTTTCCCAGGCCACAAGCAGGGAGCTGGATGGGAAGTGGAGCTGCTGGGATTAGAACCGGCACCCATATAGGATCCTGGTGTGTTCAAGGTGAGGACTTTAGCCGCTAGGCCACGCCACCGGGCCCAGAAGCCTATTTCTAATATACCTTTTCTTTTTCCTCACATTAATTTGTACTTTTTAATATGTGTTTTCATAAAAATTATTTTTGATACTAAACTTATGGGTGAATTAGAAGTTCTAAAAGAAATGATTGTTTCTACGAAAACAAAATTGAGTAGTTGGGAAATGAAAGTCGTTTGAGAAACTCTTCTGGACTAGATGTGGTGGATAAACTACACACACAGAGAACATTGTTAAAGTAAAATGACGGGCTTGGGCTGATTGCTCTGAAGAACTGCACATCGCTGTAACTCAAAAATTCAAAACTGGATATAGGAAAGTATAAGCTCTAGGCTTATCTATAGCAATGATATCATTAACCCCTGTGCTTCAGAGACTTTTATCATAGGCTATAAAATTGCTGAGTTAATGCACATTTGTCTAACTTAAAATATTGCTGGGGCTGGTGTGATGGCTCGTTGGCTAATTTTCACCTTGTAACCGTTGAGATCTGATACGGGTACTGGATCATGTCCTGGCTGCTCCACTTCCCATCTTGCTTGTGGCCTGAGAAAGCAGTAGAGGATGCGCCAAAACCTTGCTTGGGACCCTCCACCCGTGTCGGAGACCCAGAAGAAGTTCCTGGCTCCTGGCTTCAGATCGCCTCAGCTCCAGCTGTTGCTGTCATTTTGGGACGTGAACCAGCAGATGAAGAATTTTCTCTCTGTCTCTCCTTTTCTTTAGAAGTCTGATCTGCCTTTCCAATAAAAATAAATAAATCCCTAAAAAAACACATAAAAATAAACCATCTTCATGGCTGGTGAGAGGACTAAGGTATGATTACTGATGGCTATAGTGCTTAATGATGAAGATAATCTAAGGATAGCTGACGCTAAAGGTTGTACAATCTCATTAATACACCAAAACCCCCACTGAATTGTATTTTTCGAAAAAGTGAATTTGAAGGTGTTATGACTTACTAATAACTTACAATAATCCTTAGTTTCTGTGGGCATAAAACTTTGCCATATCTGCTTTTGCCCTTTTTTCCCCTACTTTTTCTAGTTCTGTGATTTCCTGTTATTTTATTCCTACTTATTTTATGATATATAAAAAATATGCCCAGGGAGAGGGTCTGGGGATGAAGCACCGACAGGAGACCAGGATGGTAGAAGCGTGGCTTTGTTGTTCCTCACCTCTCCTTATGTACTACCTCCCACCCTCATTTAGCAGGATATTGGGTATAAATGAGTCCAATTAGTCTAGGTGTTTTTAGCCACACGCCCAGTTCCTGTTCCTGCCCAGACTAACGAGCACTAATCAGTTCCATAGCCCACAATATGTACTGGCCCAGAGCTCTGTCCACCCACTGGGGTCACAGCTCCTTGGCGGTGGACATGTGCTATTCTGGGACCTTGTCCCTCTGCTCTTCCAAGATCCAAGCCCATACAAAGTTATTCAAGTCTGGTCAACCAGCACACCATGCCAATGTGCTAACCTAGGGCTCTCCCCTCACCTCTCCCCTGCCCAGGAACAAGCATGTGGGGAAATGCCTAGGCTTGCTCTGCCTGCCTGGACTTGAGCCCCCAGGTCTCTGCAGGCCCACTGCCCTGGTGCCACCACAAAGTGTCAAGGCTGACGTGTCGTAGCAGTAGCCGCCTATATTGGTTTGCCTGATTTGGGTCTGAAAATGTTATGATTATGTATATGTTATCTTTCTTATTGTTGAAATGGGTTGGACCAGTCATCCTGTAGTCTGTTCTTCTGTTTTGAGTATCTTTTTGCTTACAGGGTACGGTATTATTGCTTGTTTCTCTTCCTACAGTCCCGTGCAGAGCCTAAATCGGAGTTAAAGTCTTGATAAAATGCACATTCAAGTTCTCTGGCTTATAATTTGCTTTTGGTGATGTATATTTCTTTACCATCTTTCAAATGTGCTCTTATTCTAAGATAAATCCTTTCAGTTATTAGCTTACTATTTTTAGGTAGTTTTAAATAATCTAGTTCCTAAACTTTGGTTTTTGTTTTCCTCAGAAAATTCATCTGTTGATTTTTGTTCACAATCATGGATGAATAATAAGGAACACAAGGTAAGCTTTGATTTCTTGGCAATTTTTAGAGTGTTACAGGAGGGAATTCATACATCTTATTTTGTGTTGGAGAACACGGGTGGTTTCAGCAAAAATAGAAGTTCATGTCAAGTAATTGGAAGGTCCATAGGAGACTTTGGTCTTGGCATTAATGCTGTGCTCCAGGCTGTCTCCATCTCTAGAGTGTCGGTTCTCTGAAGGCAAGGATTTCCCCGTTGGCCACAGTTCTCGTCACGTGATTTTATCTCAGACATTGTGTGCGATTATAAGTAAATTGTCTTCATTCTTAGGCAACTTGAGCCTATATATTTTTTTTTAAATTTTATTTTGACATTCTTTACATAGTTAATTAGATTAAGAAGGTTCAAGGGCTACAGGAAAGTGGATAATACTAGTATGTTTTCCATATTGTTAGCTTCATATTTAAAGGGGGGTATTTAAGGGAGAAGCCCACCCAATTTCCCACCCTCCCCAGGTCCCGGATGTAGGGCATGCTCTGAGGTTCTTGCTCAAGTGGTTTTGATATTGCCACAGTTATGAATCGCTGTCAATCTTGCCACTCCAAGCACTATGAGATCTTTGAAAAATCCACTGATTGACATAGTCCATCATAGCTGAGATGGTTGGTTGCCCTGTTCTGTCTTCTCTCTTTTCTTGGTTAGGGTTCTGAGTCCAGCATTTAGATTAGGAAGATCTCCAAAGAAACTTCTTGTATGTGCTAACAAGTACAGGGCCTGGCACCGTCCATCGCTCCAATCAGCTGGTGGTTGCAATTGCTGGGTTGGTTCTGTTTTCACTCCTGACTTCCACTGGAACCAATGGGTGTTGCAGTCCAGCCTGGTTCTGCCCAGCACATACTTGGCCCTCACATAAACCAGCGGGAGCTGCAGCCTAGGTTGGAGCGACCCACAATAACCCCCACCAGGCCCACCCCCTACCCTGGTTTGCCAGTAAGTGTAGCGGTAATCCAGTCTGTCCCACACCCCATTCCACCCCAGCCGCTATCTTAGTTTTATGTCCTCCTGTGGAAGTGGTAACCCAAGAGGGATGAGCCCACTATTTCCCTCCCAGGCCTCTCCCACTCCCAGATTCCAGCTGCTGCTGCGTCTAAGCCCAAACATCCCTCACCCACTTTAATTTTGTTTGCACCAGTAGGAATAATCCGCCCAGCCCGGCTTTTCCCTGATCTAGTCCCATGAGGCGCACAGGTGTGGTAGCTCTGCCTAGTCTGGTCTGCCTCCATCCCAGCTCATGCTCTCCTGCGGAAGTAGCTCTCCTGCAAAGGAACCCTCCCTTATTCCCCTGCCAGCTCTGCCCACTTCCTTTCTTGTTCTCAGGCTGGTCGGGCGCTGCGGTCCCTTCTGGTACAGGCAACCTCACCTCGGCATTCCATAATGTGCACTAGTCTTTGTTGCGACCGAACCTGGGTCGACCCATACTGGTGCCTGGATTTGCCAGTGGATGATGTGGACAGATTCAGCCTGGTCTTGCCCCCACGTCTGCCAATTGTATGCCAGTGGGTAGCTTTCCATGGCCTTTTCTGGGCTGTTTCCTATCGTGTTTCTTGCGTTTACCTGCTGGGTCTGTGTCCTGCCAGAGGAGTTGCCCAGGCTCCTCCATCAGAACCTCTCCCAATGCCAGGTTTCACGCTTACCAGTGGGTCCATGAGCCAACCCTACTCAGTCCACCTCCTGTAATAACAGGAACTGTGGCTTTTCCTGACTGGCCTTCCACCCAATCTGGTTCTTGCTGTTGGATGTTCCAGCCCAGCCATGGTTTGTCCATACCCACGTATGGCTCACACATGGCTCAGTAGGGGTTTGAGACCCTGCCTAGTCCATCCCACATCTACCCTGGTCCTCCAGAGCACCAGGGGGAGTAGGGGTCCGGCCCAGTTCGGTGCATCCAATCCCAGTCCACACTTGTGCCAAGGGAGACTACAACTGTTTCCAGATCAGAATGCAGCCCCTCTTCCAGGCCACGCGCCTCTTGGTGGGAACCTCAGCCCAGCTAGGGTTGTCCCCTTTGCTCCCCAACCGGGTTTGTTCCCAGCCATAGATCACATGCCTGCCAATGGATGCTCTGACTCAGCTTGGCACAGCCCCTCCCCTGTCCGGAACGCTGCCTTAGACACTGTGGCTTAGCGTCCCTGGCTCCCGCAGACCAGCAGGTACAAGAGCCTAGCTCGGCATGACCTCTGCTCCCTCCTGGTTTCTAGTTTTACTTGTGGGCTAAGGTTTGCTCAGTCGTGCCTAATCTACTCTGTTCCATTACCAGTTGACACATTGGCCAGTTGTTGGAGCTACTTTTGCAGGACAAGCTCCAAGCCATAGCTTCTGCATGACTGGTATTTGGTGCTCAGCATTATTAGTGATTGAAAGTTTTGCTAAGGAAGAGTTACTGCCTGTTTCAGGTGCAAGAAGCACAGTGGGTTCAACCTGGAGCTAATTAAGCAGCAACTCAAAGAACCAAATCCCCAGAGCTCCCCAGCCGGGCGGCCAGCAGGCAAAGCCTGGAAACAAATGGCGCACTGGCCGCCCGTTAACAGCTCACCATGTGCACATGGCGGCTGTCCGGGATCCAGGCATGAGACGCCTCGTCCTGAGACCCACCAGCTGCCAGGAGGCTGCTGGAGGTTTAAATAACCCAGGCCCAAGGTCGTGCCCCTCCCAAATCCCATTCACCGCCCCATGAAGGCGGCAGGTGGGTCCCGGACCTGCCCAGTCCCGGAGGCCTCCCCTCCCCTCGGTCTACTCACCCCTAAGGAAGCGGCCCCCGAAACCCAGCAGGCCCAGGGAGAACGGCTCACCAAGTGCCCATGGCGGCCGTCCGGGATCCAGGCATGAGACGCCTCGTCCTGAGACCCACCAGCTGCCAGGAGGCTGCTGGAGGTTTAAATAACCCAGGCCCAAGGTCGTGCCCCTCCCAAATCCCATTCACCGCCCCATGAAGGCGGCAGGTGGGTCCCGGACCTGCCCAGTCCCGGAGGCCTCCCCTCCCCTTGGTCTACTCACCCCGAAGGAAGCGGCCCCTGAAACCCAGCAGGCCCGGGGAAAACAGTTCACCATGTGCACGTGGCGGCTGTCCGGGATCCAGGCATGAGATGCCCCGTCCTGAGACCTACCCGAGCCTATATTTTTAACAGTCCCATTAAAAAAATATATGAACTAAGGTAAGTGAATAAAAGCTCTAATGAGCTTATCTTGTGCTACAGCCCTCCCTATGGAGAGCCACATCCTGGATAGGATTTAAATTAAAAAATTGCTTTCCCATATCAGGCATTGGCAATCTTGAGCTTATGCTAGAAATCCAGTCTAGTATGTGTTTTTGTAGTTTGATTGGAACACAGCCAGTTCATTCGCTGTATTTATTGCTAGTTTCATGTTATAACATTGGAGTTGAGAAGTTTTCCCTGAGATTGTACAGCTCACAGAATCTCAAATGTTTAGTCTTGGATAGAGAGTGCTTGTCAGTCCTGCATGGTCTACTGGATTCTGTATAGAACCATTGAGGATTTCAAGTGTGAGCAATGCTGTATGGAAGAAGTTCAGGTGTCGTGACATTGAAACTTAGAAAGCCTGATTTATTCACTTAGAAAAATGGTTTCTGAAGAGAGAACACAAATTTTCCCTGTGGAAGAGAATTGATTTTCTTAGAGTTGCTGAAAGATTAACTTTCTCTAAGTGTGAGGAATTCCCCATCTGTAAAGATCACCTCGTACCTGGTTAAGTATTCACGTTCCTGGGAGAAAATCAGCCAGTAGCTTCCGGGCATTCTGGGGCTGGTTAATGCCCTCTCTGTTTTAATGATACAAGTGTGCCAGCGTAGTTCCGTATTCTTTTAAGATTTGCGGGTGGGGGTCAGGCTGCCTGTTGCACCAGTGCGGCTTCACACTAGCCATGGCCCCCGCTGCCATTGCTGCAGCCGCACCATGCAGGAGGGCTATACATTCTCCAGGGTCGGGACTGGGGAGAAATGGAACTAGGGGCCACTGCAGTCTTAGTGGAGATGTATACAATGATTTGTAAGGGGTCCAGTGGACCTGGCCACTGCACCTGCAGATAACTGAGGGAGCTTAAGTGCGGGGGATCAGATGTGGAAATCCAGAGATCCTCTCTGGGTCACATCATGGCACTGCCAGTGTGCACGAGACCTGGAGCTAGGGGCAGACTGTCAAGCCAGGCTAGGTCACTACACCTGCCAGCACTTGTGAGAGATGGCTTGGGGGACGACCTGGAAGGGGTTTTTCAGGGTTGTCTCTAATAAGCTGCAGCATCCACTGGTGCACAGTATTGTCAAGGCAGGGAGTGGATCATGCTTGGCTGGACTGAGCTGCAGCCTCTATTGGCAAGAGCTGGACTGGGTGCAGCACGTGTGAAAACTGGTGCCAGCGGTGGCCTGGTAGTGTTTCTTCAGGTCACCCTGATGAGACTGTAGCATCTACATGCGAGAACCAAGCCTAGAGGTGAGCTAGCCTGGGCTGTCTTGCAATACGCACCAGTACACTCGGGGTGGGACTGGCCAAGTAGTTGTATCTACCAGTACCTGTGCTGGTGGTTCAGGGAGTGGCCGGGCCTGGCTCTGCATTGGCTGGGACTGAGCCAGGTCTGAGGACCTTCCAGGAGAGGTTTCTTAGGGGGCTCCTCAACTAGGCAACTGTGGTCCATCCCTGTCTTCGGGGAAAATCGCATAAATTTATGCTCCAGTCCCAGAACACATGTTGCAGAATGGAGCCACCGTAATTGCTGATTCCACGCCAGAATAGAGAGCACAGCCAGTTACACATGAACGACAAGTCAGCCAGCTCATCCAAGCCAACAGCGGAATTTGAGTACTTCTTCAGAAGGTGGAAAGGACAGTTGACTATCACTCCTGACCAGGCTTTATAGGAAGTCCCTAGTTCTGTGGACACACTGAGGTAGACAGACAACAGACCTTAGAAAGGATTTCTCACCTCTGGTGCAAGAAAGCTGACACCTTCTCAGAACCATCGAGACCACTCAGGTGAGAACATTGTTCTGCTCATCAAGGGTGGCATCCAACTGTCTCATCCCACAGGCACTGATGTAGGCTGAGACAGCAAGGAGGGGTGCTGTCCACGCCCACCCCCAGCCCCTCCAGCACATTTATCTCCTCCACCTTCCCATCCGCCCTCACCCTCCTCATCGTATTCAGAGACCCTCATGGATCTGCAACTCCCTCGCCTTTGTAATGAGTGTTACAGTAATTATAATAAAAGCACTCTGAAACTGGACAGCAACAGTTTGATAGCCAACAAAAGGAAAAGCAGTGAGGGTAGGGGAAAAGAAATATATTAGAAAAACGTGACTGCAGGAGGCTATTGCAGCACTGTATTTTTTTTTATAGATTGCATTGTCTATCTTGAAGGGTAACTGATCAGAATAGAGACATTCGTGGGGGTCTCAGTGTACAAGGGACTGAGCATGGCAGAGTTGTGCGTTATTAATATAGATATGAGCAGAAAGATCGGGATGTTTCAAATATTATTTCCTATATAGAGCTTCCCCCCTAAGTTTTTATTAAGAAAAATAATAGTTTAAAAAAGGATATATATTCCTAACTGTCATATTTGTCATGGACTGGGTGAGCATCTGGTTTAGACAGCGTATGTCTCAGTAGCCCGTTGCTGTCCCTTGCCCAGCACTGTTCTCTGTAAGGACAGAAGTGTTTTGGGACTTCATGTCATCACCTTAAAACTAGTGTCCGTTTTGTAGGCTCTTTGTTAAGCTAATATATATATATATATATATTAATATGTAATACTAGTCTGAAATAAAATTGACACAGGGAGATGTTATAATTTTCATCCCAGCCCTTGATCATCCTTAGTATGGTATGCAAAGTATACTTAGATACTTATTTTACCCCTTAGAGTTACGTGGTCCTGGGATTAAAAAGCAGAAAAATATGTTGTTCCAGTATGTTGGTACTAAAGATTAGTAAATTTTCAGCTAAAGTTTGCTGAGCCAAACTTGGCTCATTATTTTCACTTTTTTCTGTGAGCTTTCTGTCGGTTTTCGGGATTTCTCATTTGGTGAGAGGAGAGAGGAGACTTGGGGCAAGAAGGAAGGTTATTAACTCAGGTGCAACAACTAGCCCCTCATCGCCTGCTTTGTGATGTGCTGAGTACGGTGGGGGTGGAGAACAAATTTCCGTATCCTGTTCTTCAAAGTGATGAGTGTTTCTCTTACTGTCTTTTTTTTTTTTTTCTTTCAGGTGGTCTTGCCTGCTGCTAGAAAATACTTTGAGCACAAAATTCTCAACAGTGATTTAAGCCATAGTAACTTCTTAGAAAATGAGAGACTTATGTCCTTGACCAGCTTTGAAGATTCATCTGGTATTCCAATGTGATTGGGACTTTCCTGGTCTTTCCTTTGCCACTCTGTTGCTTTTGTGCCAGCTTTTTGTGTTTTTTGCCCTCCCCTTTGAGTTCTTTTCAGCGCTCAGATGGGTTACTTCTGTTAAGTGTTGGGATTTAAAAGCTTCGTTCTGCATATCAATACTGCAATTATATTCACCCCTCCGTTTAACATTATTGGATGCAAAGTAATCATCTATTGGTGCTGCTCAGTTGAAAGCACTGTGTTTCTTTTTTCTTTCTTGTTTTTAGATTTTACTTATTTGAAAGGCAGGGTGGTTGTGAAGGATATTCTTGGTTTTATCTTTTCTATCCTCTGCTTCATTCACTTTTCTTTCTTTTTGTTTTTCTTTAAGATTTCTTTTATTTAAAAGAAGGAAGGAAGGTATTAAAGGAAGGTATTTAAAGGAAGATATTACTAAGAGAGAAGGACAGACAATAAGACTGGGCCTTCCATCCAGTGGTTCACTCACCATATGGCCACAGTGGCTGGGCCTGAACCAATCTGAAGCCAGGAGCCAGAAGCTTCCTTTGGGTTTCCCACATGTGTGCCACGTGCCAGGACCTGGACCGTCCTCCTCTGTTTTCCGGGCCACAGACTAGGAACTCTGCCGGAAGTAGAGCAGCCGAGACAGGAATCGGCACGCACAGGATATCAGTGCTGCAGGCGAAGAATAGACTTGCTATGCTACTGCACCAGCTTTCCCTTTTATGATCTGCGTATCTGTCTTATATTGTTAGTGTTGACCACTTGCCACATCATCTCAGGAAGAGTTGCTTGGCTCTCTTCATGCCACATTTATTGCTGCTATATGCATTTAATCTGTTGCTACTATATAATATTCTGGGGCCTATTTCTTTACTGTCAGCTTGCGTTAAAATGTTTGTAATCATTTAAAATGGACTAAAATGAGTATAGCTTTCTCATGTCAAATGCGAAAACAAGATTAGCCCATTGGGCCATTGGCTTTTTGGACTAAAAATCATTTGTAGTTGAGTCACTGCCTTAAAATATTCCTGTATTTTTCTATGTTTTATCGATAGATGAAGATATCAATGATGAAGAGTTTTATGATGATCATTTGGAGGCTTATTTTGAACAACTGGCAATACCAGGAATGATCTACGAAGACCTACAGGGACAGGAACCTCCAGAAAAAAATCTCAGGTTACCTAAATGTGAGCCTCACCAGGTGTGTTCTGCTTGTTATGGTCCTTCAGAAATTTACCTAGAAGAATTACTGTTGATCTCATTGGTTGTTAACGTTAAGTCTCTGGTTTTCTTTTTTTAGATAGGAGAAATACCTATTTGTCCCTCTTCTCTTTCTCTACTTTCAACTACAGCAAATATTGTTAACATTTTCCATTTTGTGTTTTCTTTCTTCTCAGTGCTTTCTCTCTGAATCATTTGCAGATAAGCTGAAGATTATATACTATTTCACCCCAAGCATCATCCTTTATCTGTTTTGAATAAAGACATTTCCTTTCGTTGGCATAGCCCTGTTAACTTTCCTTTATTGTTTCTGATCTAGAACTTAATTAAGATTATGCTTACCTTTGGTCGTCCTATTTATTTATTCTGGTTTTTTGTTTTTTTAAAGACTTACTTGAAAGGCAGGGTGACAGAAAACAAGAGGAAGTGCAGGAAAGAGAGGTTGTCGTCTCTGACTCGCTGAGCAGATGGCTGTAGCAGCAGGGTTGGAACACCATCCGGGGCTCGCATGTGGGTGGCAGGCCCAGTCACTGTGGCCATATTCTGCTGTTTTCTCAGGCTTATTCTCTGCCGGGGTTGGAATTGGAGCAATGGGGCTTGAACGGATAGTGGCTTATCCCACTGTACCACAACGCTGGCTTCTCTGTATTTTAATTTGGAGTAGTTATTTTTGGGCATTAAAACCTAGGCAGTCTTGTCTTTGTTCTGTAGAATTGGCCATGTGTGGATATGTGTGATTGTTTTTCTCTCAAATTAGATTAAGCATTTTGTCAAGACATCAGGCGAAGCATTTTTTTTATGAGTGGGTTCAGATTAAGCACCAGGGATATTGTGTTGTCTCTTATCAGGAAGCGTGTAAGCCTTTTTGTCCAGTGTCTTGTCATTGCTGTCTTTGATAGTTGTGGTTAAGGTAGTGCTGGCCTGGTGGTTAGTGGCAAAGACACATTTTCCACTTCGCTGTTTGTGGGATTACACAGGAAGGCCCTGTGATCATCTGGCTCCCTGGCAGCCTTTTGTGAACTGGTTGTATTATATCAACTGAAACCTCTGAAATGCATTACTTGGTGCTCCTTTGAATTCTCTAATCCTTTTTTGTTAACGAGTTGTCATCTTTCAGAAAAGCATTCTCTGCTCCCCACCTTTGCCCTGTCACGGTGTGTAATTTTAATGTAAAAGATGAATACAACTAACATATCCTTTCAACAGGAGAATGAATACAGTAGCGTGGCTGCTACACTTCAATCCGACAGTAACAGCTCTGTGATTTCCCGTGATTCACACTTTCCAAGAAATTGTGAAATGGCACGGAAACAGAACGAGGAAGCTTGTGCTGCTTGTCATCCTGGAGCCAGTAAGAGTGAGTACTGAAATAGGATTCTTAGTTTTTAAATTGTGTATTTGACTTCACCATTTTTCTTTAGAGTGTTTACTTGAAAGGCAGAATATACAGAAAAACGTGGATCTTGTGGGCCTGCCGCACTAGCCTACTGACTATGAAGTCCTCACCTTGCACACGCCAGAATCCCATATGGGTTCTGGTTCGTGTCCCGGCTGCCCCACTTCCCATCCAGGTCCCTTCCTGTGGCCTGGGAGGGATTATAGAGTATAGCCCAAGCGTTGGGACCCTGCACCCGAGGGAGACTCAGAAGAAACTCCTGGCCTCTGGCTTCGGATCAGCCCAACTCTGGCTGTTGTGGCTATTTGGGGAGTGAACAGAAGTTGGAAGATCTTTCTGTCTCTCTTTCTGTAGCAATTCTGACTTTTGTAATTAAAAATAAATAAGGAAATCTTTAAAAAAGATGGGGGGAGGTCTTATCGCTTCCCAAATGGCTTGCATGGCTGAGGCTAGACGAGGCTAGCGCCAGGAAGCTGGAACTCTTTGTGGATATCCTACATTGGTGAGCGGGGCAAGGACTCTGCATCTGCTGCATAAGCAGCGCCTGGATTGGAAGGGGAATAGCTAGGGCACATGCCAGTGCTCATGGGATGCTGACATTGTAGACACTAGCCTCAACTGCTGCAACACAGTGCGAGCCCCTCTCCTTGATTAAGAAAAGAGTATTTGAAAGGGAGTGGGGTGGGCGCTATAGCTCAACAGGCTAATCCTCCACCCTGTAGTGCCGCCATCCCGTATGGGTACTGGCTTGTGTTGCAGCTGTTCCGCATTTGATACAGCTCCCTACTCATGGCCTGGGAAAGCAGCAGAGAATGGCCCAAGGCCTTGGGACCCTGCACCCACATAGGAAAATGAATAGAAGCTCCTGGATCTCAGCTTTGGATCAGATCAGCTCAGCTCTGGCTCTTGCAGCTAACTGGGGGGGGGGGGGGGTTTGAACCGGCAGATGAAAGACATTTGTCGTCTCATAGAAAAATAAGTAAATAAAAAAAGAAAAAAATGAGAGTGATAACTATGAGAGAGACAAACAGATAAAAATGAGAGAGACAGACAGAGATCGTCCATCCACTGGTTCATTTTCTAAATGATAGGCAGGGATAGACCAGGCTGATGTGAGGAGCCAGAGGCTCTGTGGGTCTCTTATGGGACTGGTAAAAACCCAAGAAGCTGGACTCTCACCCCTGCCTCCCGGATGCATTTGCTGGTCGCTGGAGTCAGCAGCAGGAGGAGGACCATCTCAGGCACTCCAGCTGGGATCTGGCTTAGCTTGCTGTGCCACAATGCCTGTCCCCAAGAAGGAGTTCTTTATGATGTATGTGCATTCATCTTCCAATCCCTTCATACTTTCAGATAGTCGAAGAGTTGTAATGAATTCTGTATGACAGGTTTTTCTTTTTCAAGATTTATATATTTTTATTGGAAAGTCAGATAGAGATAAGAAGAGACAGAGCGAAGATCTTCCATCTGATGATTGAATCAGTAAGTGGCCGCCGGAGCTGAGCCAATCTATAGCCAGGAGCCAGTAGCCTCTTGCAGGTGTCCCATGTGGGTACAGGCCCCAAGGCTTTGGGCCATCCTCTACTGCTTTCCCAGGCCACAAGCAGGGAGCTGGGATGGGAAGCGGCGCTGCCAGAATTAAAACATGCAAGCCGAGGACTTTAGCCACTAGGCTACTGTGCTGGGCCTGTGACAGACTGCCTCTTCTTAATGCTGTCTTCTTTCATACACAGTTACTAAATTGGTCAGTGAATGCTGGGCATTTTGTTTACGTGAATTAACTTGACCATGAAGAAGAACTTTTACATTGGAGTATCTGAACTTGACACTGTTGCACTTTTTCTTTTCAGTTAATTCTGTGGGTGCTGAAAATGGTAGAACACAAACAGATGATGTATTGCCGTTTGCCTGCAGTACTTGGAGAACTGAGGAAAAAAGAACAGAAGGCTCGAAGGGTATTGTTCCAGAGCAGAGAAGAGTAAGTTAATATGCCTTTTTTTTTTTTTTAAGTTTTCTATGAAAAGAAATACATCTTTTGTGTTTATGATACCAGTTTTTTGTTTTTGTTTTTTTCCCTAAAACAGCAGGTATGTTGAGTTCTGGAAAATATAGAATACATACATGTCACTAATGCTTATGTGTATGTATTTGCTTTATATCACCAGTATTATAGAATTGTATACACTTTATTGCATTTAGATTATTCAACTGAAAAGTTCCTTAGTGTCTATTAAGTAAGAAAAGCAAACTGCTAACTTTTTACTTGGCTCCAGCACATTTGTCTCCATTCTCCAGTGTTCTCTGTTAGTAGTTAATGTTACTTTTCTCTTGGGCTTGAAGCTTTGTACTCCCCCCACCCCCGCTTTTTTTTTTTATTTTATTTTTAATAGTGTTTACATAGTTGAGGGATGCATGCCCATGTGGGCCTCTGATTAGGGTGAGGAGGATTAGATTTGGAGGAAGTTGGATGGGACCCATGTTTTTGTTTTTTGTTTTTGTTTTCCCCTAATGTTTCTGTTGGGGAGATGGGGGATGGGACCACTCCTTGTTGTCCAAGTTCCCTAAGTTCCCCTGCCAGGCCTGTTCCCAGCATGCATGGCGGGGGCTTGGCATGCTGTGCGCTCATCCCCGCACTCACATGCCCCAGTGGGTGCTGCAGCCTTGCCTCACTCGGCCTTTTCCCAGTTCCAGCTGCCACGCGTGACAGGTGAGGTGCTGTCAGCTTGGTTCCGTGGTCCTCCCAGGGTGAGCTCTCCGCTCTCTCACACAAACCCTTGTCTCTACTTTTTTTTTTCTGGCTTGCTTCCCTAATCCGGATGATGACTATCTTGTTTCAAGTCACACACCTGGGAACTTTTAAATAACTGTAGGCTATACCAATATGGACTCCTGTTGTAATCATATACTACAGAATGCGACTTACCTAGAGTTTACCTTGCAGCTCATTCAAGAGTCACTTGAGTAGAAAGGTCTTTCCTGGTCCCTGGAGCAGATGCTCTAGAGTTCATGGGTTTTTCTTCCTAGAATCGTGATTGGGAGAGAGAGAGAGTGTATAGTGGTGGTACCTGTTTACATAATGCTGTAGTGTTTCTGTTGTCTGTCTAACGTATTTCTAATCCTCAAGCAATTAAAATAAGAAAATAGGAAAAAAGTAAGAAGAGACAACATCTTTAATTTTTGTTTTTGTCTGAATGTATTAATTGTGAAGTCTTACAAATATCTCAATCTGTGACCATAAAGTTTTGGTCTAGGAGTGTTGTTCTGTTGTAGTAGAATTATCGTTAAAATAGTGACTATTTGCCATTAAAAATAGAATGTTTAGATTATTTTTTTATTTGTTTAGATTATTATTTTTTTTTTATTGGAAAGGCGGATATACAGAGAGGAGAGACAGAGAGGAAGATCTTCCGTCCGATGATTCACTCCCCAAGTGAGCACAACGGCCGATGCTATGCCGATCCGAAGCCAGGAGCCTCTTCCGGGTCTCCCACACGGGCGCAGGGTCCCAAAGCTTTGGGCCGTCCTCGACTGCTTTCCCAGGCCACAGGCAGGGAGCTGGAAGGGAAGCGGGGCTGCCGGGATAGAACCGGCACCCATATGGGATCCCAGGCGTGCAAGGCGAGGACCTTAACCACTGCGCCATCGCGCCGGGCCCTACATTATTATTTTTAAAGATTATTTTTATTTGAATGGTATATTTACAGAGAGGAGAGACAGGAGGAGAGAGATCTTCCTTCCTTTCATTCACTGCCCAAGTGACCGTGCACTCATCCCATTCTGAAGCTGGGCCCGTTGGAAGCCAGGAGCTTGTAGCCTCTTGCAGGTCCCACATATGTGTTCAAGGGCCCAGGTGCTTGGGCATCTTTCACTGCTTTTCTAGGCACCTTAGCAGGAAGCTGGATTGGAAGGATTCCTGTATTCTAGGATTTGAACCAGAGCTTTTATGGGATGCTGGCACCGCACGTGAAGGCTTAAACTTGTACTCTAGGAGACTGGCTCCAGCTTATGTGAGAGACAGGGAGTGAGTATCCAGCTGCTGGTTCATCCCCAAATGCCTGCCATGGTTGGCGCTGGGACCGGGCTAGGGCCAAAGCAGGGAGTTGGGAATACATTCTCTCTCCGTCTGTCCGTGGGTGGCAGGTACACCATTAATTAAGCCATTGCGGGCCCGGTGGCATGGCCTAGCAACTGAAGTCCTTGCCTTGAATGTGCTGGGATCCCATGTGGGCGCCAATTCTAATCCCAGCAGCTCCACTTCCCATCCTGCTTGTGGCCTGGGAAGGCAGTAGAGGACGGCCTGGTGCGTTGGGACCCTGCACTCATATGAGAGACCTAGAAGAGCTCCTGGCTCCTGGCTTCGGATTGGCTCAGCTCCAGCCTTTGCGGCCACTTGGAGAGTGAACCATCAGATGGAGGATCTTCCTCTCCGTCTCTCCTCCTCTTTGTATATCCGTCTTTGTAATAAAAATAAATCGATCTTTAAAAAAAAAAAATTAAGCCATCACCCAGCCTCCACAGTTCTTTCATTGAAGGACGAAGAGTCAGCAGCCCATGCCTATAACTGAACCTAAAACTCCAGTGAGGGCTTCCACTTTTTTCTGTATTTATGTTTTGTGGGTTTTTTTTTTTGGTATTTATATATATGTGTGTGTGTGTGTGTATTTATCTTAGATGGTTTTAACATAGTAGATCAGAATGGAGTAGATCAAGAGTTAAGGAAAAGTGGATATTATCGTTGTTTCCAAGTTTTCTGTTTCTCCTTTTTGTTTCTGAAGAGTGGGGATATGGGAAGAAGCTAAACCCAGCCTCCCAGCCGCCCCAGTAGCCAGGGATGGGTAACGGCCACCTGCTATCAACCCAGGATCCCAAGGTGGCACACTGAGGATTCTGTCTAGGTGGTTTCGATAGTTCTGGAATGTTACGGATCTCACCAATCCAAGGATGAAGAACCCCTTCCAATGCCCATTGGCTGACATAGGCGACCTCAGTCTCCATTCGCCCAAATATTTGCTGTCATCGTTTGGCTGGGGTAGTTGTCCAATTTGATCTATTCTCCTTCCTCTGCAATGGTACAGATGTCCCCTGCACGGCTCAATGGAGTGGCGTATCCTCCATGTGGATCTGGGCCTGCCATCCACTACTCCATCTTTTCCACTGAGGAGGACCAGTTCTCACGTGGGCCAAGGACCTGAGCCATTCGACTCGGGTCTCACGGGACCCATACCCACACTGGCTCATGGGCTCAGCACCCATGACTCAGAGTGGCCCGTGGACTCAGGCGGGCCTTGCCGGGCCCCGCCCCCATGGCTCACAGAACCTGGCACACACTGCGCAGGCGGGCCAAGGACCCAGAACAGGTGAACTTGGTCCTGCCAGACCCCACCGCCTGGGCTCAGGGATCCAGCACTCACTGTAAAGGTGGGCCAAGGACTTGGGATTCTGGTTACCTTTTGTGTAACATTTAACATGCCAAAGTGATAACATTCTCATTTGCATTTGTACCAGGCCAGCAAACAGAATCCCTGCTTCTGTATTTCTTCCTGTTGATGTCACAGATCACATCTTTACAAATAGTGTGCCCAGTTGTGTGGATTAGTGGGATCTTTTGGTAGTTGTCTTTACATCATGTAAGAAATCAAAAGCGGAGTTCCAAGTTAAAATAATATTAGCTTTTGGAGCCGGCGCGGTGGCGCAGTGGTTAAGGTCCTCGCCTTGCACGCCTGGGATCCCATATGGGCGCCGGTTCTAATCCCGGCAGCCCCGCTTCCCTTCCAGCTCCCTGCTTGTGGCCTGGGAAAGCAGTCGAGGACGGCCCAAGGCTTTGGGACCCTGCACCCGCGTGGGAGACCCGGAAGGGGCTCCTGGCTTAGGATCAGCATAGCATCGGCCGTTGTGCTCACTTGGGAAGTGAATCATTGGACGGAAGATCTTCCTCTCTGTCTCTCCTCTCTGTATATCCACCTTTCCAATAAAAATAAAAAGTAAATCTTAAAAAATACTAATAATATTAGCTTTTATTATCACCCACATGTTGGTCTTTACTGGAAATCTTTACAGGAGTTACTGTCTGCTTGATGCATTCTTTTTTTTTAATTAAAGATTTATTTTATTTTTATTGGAGTGAACCAGAGTATGGAAGATCTTTCTATCTCCTTCTATCTGTATATCTGCTTTTCCAGTAAAAATAAATCTTAAAATACAAATATGCTTGTTACCATTGTGGAAACTTTGGTTGACAATTATGAAAGTTAGCCTGAAGTTTTGTCATCCTGTAATGGGATGGACTCTGAAGACCTGCGTTAGGTGTCTGATACTGTGGTGGAGCTGGTGTTGGTGAATCGCTCATGTTGGCTTGCGAATGGTCTAGAATACAGTGGGGACCGTTCACTTAAGCTGATCCTTCAGAAATACTCTTTACCAGATACATGATTTTTCCCTGTGAGATTTGAGAATAAAAGCTTACTGAGGAGATGTCATTGGTTTTTTTGTTTATTTTTTTTTTAAGGAAAGCACCAGAGAAGGTGTTCTGATGAAAACACTCGCCTCTACCAAAGAGAAAACGAACTCGGCTCGTTTACAGGATGCGGACGCCGGTTCTAATGGGAGTGTTGACGGGACTGACCGCTTAAAGCAGGGAGCGGGAACTCCTCAGCAAAACAAGGATTTGTCATCAGACTCGGAAGCAGCTCTGCATGTGGAAGGATGCTTAGACCCTGGCGCGTCTGTGGCCTCTGTTGAGAAGCCTGTGGACGTGGTGTCATGGAAGCCGGTTAGTAAGGACGCAATTCATTCCAGTGAGACTCTGCGGTCGCCAACCTGTGAGAGGCGAATGTGCGAATTGTATGCATCCACTGAAAAGAGTAAAGAGCGTAAGTACTTTCTTTCTGGTACGATGAAACTGCACTCTCCGGTCTTCTGTGTTTCTTACATTTGAAGCATCTTAAAAATATATTACTTCAGGGGCCCGGCGCAACAGCACAGTGGTTAAGGTCCTCGCCTTGCACGCCCGGGATCCCATATGGGCGCCCGTTCTAATCCCAGCAGCTCCACTTCCCATCCAGCTCCCTGCCTGTGGCCCGGGAAGGCAGTCGAGGACGGCCCAAAGCTTTGGGACCCTGCACCTCTGCAGGAGACCTTGAAGAGGCTCCTGGATTCTGGCTTTGGATCGGCATAGCATCGGCCGTTGTGCTCACTTGGGGAGTGAATCATCGGACGGAAGATCTTCCTCTCTGTCTCTCCTCTCTGTATATCCGCCTTTCCAATAAAAATAATTTAAAAAAATAAATCTTTAAAATATATATATATATTACTTCAGAATGGTTATTTACATGCTATTTTTAATGTTTTGTTTTTTTCTTTGAAAGATAGAGATCTTACATCTGCTGGTTCATTTCCCCAAATGCCTGACCCTGCTGGACTGGGCCAGGCTGAAATGGGAAGCCTGGAACTCACTCCCTGTCTCCTGCATGGTGGCAGGGACCCGGGCACTTTGAGTCATTGTCTGCTGCCTCTGAAGCTTGAGGTTAGCGGAAATCTAGCATGAACGAAGGTGGAGGAGCCAGGATTCGAAACCAGGGTGGGATGTGGATGCCCAAAGTGATGCCCCCAGGTGTTGGACCAAACGCTTAGAAATCGTATCTTTTAATTAGAGAGATAGTGGAAATATATATATATATATGTGTTTGTTGAAAGTTTATTTATTTATTTGAAAAAGCAGCGTAAAAGATAGATGAAGAGACCTGAATCTCCCATCTGCCGGCTTACTCCCCAAACGGGCACACTCTGGGGAGCTGAGCTGATCTGAAGGCAAGAGCCAGGAACTTCCTCTGGCCATCCTCCACCGTGTTCCCAGGTGTGTTAGCCGGGAGCTGGGTTGGAAGAGGTGTAGCTAGGAATCCAACCGGTGCCTGTGTGGGATGCCAGCAGGCAGGGGCTTTACCTGTTACCCAGCTGCACCTTCCCTGGAAATACATGTTTCCCAATCTTAGTCTTCCTTCTCTTTATCCCTCATTTTCCACTAGAGGCTTTTACAATGCATAAGCGTTTCTGTTTATCGGGAAGGAGATACTTTTCTTTTAGAGAAATGCATTTTCCTTTTTTTTTGAAAGGCAGAATTACAGAGAGAGGAGGAGACACAGAGAGAAAGATCTTCTGTCCGCTGGTTCACTCCCCAGGTGGCTGTAACAGCCGAGGCTGAGCCCATCCAAAGCCAGGAGCCGGGGTATCCCATGTCGGGGTAGAGTCTCAAGGCTTTGGGCTGTGATCTGCTGCCTTTGCAGGCCACAAGCACAGAGCTGGCAGGGAAGTGGAGTGGCCAGGGTACGAACTGGCATCCATATGGGATCCTGGGTGTGAGGACTGTAGCTACTAGGCTACCACGCCGGGCCCTGATTTGTTTCTTTAAGCAAAGTTGGAAAAAGAGGCCAAGCTTCCAACTGCTGGTTCATTCCTCAGACGGCCACAATGGCTCAGACCCTGGGGTAGTGACCCAAGTGCTTGGACTATTTACCATGGATTTCCCGGGTCTGATAGCAGGGTATTAGATTGGAAGTAGAGTAGCTGACACTCCAACCGGTGCCCACATTGGATGGTAGCTTTGGCAGGTGGTGGCTTTACTTGCTGTGCCACACTCTGGCCTCTTCCTGGTTCGCTGTATATTAGTACTGTTGATAACTCAGTTAACTAACATTATTTGAGAATGCTTTCTCATTGTAGTTGCTTGATGTGCTATTACCTTTTTGGAAATTTTATTTTGTAGAAGCACACCTCCCACAGGATGTGGTCTCACAAGATGAGGAGGATAAATGGGACACTGAGTTGGCCTACTATACATCTTTTACTAATGAGCAAGATTTTAATTCCTGTCTAAACGAGCAGATGAATGAAGTCTTCGCATCTGGCAGTAAGTATATAGATTCCTAATTTTCTTGTATTGTTTCTTTGTTTTGCTGGGACTTTTTGAGATTACTTATATATATGTCAGCAGGGCCCTTCTGTTCATATTCCAGAAGTTCCTTGTTTGTTTTTACAGGAGCAAGTTCTTTGTTGTTGAGGAATAAGCTGGTCTGTTCCCTTCCGCAAGAGTGATGAGTTAGATTAGCAACCTTTTTTATATAATTCCCACAATATTGCTGGGTTTGAAGGACATTATGGCTTTACTTGGCCATTTTTAAAATGTTGTCCTGAGTAAAAAAAAAAGTTGAAAAGTGAATCCATTTCAAGTTAAGATTACAAAAGTAAAGTGGAAATCATAGAAGAAAAATTAAAAAGTGAAATATCAGAAAGACGAGACTATTCAAAAGAAGTAACAAGACTGCTTGATGAGTTTCTGGCGAAGGTTTCATAAGCTGGCGAGGCCTGCGGAATGCTGAGTCCCGCGTGTTCACAGGCCCGTGCTGGGCCGATGCTGTGCTGCAGCCCTCAGCGACTGCTCTGCCCAGAGTGAGTCCTGGCCGGTCAGCCCTCAGGGCAGCCGCTCTACCCGGAGTGAGTCCTGGCCGGTCAGCCCACAGAAAGTGCCCAAGACAGAAGTGACTGCAAGCATTGCTTGAGCTGGTCTGCACCTGTGATTCTTCGGCAGTGCAGAGATAAATCAGCTGTTACTGCAGTCCTTGAGAAGTTATCCTTCGGGAGAAGGCTGGGCCAGGCTTTTCTGTTTGGGCCAGTGTGTACAGCTTGAGGTTGTGTGAGGATGCAGGGATGCTTCCTCACGGAGCTGTGGTGCCAGCAGGGACACGGAGAGCAGGCAGATGGCCACCTGCCCTCATTTGTCCAGCCTGAGGTTTCCTCAGCCTTTCTAAAGCTTAGATATTTTTGAGTGAGCAGGTACCTGGGCAGCCTCGCAAACATCTTTGTGGTGAACTTACGTAATCTCTTAGTCTGATAGTTCAAATGAAATTCCTTAAGTATTCATGGGCGTGTACGTTAACTTAGGGCTGTCAGACCCTTCAAAGCTGATATTAATTTGAAACTTGAGAAATGAAAAATTGACACAGGGGGCTGGTGCAGTGGCTCAATTGACTAATCCTCCACCTGCAAGCACCTACATTCCATATAGGTACCAGTTTGTGTCCCGTCTGCAACACTGTACATCCAGCTCCCTGCTTATGGCCTCAGGTGGCCCAAAGTCTCAGGACACCGCACTCACATGGGAGACCCTGAAGAACCTTCTGGCTCCTGGCTTTGGACTGGCTTGGTTCCGGCAGTTGCGGCTACTTGGGGAGTGAACCAGCAGATGGAAGATGGTTCTCTCTGCCTTTCCTTCTCTCTGTAAATATGCCTTTCCAATAAAAATGAATAAACCTTACAAAACTTTTACAGACTCTGGTACACGAGAACAAGTTGAGGATGCAGTCAGTCAGAATCCTGTGTAGACCCGTGTTCTCCAAGCAGCTGCAGTGTAGGGTTTATGTCCTTCATGTTGAGTTTTTTTTTTGTTTTTTTAAGATTCATATTTTTTCCTTGAGTTACTGCTGACAGAGAGAGAGAGAGATTTTCCACCCGCTGTTTCACTCCCCAAATGGTCACAATGGCCAGAGCTGGGCTTCTTGGAAATTGGGAGCCAAGAGCTTCATCCAATCCCCACGTGGGTACAGGGGACCGAGGCCTTGGGCCATCCTCCGCTGCCTTCCCAGGCTATTAGGCAGAAGCTGGATTGGAAGTAGAGCTGTTAGGACTAGAACCAGTGTCCATATGATGCGGTGCCAGTGCGGACACTTCTGGTTTTGTTATTTGACTCAGTTGTTGGTGTGCTACTGCTTAATTAGGCATTATTGTAATGTAATTATATGAACTTCTTTTTAAGCTGAAGCATTGGATTTGATTGCTCAAGATGAAGCAGAATTTAATAAGCAACATCAATTTATGCAGGTTTGCAATTATTTCCTTAAAAACAGTTTAAAATCTTGTTTCTATGGGCAAAATGTTTGTTTCTTCCTGACTAGATATTTAATTAGTACAGAATTTTTATTCTCATGTTTTTAGCTTCTTTTTCATTCATATTCTAAATTGTTAATTGAATATTATAATACTGGGGTAAATCTTTTTTTAATAATGATGGGTTTATATTCTTTTAAATTTTTTTTCAATTTTTTTCATGTATTTGAAACTCAGAGGCAGCAATCTCCCAACCATTGATTCCCTCCCAAAATGCCTGGTGCTGACAGGTCTGGGCTGGGATGGCTGATGGTGTAGACGAGTCTGGGGTGGGATGGCTGGTGAAACAGATTGATCTGGTCCGGGATGACTGGTGGTGTAGACAGATCTGGGCCGGAATGGCTGGTACAGCCCCAAGCTTTGCACACTGATAACAGTCTGTGAGCTGCTAGCGCATGCCACTACACCAAGTCTTCCATTCACTTAGAATAACTTTTAATAGTGTGCACAGATAGGTCCACAGTTTTTTTTTTTTCATTTAAAAAAGAGGAAATTATTTTAAAACAGATGCAGTGTTTTGTAGTTGTACAAATGTAGTGGTATCCCCCTTGTCTTTTCCTCTCTCCCATCCTCCTTTCATTTGTTATTTCTTTAGAAATATATTTTCATTTTACCAATTAGTGAAAGGGTTTAATACTTTGTTGATTAAGAAGTTGTATAAAAAGTATAAAGAACCTAGTTAGTGCGAATATAGATAATAATTGAATTGAAAAGTGACTGCTTGACCCATATGCAGTGAATTTTTAAGTAATTACAGATCATTAAAACAATGGCAGTCTAACATTCTTAACCATTGATTGCATAGTTTGTAAAATATGTTTTAAAATAAGGTAATGCTGTTTGTTTCTAGTAACGATCTAGGTACAGCTTAGTAATGTGACAGTGTTTGACTAAGCAATATGCATTGTAACTGAAGTATTCAAAAAGTCACCTTCCTGATTTCATTAACTACATATGTTTGAATGTGTTCAGGTTTTGTTTTTGGCCTACCCTCTTCAAAATAGACTTTTTAAGTTTTCTTGTTAAAATCTTCTGAAAAAAATAATTAAGGAGTGGAGAGAGAATGAGCTCTCGTCTTCTGACTTACTCCTCATGTGCTCAGTGGCCGGGGCTGGGCCGGGGCTGGACCGGGGCTGGGCCGGGGCTGGGCCGGGGCTGGGCCGGGGCTGGACCGGGGCTGGGCCGGGGCTGGACCGGGGCTGGACCGGGGCCACAGCTAAGAACTGCAAACGCAATCCAGGTTTCCCATTTGGGAAGCGGGAGCCCAGTTACTGGGTGCTGCCTCTGAATCTGCACTGGCAGGAACCTGTAGTTAGGGGTTGAGGTATCGAACCCCGCTGCCCTGCGGGGCGGACTGTGGAGTATCTTACCTGCATGTTAGTGTGGCAAACAGGTTTGATAGGGGAAGAAGAAATGGAATAATAACTTTTTGTTTGCCAGGAAGAAAACATAGATGCTCAACATACTTCAGTTGCAGTGGAGAATACGTCCTGGTTGCCTGCAGTGAATTACAATCTGCTGAGGAAATCATTCAGCACGCCTGAGCTGAACAAGGGCGATGCCAGCTATTTACGCCTGTCCTTAGGGGAGTTCTTTGCTCAGAGATCTGAAGCTCTCGGATGCCTTGGTGGCGGTAGCAATGTGAAAAGAGTAAGTATGAATATGCTGGAACCTGTGAAAGGGATCTGATTCTTGGTCCTTTCTGGGTTGCCATACCAAAATATTCAAGACTTGGCAGGTTATAAAGGAAAGTGACCTGTTGTGGCACAGTTTTGCAGGTGAAGATGTTGAAGATTGGGTGGGGCATCTCATTGCATTTCTGTGAGGACATGGGAAGGTAGAAACTCGGGCCAGAGAAATAGGTTTGCAGGAGAAGGACGTGCGAGCGAGAGGAAACAAGGCAAAGCTGAAGAAACCAAACTTTGTAACGAGGCTGCATGCTGTGCCTGAATGCTGGGAGCAGAGGCATCTGGGAGCTCTGAGCAACTAGATAAGAGACTGCTCTAGGCCCAGTCCTCAAAGCGCTGTGCCCCTCAGGGCTTCTGGGCCGGTGACAAGAGGGGCCCTGAGGGAAGCCCTTGCGTTCTGACCACCAGCGGCTGGCTCCATTTCAGCCTGGACCGAAGGGTTGCATGGCCAAAGTTTCAGTATTCTGTGCAAAATTCCTGTTTTCTATTGGTACATGGCCTAATGGTTTTTTTCAAAAATGTTCGGTCTACTTCCGTTTCTTTAAACATCAGTATTTCTTTTGTTTTTTGAAGATTTACTTATTTTTATTGCAAATTTAGATATACAGAGAGGAGCAGAGACAGAGAGGAAGATCTTCCGTCCAATGATTCACTCCCCAGGTGACTGCAATGGCCAGTGCTGCACTGATCCAAAGCCAGGAGCCAGGAACTTCCTCCAGGTCTCCCTCGTGGGTGCAGGGTCCCAAGGCTTTGGGCCGTCCTCAACTGCTTTCCCAGGCCACAAGCAGGGAGCTGGATGGGAAGTGGAGCTGCTGGGATTAGAACCGGCACCCATATGGGATCCTGGGGCGTTCAAGGTGAGGACTTTAGCTGCTAGGCCATGGCGCCAGGCCCTAAACATTGGTATTTTAAAAAAATGCTTTGCTTGAGAGTACAGTGTGAAGGCTCAGTGGCTAAATCCTTGCCTTGCACATACTGGGATACTATATTGGGTCACAGTTCACAGACTGGCTGCTCTACTTCCCCATCAAGCTTGATGACCTGGGAGAGTAGTTGAGGACAACCCAAAGTGTTGGGACCCTGCACCCATGTGCAAGACCCAGAAGAAGCTCCTGGCTTGGGATTACCTCAGGTCTAGCCTTTGTGGCCTTTTCAGGAGTGAACCAGCAGATGGAAGGTCTTTCTGTCTTTCCTCTCTGTAAGTCTGCCTTTCCAGTAAAAACAGATCCATCATAGGGCCTGGTGTGGTAGCCTAGAGGCTAGAGTCCTCACCTCGTATGCGCCAGGAGAGATGTTGCACGGGTTCATCTCCTAAATCCCTGCAGTACAGCCGTGGGTGGGCCTCATCTGATTCTCCCACATGGCAGGCAGGAGCCAAAGCGTCCGAGCTCCTGCAAATGTCTGCTGCTTTTCAGGAAGCATCAGCTGCACACTTACTTGGAAGTGAAGTAGCAGGGGACTTAAATTGGAGCTCTGATGCGGAATTGTTTATTTGTCTACTTGAAAAGGAGAGTTTCTCTCTCTCTCTCTCTCTCTCTTGCTCTCACACACACACACACACACACACACACACACACGGACAGGGAAGGAGAAGAAATCTTCCATCTGTTGGATCACCCCAGATGCCATGTTAGCCAGGGCCGGGCCAGTTCTGGTAGCCTAGAACTCCATCCAGAGCGCTCACATGGCGACAGAGACCTAAGCATCTGAGTTGCTGTGCGGCGCGTCTGGGCATACAGTACAAGGAAACTGAATTGGAAGCAGAATAGCTGGCACTTGTAAAGGAACGTTGACTTGGGATGGGGCCTTACAAGTGTCAGAATAGCATACTGTGCCACAATGCTTGATCCGACTTCCTTTTTCCTTATCCATTCTGCCTTTACAGAATTCCATTCCTTGCTTGCTTCAGTTCAACAGCCCAAATGTTTCTACTTAGTTAATGTTTCTGCCTGATACCTTTTTCATCAGTCTGAAGCTTTTCCTACGTAAAAACTTAGGGTGTGGACATAACACGGCCAAGTGATTGTTACTCTCTATCAGTGCTGGGCTTCTACTCCACTTTCCAGTGGGTTCTTTCTCATTTTCATCGAAAATCTTGTGAGCTTGGTCTTCGTCCACTGTTGTGTCGGGCTAGTCACAGCCACATTGCTGTCTTAAGTTCCAGACATTACTGTTCTGTTTTGTTCTGTTTTTTTTTCATCTTCTAATCCTGCACCGGAGTTGGCTGTAAGAGCCTTTTAGCTGGCCTTTTTTTTTTCCAGCTGTGCTCTGTACTCAATTACAAAGCTGCATCTGTCTTTTGGGGCGTTGTTTTAACGATACCCGATCTTTGGTACTTTGTCTTAGTATTGAGCGACCATAACAAGGTGCTTGAGGCCAGTTCTGGGGGCCGGCAGGTCCAAGACTGGGTGGCTGTGTTCCTCAGGTTCTTGTGAGCCTTGAGCTCCATCAGCGCAGTGCAGAGAAAGGAAGAGGGAAAGAGAATGTATGCACAAGGAGCAGCTGTGCACAAGACAGGCCCAAGAGACGGTCGGTGAAGGCACGCTTGCTTCGCAGCAGCCTACTGTTTTGGACTGCACTGATCCCTGAGTGAGGGCTGATCCTCATGACCCGCATGTTTTAAAGGCCCCGTTGCTTAACACCCTTACACTGTGGGCCAGTAGGGGAAACCATATTCAGACCGTAGCACCAGATACCTATTTACGCTAACAGAAAAGGCAGAGACACAAAAGGAGCAAGATAGTAAGATTAGGTTTGATGGTCAGACTCAGACCTCAGTCCTACGTCTGTGTATTATTAACCAAATTCTAGGATATTGAAGCACCACAACTTGTCTGTGCTTTCCCTTTCCATTTTTATTGGAAAGGTGGAGTTAGGAGAGGTGGAGAGAGAGAGAGAGAGAGAGAGAGAGAGATCTTCCACCCACTGTCTTGTTCCCCAAATGGTTGCAACGACTGAAGCTTAGCCAGTCAGAAGCCAGGTGCTTCCTTTAGGGCCCAAGTGCTCTGCCTTCTGCTGCTGCTTTCCCAGGTGCATTAGCTGGGAGCTGGTTTGGAATTGGAGCAGCTGAGATTCAAAGTGTTGCACATACACGGCACTGTAGGCAGTGGTTGTATGTGCTCTGTCCTAACAACGGCCCTCTTGAGGTTCATTTTTAAGGCTTAAATATCTAAAAAAGATGTTTCAGATATAGGGATATTTTGGCTTAAATATAATGTCATACCTACAAAAATTAAGTATGAGTTGTTTAAAATCTAAGTGCTAGAAAGGACTAGGAAAAGGAGGTGCTTCCTTTGTGCTGCTCAGGGAGACATGAGGGATGACGTGGACTTGCATCTAAAGGATGCAGCACCCCAAAAATACGGAGCAGGAGTGTCCCCAGCACTGGGAGAGCAGGCAGGTGGAGTTACTGGCGAGGCCAGGCTGAGGAGTAGAGTGCCACATTGATACAAGATGACGAGGTCCGAATTGTAAGGGCTCCTTGTAGGAGTTGAGTTTTATGCCACATGCAGCAGGCAGAAGTGTTGTTGTGTCTTGCCTTTTACCAGGCAAGGATGCCACCCACTGTACGTATCACGACCCCAGAGGAACAAGTCAGGGAAGCCTGAAGAAGGAATAGAAGGAAATAGGTAGAACCTTAGTAAGCAGGAAGAGAGGGGATAAAGGCTGGGGCCTGGGAAGATGTAGAGAAATGGGAAAAAACAAGATTTCCAGATTTATACGGAGGTAGTGTCAAAGGACTTGTTGAAAATGTATTGTTTTTTAAATTTTATTTCAGTTTTTATTTTATGATACAATTCCATAACCTCTGGGATTTGCCTTATCCCCTCCCCAAACTCTTCTCCCACCCCACTGATTTCCCCCCATATTGTAACAGTAGTATGGTCCTTCATAAGCAGTCAGGTGTGTTCTGGCATTGCGGGTATGGACAATGGCAGACAGTCCAGCATCTTATTGTCAAGATACATCCAGCAGTTTCATTGGGAATCCGTCTTTGGCTTGAAAATAAGAGATGCATACTGCATTGTATCTTCACATCTGAATGTGCTAGTCTCTTTATTACACAGTTAATATACATTCCCTTAAATGAGGAGCCATAAAACAAAACTAGCAACAGGACTAAAGTTAAAAAAATTTCCAGTGCCATGAAATTAAATGACATAACCAGTAGTCACTGAAGAAATGAGAAAGAAAATAAAAAGCCTTACTGGAGCAAATGATGCTGCTGGATGAACCATGAGGCACTGAAGAATTTAATCATGAAAAAGAAGCTGTTTTGAAGAAATGAAAATAAATACAAAAATACCAAAACCATGAGTTGCAGCAAAAACAGCGTCGAACAGACTATTGGTCCTATATTTTGCATGAAGGTTGCTAATTTAGTGTTGGTAAGTTCCATAGAGGAAACTGAAATTATTGGGGCGAGTATTAACTAGATTTCACTACGAGTAAAATATTGAAATAACAGATGCAGGGGTTAGATAGTGCAGCAGGTAAAGCCAGATCTCATGGGGGCATTGATTGAGTGCTGGCTGTTCCAGTTCCTATCCAGGTTCCTATTAATGAATGCACCTGGAAAATTAGTGGGAAACGGCTCAAGTACTTGAGCCCCTGCACCCATGTGAGACACGTGAAAGAAGCTCCTGGCTTCCGAGTGGCCCGGCCCTCACCGCTGGGATCATTTGGGCTGTGAACCTGCAGATGGAAATCTGTCTCTCCTCTCTGCAACTCTACCTTTAAAATAAATATTTTTTAAAAACACATTTGATTGAGATTTACATTTGAAAATGAATATAAAAATGAGTCTTAAATTAAACAATAGCAAAATTAATTAATGCATGAAATTTTTTTAAGTTTTATTTGAAAATCAGAGTTATACAAAGAATGGGAGACAGAGAGGTGAGAGAGGATGTGCTTCCAGTGAATTACTTTTCGTAGGCTGCAGTGGCCAGGCTGGGCCAGGCTGGGCCAGGCTGGGCCAGGCTGGGCCAGGCTGACGCCAGGAGCTTCTTGCAGAACTCCCACATGGAGAGTGGGGGCCTGAGCATTTGGAATATCGTTTACTGGTTTGCTCAAGGCTTTGACAGGGACCTGATTGCCAGTGGAGCAGCCAGGACACTAAGCAGTTCCCGCGTGGAATGCACCAGTTTGCAAGTGATGGCTCTATTTGCTCTGCCACAACACCAGCCCCAAGAAAACTTTTAAAGAGGTGGAGTTTTTTGTGCATAGCTTGATTTGGATTAGGGAAATTAAAGGAGTAAGTGAATTCCTTTTAAAACAGGTGGCACTGTTTCATACAAACAAATCTATTACTCAGACATGTAATTTTGGTATTATGAAATTCTACTTGCAGTCAAATTGGGTAAAGGAAAGAAATTCCCAAACAGTGGAAAATAACAATTGGTTCATTTAATAAAACCACAGCTTAGCGCTCATGTGGAAGTTATATAAAAAAGTGGGAATCTGTTCGCTGATCTTCAACCAGCTCCTTCTCTGTCAACTGAATTGAAATGTTCGTACATATCAGGAGGAACATACCTAATCTTAAAACATATTTACATCTTTTCAAGGGCGTATTTCTTCCGTTAATTAAAATATTATTGTCTCAATCCTAGGAGGGAGGAATTTTTCATTTTTTCTCTCACTGAAATGAGCCCCCAGTTTTTAGGTTAGTGTATAAGATTTTAGGAGGTGTTCAGCAGTGATAATTAAGGAATAAAGTATCGTTTCTGTGTTGTTTTAAATTTAGGTTTCTTAGGGCAATTTATTTGACAATATTCCAATGGTTAGAAGGATAGGTAGCATTAAGTAAATAAAAGTTTCTACCTGGATTTTTAAAGTTCATCTTGTAATTTAATGTCAAATGGCAAATACAGTTTTGATAACTTCATCAAAGCTGTTCTTCCTATTTCATCCTAAATTGCAAGATTTTTTGAGGAATTTTGATGAAGCCATCAAAACTGTATACCAGTATACAATAGTCAAGAGTGTCTCAAAGCAGTTAAGAATGAAGGAAGTAATTCATGTTTAATTGTTTTGTAGCCATCGTTTGGTTATTTTATTAGATCTCCAGAGAGAACGGAACCCATTGCTTTAATCAGAAAATCTGATGTATCCAGAAGTAACTTAGAAAAGGAGATGTCTCATCTCAAGGCCAGTCTGTGTTCAGGTAAATGGTTAAATGAAAAGGGTTACTAGGAACCTATTCATTAAAACCTGTGACTTAGTAATTGTGTGGTTATGTTCTGTGTGTATACCGTTTCGTATGTTTTTAGTGTTCTAAGTTTGATTCATATGTATTCACTTCACTCTTACTTCCTTTGTGATCTGAAGAGGAAACAGGTCAGCCAGCATCCACCTAGTTCCTTTTATGAAAACCATGGGAAATGAGCCAATTACAAAGAGTTAATGTTGGCCTTTTCATTACTGAGTGAATTAATCATAGCTATAGTGTTTATTAATAGAGTTTCGGTTTTGTTTTTCATGATTTATATATTTATTTTATTGGAAAGGAAGATACACAGAGAGGGAGGGAGGAAGATCTTCCATCTGCCGGTTAATTCCCCAAGCTGGAGCTAAGCCAACCCAAAGCCAGGAGCTTCTTTTTTTGTCTCCCACGCAGGTGCAGGGTCCCAAGGCTTTGGGCTGCCCTTGACTGCTTTTCCAGGCCACAAGCAGGAAGCTGGATGGGAAGTAGAGCAGCCTGGACACGAACCAGCACCCATGTGAGATCCAGGCCGTGCAAGGCGAGGATTTAGCTATGAGGGCGTCGCACCAGGCCCTTAATAGAACTTTGAAATTTAGAGTATGATAGTCAAGTGTGATGTCTATAAAAATTTATTTTGAAAATATTTATTTATATGAAAGATACGGAGAGAGCTCCATGCATTGGTTCACATTCCTGATGCCTGCAGTGGTCAGGGTATGCAGAGCTGCAGCCAGTAACAGGGACTTTAATCCAGGTTTCCCATGTGGGAGGCAGGAAGCCAGTTGCTTAAGTAAGCTCTGCCGCCTCACCGGGTCTTCATTAGTAAAAGCTGGATATGATCTGTATCTTAAGCCCAACTTTCCTGACCCACCTAAGATCGCTGATCAGTAACTTTTTGTTGATATAGTCTTTTGCTGTTATATAAAGTTATACGAACTGTGTTCCATTTCTTGTAAAGCCTGTATTCCAGTGGGGAAATAGAACTCAAGGAATTGTCTGTACAGTTCGTTCACGTCGTTATGATAAGGAAGGACCTTTGAATTCAGTTTACTGTGTATTTATGGAATGTTCAAAGCTGACAAGTTTTAAATGAGCTTGTAAGTGTATTTGTAAGGGAGAGATTAAAATGCACTTTGCAGATTGTCTCTGTGACATAATATATACTTATTAACTGAATGTTGTGTATTTCCTGCAGGAAATTCTATTGAACCGTCGGAAACACAGCTAAGTGAAGGATCCGTTACACTTCAGGTGGAAGCGCTGGACAGTGCTTCACAAGTGTGTGAAAGTGACGTGACGTTGACCTCCAGTAAAGGCAAAACAGAGGTAGCTTCAGCCTTCCCCTGAAGGAAATCCAAGATGATATTGGTGTAGTTCCTGTGTGCAATGAAGACAAGATCTGTAGAGCAAAATACGAAATTTCACCTGAATCTTTCCTGGTTTCAATTTTAGTGCAAGTATTCTTCACATGTGGAAAACAAGCAAAAAACCCTTTCATCAATGTCTATTGTGCATGCCAAAGAGCTTATAAAAGAAATATCATTAGTGCATTATCATAGTTTATAAATCTGTGTGCATCCCCAGTCTAGAAAGCACATCACTAACAGCCCAGGAGCCAGGCATTTCATCTAGGTCCCCTCCCTGGGTGTCCGGGTTCAGTATGTGGGCCGTCCTGTACTGATTTCCTTGGCACATTAACAGGGAGTTATGTTGAATTTGGAGGAGCCAGCACTCATATCTGTGCTCTAACATGGGATTGCAGAGTAGCAAGTGGCAGCTCAGTTTGCTGCAAAACACTGGCCTGTAAGTGGGAAAAGATTGAGGCTTCTTCACTGATTGATCCACTTAAATGATGGCCTGTGGTCCATTTAAGGCCTGCAGAGTCATGTGGTCTGGTCCTGCCAAGGCAACCCTAGGTAAGAATTAAAATTCAATTAATCTTCAACAGGCTTATATTTTTTCCTTACCTCTCCATCCCTCCTCCCTTCTTTTTTTCCCTTTCTTCCTACCTATGAGATTTGAAGGCAGGCTTGCAGCGTGAGAAGGCGAGGCAGAGATCTCTTCTATCCGTTGGTACCCTCCGGAATGGCTGCAATACTTGGAGCTGGGCCAGTCCAAAGCCAGGAATGAGGGATTTCTTCGAGGTGTCTCCTGCAGATGTGGGGATCCAAGGACTTGAGCCATCCTCTGCTATTTCCCAGGCCATCAGCAAGGAGATGAATCAGAAGTGGAGCAGCAAGGGCTAGGATTGGAAACTATATGGGATGCTGGTATCACAGGCAGAGGCTTAACCCACTGCACCATGGCACCAGCCCTAGCATGGTTTTTGTTTGGTTGGTTGGTTTGCAATTTTTTTGGCTTTTGAATTTTATGGTACAATTCCATAAGGTCTGGGATTCCCCACCCCCCAAATTCCTACCCCTGACTGATTTCCAGTATTATCAACAGTAGTATAGTCCTTCATCAGCAGTTTTGAGTCCATCAATCTGTTATTTAAGTGTGCCCCGACAGCATGTTTATTTTCAAGTTTGATAATTTTGTCTGGCTCCCAAATGATGTAAATATCCATATGGCCGTCAGTGGAAAAAAGTTTTCTCATTCTTAAATGCATATTTAGAAAAAAAAAAAAACAATCCTGGGGTTTGAGACATGCACTTGGGACATGCCACTCGGGGATAAGCGGGAGACTGCTGTGAATAGAGGTTCAACCAGCATGCTCACATCTGCGGGACTGGGCAGGCATGTCTGACGGAGGTGTTCTCTTCTAGGAACCTTTTTTTGTGAACAGCGAGCATGTAAGAAGCGATGAGAAGTCAGCTGACAGTAGTGATTCCGTCCTTAGGATAAGCACCATTGCCTCAGCCATCGCCGATGCTTCCGTCAGTACCGACCCTTCCCAACTGGTTGCCATGATCAAGGCACTTAAAAATAAAAGCAGAGACGAGGCTTTTCGGGAAGATGATAAACCAGAGGTCTGTTCCAGCATGGCTAGTTTCTCTCCAAATGACTTAGAGAAGAGCTGTGGGTCTAATGCATTTGATATGGAGAAATATCTGATCAAAACTGAAGTCAGCAGACATGTGGGTGGACTGGAAAACCTTTCCAGAGCTGGCGTGTCTGATATTTGGGATTTGTCTGTGCCAAGAGAACAGAGTACTCAAGATAGCCTGGTACAGAACTTGGGAGCTACTAATGTGGACGTAAGGGAACGTGCAGAGAATACAGGAGCTAGCTTGTGCGGTGCAAACGGTGACAGTGAGGACCAGGAATCAGTTCGAACAATAAACTCGGCTCTCACTAACGTAAGAGAGAATGCAGGGGGAATAGTGAACGTGAAGACAGACACCGCGGACAAACTCCCAGATACTGACGACAGTGAGAAAGCTACTCCAACGCCTCATTTATCAGTACGGAATCCCAGAGTCGAAACTCTCTGTCTGTTGGCAGAGTGTGACGAACTGCGAGATAATAGAGTGCGTCCTAGGCAGCACAAGTACGCTGGTGAAACCAGCAGTGGTGAAAAACATGTGACTTTTGAGAAACATTCCATAGTCTCACCCAGAACTCTTGGTAAGTATCTGAGCAATTGATCACACTCATAGGAGTATGTCCGGTTTTTTGTTCTGTTCTCATTGAAAATATTTTTGTGATAGATTTGGAAAATACCTCTCCTGAACGAGGTGAGCATGGCTCAGAGGAAGACGAGGAGAGCTTCCGGCCTTCAACGTCACCGTTGAGTCACTCTTCCCCTAGTGAGGTTTCTGGGACCAGCTTATCTGGGTAGGTACTCACTTCTTTTCCTTTCTTTCTTTTTTTTTTTTTTTTTTTAACACTTATTTTGTTTGTATTGGAAAGTCAGATATACAGAGAGAAGAAGAGACAGAGAGGAAGATCTTCCGTCCAATGATTCACTCCCCAAGTGGCCGCAAAGGCCGGAGCTGAGCTGATCCGAAGCTAGGAGCCTGGAGTCTCTTCCAATAGGTGCAGGATCCCCAGGCCTTGGGCCGTCCTCGACTGCTTTCCCAAGCCACAAGCAGGGAGCTGGATGCAAAGTGGGGCTGCCGGGATTAGAACTGGCACCCATATGGGATCCCAGTGTGTTCAAGGCGAGGATTTAGCTCCTGAATCCATCCTATTGGTCCTCAGGTGACTTCTTTCCTTACACTGGAACTTTCTGTGGATTGTGTCACCATAGTTTAGTTTTGTCTGTTTGTGAATTTCATATAAATATCCATATAGGATGTTGCATGCAGGAGCGTGTGTGTGTGTGTGTGTGTGTGTGTGTGTGTTGTGAATTATTGGTTGGAATTCTGTCTAGTGGTAACATTCTCATAGGAATATACTTTCCCAGTACATTTTCTGCTTCTTAGCATGTCTGCACACTGGTGTTTGGCTTCTGGCTGGTTTCCAGCTGGTCCAGTACGCTGACTTAATTCCAGATCTGCCTTTGAATATCTGTTACCAGTATCTTTTCAGATCGACCTTTCAACTGATATGTCTCATTTTTTAAAAAATGCATATGTTTATTTACTTAAATTTTTATCAGAGTCAGATATACAGTGAGGAGGAGAGACCGAGAGGAAGATCTTCCGTCTGATGGTTCACTCCCCAAGTGGCCGCAGTGGCTGGAACTGTGCCGATCTGAAACCAGGAGTCAGGAGCCCCTTCTGGGTCTCCCACATGGGTGCAGATTCCCAAGGTTTGGAGGCCATCCTCTGTGGGCTTTCCCAGGCCACAGACAGGGAGCTGGATGGGAAGGGGATGGGAAGTGGAGCGGCAAGTATATGAACCAGTGCCCATGTGGGACCTGAACCAGTGCCCATGTGGGACCTGAACCAGTGCCCATGTGGGACCTCGGCGCATGCAAGGCAAGGACTTCAGGTACTAGGCTACCATGTTTGGTCCTGAAATGTCTCATTCTTTGCATTTGTATTTTTGTGGTTCATTTACGAAATTACTGAATTACTTGAGGTAATGTAAGTACACTTCCCTCTGTCAATCAAAGGAGCTTAAGTAGTATATCACCACAGTGACCCAGAGCTGTGTCTGTGTGCACAGGAACCCACGTAGCTGCATGCCGTGTAGACATGAAGACAGTTTGGTTAATCGTGTCTTGCCCCAGTTGGTTATTGTTTTGCTAATTTGTATTTTGTCAGTATTGCTTTTGATTGGGGGCTTTTTAAATGTCCAGAGTTAGAGTTTCAATTTTGTATGTATGTCCATTGTTTAGCTCAGTCTTTAAAACTTTATGTCAAAAATGAGTTTTCAGCTTGCATACACCGGGATCCCATATGGACACTAGTTCATGTCCTGGCGGCCCCACTTCCCGTCACTCTCCCTGCTTGTGGCCGGGGGAAGCAGCCGAGGACAGTCCCACTGTGTGCTTATCATTGATTTTTTTTTCTCTCTTCAAATGAATTCCTTAATGTGGATTATCTGAGTCCAGGGGTTTAAAAAATCTTACTTATTTTTTTTGAAAAGCATATAAATTGTGAAAGCAAGACATCTATTTGCTGATTCACTCTCCAGATGCTTGCAGTAGCTGATCTGGCTCCACTCAGAGTAGGAGCCTGGAGTTCAATCCAGGTATTTTCTGAGGTGGTGGAGATCCCAGCTGCTTGAGCCTTCACTGGTCCAGGGTGTGCGTGAATCTGAAGCTGGGATTGGAAATAGAGCTGTGTGTGAAATAGGCACTGCGCTGGGAGGCATGGGGTCCATCCCAGGCAGCTTCCTTCCACTTGTTTGGCTAAAACTTGTGCTACATTAAGCTCCTGTCATCAGCAAGTGTGTGACTGTTTCCACTTCTTTGCCATTTTCTACAGCATGCTCTTCTCTTTGCTCTTTAAAGCTAGTAATAGCTGCATGCTTCTAGTCATTGCTCTTGCTGGGTGTTTATAAATTTTTATTGAATGAATGCCGTTGTTAAATGTCTATTTGGTATTTATTAAGAAGATACTATAGCATATTTTCTTTGACAAATAGCTTATTAGGTATTTCATTCTGTAGAAATCATGAACAGTTTTTCTATAATTAAACAGCGAGCCTGGTTCTTCTCAAGGTTGTAGGCAAGCAGGAATGACTGCTTTGCTGATGTAGATGATGTTAGGTAAAGGAAGGGTCAGTGCATCGTAAGATCTTTTGCTTTCCAGATGTGCCTTAGAGTCTTACGGCTCAGCAGCTCGTCAACAGAAGCCCTCCTGTGAGAGTGAGCAGTCTCGGCTGGGCAGCTCACCTGCAAGCATGAGCAGGCTGACTTACGTGTCTGAAGCCGAGAGCACCTATCCTGCCACAGCCACAGACCACGGCCCGGAGGACCGCAAGGTGGGCAGACCTCTAGTTGTTTTTCTAGTAAGACTTTTCACAGGACTGTGTGGAGTTAAGCAGGGAGGAGGCTGAGTGGTCAGGGGGAGAGTGTGAAGTGGTGGGATGTCCACGGCATCAGAGGCACATCAAGAAATCCAGAGTGGCTGCACGGACAGCAGATAGAGGCAGAAAAGGAGGAAGAACCAAACTGCGTGGGAACTTTAAGTCCTGTGAACAGGACCCTGACCTGATTGATTTCAGTGCTTTCAGAGATGGTTCCATCAGCCTTGTGGGTTCAGGGGATCAAGCCCGAAGCCAGGGAGATCTGCTCATGTCAGCCAGAAGCAGTGCACTGCCTCACCCAAGTGGGAGCCATGGCGACAGAGAAGCAGATCTGAAGGACTTCTGCCGGCGAAGCCAACCTCTTGTGTTCTTGTTGGTGTTGTAGATAGTGTTCAGTCTCTAGTGAATTCAGTGTGACTGCGGCAGGTGGGTCCTGCAGGCTGCTTCTCCGGAGCACTGTGTGTGTGCCGTGTGCACCTCCAGGTAAGGTCACGTTGGGATCTTACGTCCAGCCCTGAGAGCCGTGTGCCGTGACGGCAGCAGGCACCGCACCTCCAGCTCTTTGGTGTGGTAACAGCAGAGTCGGTTACTCCTCTCTGGTTCCTCAGCTCACTAAGCCTCCCTAACCCGATTGTTTTTGACACATAGAGGTGATTGAGGCAGTTTTTACCATCTGTCAGTCATCCTGAATCCATGCTCTATTTTATATGCAAAACCAGTAGGTAAGGTGCTCTGTTTGTTAGTATGTTTGTTTCTAAAGCTTTGCTGTAGGGAGCCTTCCCAAGCAGGTAACGGTGGTAGTCAGGAAAGGTTGCGTGTCTGCACTTTTGGCCATCTCAGCCAGTCCCTCCTGCGAGCTGCAGGTGTCACTGTTCAGGTCGGACTCTACCCAGAAGTGAATATGGAAACGTACACTAGGAATGTTAACTAGTATTTTCACTCTTAAGAAAACAGAATCACACATGTCGAGACACTGCAAAAAGCTTAATACACATAAAAATCCTCATGCCTGTGCAGCTGTCTGCTGGGAGTAGGAGCCAGCAGCTGTGTCAACCTCGTGCTCCTGTCGTTTGAAAGCTTGCTTGTTCTTTACTGCTTTGTTACTGATTTAGAACTCTTATGAAGTTTACACCAATAAATCTGAAGTTGCCCTCCCCCAGATCATTTGATTTTGGTTCTGTATCTGAATTTTTCAGATGTAATTGGTGTGTACCTCCTACTTTTTTTTTTTTTTTTCACTCGGTCATTGTAAAAGTCTGAATGTAGGATTTTTAACATAAGCTTGCATTTCACAGCTGCAAAACTCCTTTAGGTGTAAAACAAGTTTTTAAAAAGTTTTTAACTTTTGTTTGTTTGAAAGAGTGAAAAGAGAGATGGCCACAGTGCCAGCACTGCGCCAGGCCTGCATCCAGGTCTCCCCTGTGGTCGGGGCCCAGGCACTGGAAGCCTGCTCCCCTGCCTTTCACCAGCCGCACGTGACTCTACACCTGTATGGGATGCTGACATCTTAGGTGTTTGGTTTGCTCACTGCACCAAAATACCATCCCAAAGTCCCCAAAGCAGCTCTTTTTCAAGGGGTAATGTCATTGAACTCCGTCATGAAGTGTGAGATTAGACCAGTACAAAGTGGATTTGGCATATTTCTTTTATCTATGGATTACTTAAAATCATGTTTTGTCACATTCAGAGTGATCTCACCAGTGAGTTGAGCACCACGGTTATTGAGACCAGTCCAGCGCCCTCGGAGGAGCAGGCTGTGGGAAAGATGAGAGAGAAGGTTCTATTTCAAAACGGAGGACAAGGAGCATTATCCTACGTTATCCCGAGCAACTCTGATATGACAAGAGTGAGTGAACCTGCTTCTGTGAGAAGCAAAGCTGGAGTTGTGGATCAGAACTTTAGATCAAGTGAAGATCCTTCCTCAAAGAGTGAGGAAATGGTGGGGCCCAGCGAGATGGGTTTGACATCCAATGTCAGTGAGTCGGACTCAGTCCCTCCAGATTGGCTGAGCAAGTCAGATCGGAGCCATCAGACCAGGCCGGCCGCCACACACCTGCCCGCGTCCTGCCAGGAGTCTGAGTCTGTGAGCGGAGGTCAGAAGACCACTTCGGAAGATGTGTCCAGTGACAGCGGCGGATTTAGTGGCCAGCCTCCACATCACAGCACCTCCGGGAGCCAGCGCGTCACCCTTCCTGGCATGCTGGCCCATGGCTCTGCTGCCGAGGTGCAGAACGTCTCCGCTGTGCTGCCTACACTCCTGACTCAGCCTTCCCTTAGCACAACCCCGTTTGCACAGCAGTGTCTGGGGACTCTTCCTGGAGGCGTGGCTGTGCCTCAGTGCTACGCGGGCAGCACCCCCGTCTGCGGCTTCTCCGGGTGCTATGCCTATGCTGCCGTCACGGGAGAACATGCTAGAAACCCGGCGGCTCTGGGCATTTGTCTGGGACCAAATACAAGCTCTGGCTTGATGGGTGCCAGTTCCCTTGGCAACCCGTATGCTAATGCCATAAATCAGAACCTGCTAAATACAGCTAAACCTTTTCCTGCTCATTCTGTTGGCGGAAGTTGTGGAGCTGAAGCATGGAATCCAGGAATAGCATCGGGATTTGGTAAGATGTCTTTTTCCCTCTTGTAGCAATTGCTTACTGCTATTCAAAAGTCTTAATTATTTCCATTGAGATTGCAGAATTGGTTTCAAGAAAATACTGGCTGGCCTTAATTGCTTGTTTAATTTTTTTTTTTCTTCCTGTGCCTTAAACTGATAATATTCTAATATATTTTTGTACATTAGTTACTGTGGTGGGGCGGGGCCGGTATTGTGGCATAGCAAGTTCAGCCTCTGCCTACATCTCAGCTTTTCACATGGGTGCCACTTTGAGTCCGGTTGCTCCATTTCTGATCCAGTTCCTTACTTATGCACCTGGGAGAGCAGCAGCAGATGGCCTAAGTGCTTGGGGCCCTGTGCTAACTCGGGAGACACAGAAGTGCAGTGCCCTGGCTTCAGACTGGAACAGCCTCAACCATTGCAACCATTTGGGGAGTGAGCTGGTGGACAGAAGACCTCACTACCTTCCCCTTCCTTTTCTCTCTCTCTTTTTTAAGATTGATTTATTTTTACTGGAAAGACAGATTTATAGAGAGGAAGAGAGACAGAAACAAAGATCTTCCATCCACTGGTTTTTACTCCCCAAGCGGCCACAACGGCCAGAGCTGACCCAATCTGAAGCCAGGAGCTTTTTCTGGGTCTCCCACTTGGGTACACAGTGCCAAGGCTTTGGGCCGTCGTCTACTACTTTTCCAGGCCACAAGCAGGGAGCTGGATTGAAAGTGGAGTAGCCAGGATGTGAACTGGCACCCATATGGGATCCTGGTGGCACATGCAAGGTGAAGACTTTAGCCACTAGGCTACCACACTGGGCCCCGTTTGCCATTCAAAAGAAAAAAAATTAAAAAAGATTCCCTATAGTTAGCTTAATAAACCCTTAAAACTTAAGCAGGTTAAAAGCTCTCTATGTTTTTGTTTATTTTGTGTGTGTGTGTGTGTGTGTGTTTGTGTCTTTTGTTTCTTTTCTTGGCTTTTCATTACTGTTTCAGTTAGGAAATGGCCATGTTAGAGTTGGTTCCCAGGATGCACAAGTCACTTTGTGCCTTTGCAGGAGGCATGGCTCTGGTGGTGACCGAGTGCTCACCAGCGTCCCCCCGTGGGGCGTACTGCTGCAGGCTTCTGTTGCACAGAGCTGGATGCTCCGCTTTTCCTGCGCTGTTTGCCCCCCGCCGGACTGCTGTCCTGATCAGCTGTCCCCAGCGGCCGTAGTGCAAAGACCAGTGATGGTAGCACCCACATACACCTCAGGAAAATCTCAAGCCTCTGCAGCTTCTTTCGACCTCTGTTACTTGTTTTTTTGCGTGTGAGAGAATAAAAGAGGTTACTGATCATAACATCAAATTATTGGCTAGTCGCTGATTCTAAGTTCAGTCCAGTTTTTTTCTTCCTGGACTAGGTGGATTACGAAAGAGTTCGTACGCGTCCACGGAAGCTGGTACCACATCAAGGACTCCTACACATCTGGGCCCCTTGCGTTGTAGATCTTGGTTTAAGGATTTATTGATTTTTACTGGAAAAGCAGATTTACAGAGAGAAGGCTAGATGGAGAGAAGCATCTTCCGTGTGCTGCTCCGCTCCCCAAATGGCCAAAACGGCTGGAGTTGAGCTGATTGGAAGCCAGGAGCCGGGGACTTCTTTTGGATCTCCCATCCTGACACCAGGATCCCAAAGCTCTGGGCCGTCCTCTGTTGCCTTCCCAGGTCACAGGCAGGGAGCTGGCTGGGAAGTGGGGCTGCCGGGACACAAACCAGCACCCACTGGAATCATGGCATTTGAAGGAGGAGGAGGAGTCAGTTGAACGACCGACCCAAGCCACTGAGTTTGAACCAACGTTTTGGCTTGAACTTCCTTTTGACTTGTTCCTTCCCAGGTGTCAAAGTGCCCGAGGAGCTCAAGTTCCCGCATGCGTGCTGTGTCGGGATCGCCTCCCAAACCCACCTTAGCATCCTGAACCCCACCGACCGCTGGCTGCAAGTCAACATTGGGGTTCTCAGTGTTAGTGTTAATGGTGAAAAGGTAAGTGTTTTCTCTCGGTCGACGTCATGGTTGCTTGTGATGCAATGCTGGGTTTCTCCTTTCCCTGCCACTTCCTCCACGCAGCTTTCCCCATGCCCTTCTGTTGTAGCATGTACAGTGTAAAGTGCAATCTGGGTGGTTGTACTTCATCAGTTATTCACATGTTGTTGTTTGTGAGACTGTGCATTTGTTGGCAGGGTTTTCAGCGATCGCAATGAGAGCGTGTTCATTGTTCTTAAAACTAACAGTGCACTTACGTCAGTTTGTTACATGCGATGAAATGCGAATTTCTGGAGTTTATCAGAAATAAAGCAGCAAGTTACTTGTGAGATCATTCGCTCTTCATTCAGTCCGGACAGTGTCCTTTAGGCTAATTTGTCTAGTTTTTCCCTTCGATGATCTTTTGAAATATCTGAAGATGCCCCCGGTGTTAACGTGGGTTCTTACAGCAAGGACCCTCAGCACAGCTGCCGTAACTCTGCGCTCTGAGCCTCCTGTCGTGGTTGCAGCGACCATTTGAACGGCAGGGTGCAGAGAGCCTAGAAGTGGTCGGCATGTTTGGTTTTGAAATGTTCTGGCTTTGTCGCTGCCCTGGGGACGCAGCACTCGTGCGGGGGCTTGCCTCCTCCCCCTCCTCCCCTGTAGCAGCATTGATGTACCCTGCCTCCTCCAGTGCTTAGCTTTTCTCTTCATTCGAGTGCCCAGGTTGGCGGCAAAGCAGGTGATCGGAAGGCAGAGTTGAGGGTGGAAGGTGAGATTTGAGGCTATTTCAGGGTCGACTAGAAGTACGAGTGAAGATGTCGGTGTTGTGTGCGCGGAGGGACGGGATGGGAGAGGTCCCCCTGTGGAGGAAGTGGGGCGAGATGTGACGGAGGCCACAGCAGTGCTTGCAGCCTGTGGAGCTCCCTGGACATAAGCCTGACACCTCTGCCCTCCTCACCTCCTCCAGCACAATGTATTCCACAAACACACATCCTGGACAGATTGTGGGGCTATCAAATAGTGTGACTCAGAAAAATTGAGCTTTAGGCAAAAGTGTTTTAAAAAGACAGGAAGGATACAGTCCATGCACTGAGAGCCGTTCAGCTCATGAAACATCTGCGCATAAGGAGCTCTCTGATTGGAGATCTCTCATGACGTAATCAGTGTGTGGGTGTGACATGTCCGAAGTGACTGGGAAAAGAAGTCCTAGATGAGGTGGTTCTGTTTAGTTTTCCTCATGAAGCCCTTTCTTAACGAATCATGCGATTCTTTTTTTAAAGGTGGATCTTGCAACCTACCCGTGTTTGGTTTTCAAGAATAAAGTCATCATAAGGCCTCATACTACAGAAGAGATAAGAGTGCTTTTTATCCCTTCCTGTCCCGGGGTTTTCAGATGTTTGTTCAGTGTTGCTTCTTGGCCGTTCTCGGCAGACCCCGAGACCATGGTGCAGGCAGAAGCCTTGGCCCGTAGAGTCGTTCTCACTGCTCTCGCCGAGGACCCCGTCATCGAGGTAACTGTGTGTAAAGAAATCTTTGTCATAATGGGGGTTTGAATGGAGGTTGTTTAACCTCAAACGTTAACAGTTGGAAAAGATGGGCTTGGGAGCACACGTGTTGGATTCATTCAATGATTACTATCTTCCCATAGTAAAATTTAAAATGATTTCTGTTGTTGCATGGTGACACAGATGTACTTGAAAAGATGTTTGTAATGCAGAATAAAACAGTGAATCCTATCTTCCAGCCCATTTTCATTGTGTACTTACGCACTCATGTGGGAAGGTATCAGTGATGCATATTCTCCCTTGTCCGTACCTGGAGATTAGGTGCTACCTGGAAATACTTCCTTCCGTAGTAACCCATGTTGTGAAAGCCAGTAAGTTTATTGTATTGCCCAATGGAATCCTTGAATCATGTTGGAATCACGGAGGGCCTTGAACTGCACCCCAACCCCAGAGTTCCACTAAATTGAGGTTGGAAGTGGCTGTGTGTATTAGTGATTTTTCAATCTTCTCAGGTGATTGCAGATTGTAGCCTCGTTAACAGCATCATAGGCAGACAGTTAGACGTCTGTCTGATTTGAGTAAAGGGTCTCCAGGAACCTATAGTACATACGTATTTGACAGTGTGGACCTTTGCTTGGGCTGCATATGTCTAAGCTGACTCCAGTTTACATTCTCAGAAGACGTGCTTATACTTGCTGTTTTTATATTTTGTTTGTTTCCTTGAATTATGCCTTTGATGCAAAAGAACATTTTAATTTGCAAGCTTGGATTCCTAGTGATATTGAACTTTTTTTTGTTTTTATCAGGTGTTCCGTGCACTGGCTGTTCAGATTTTGTGCCATTTTTTTTCCTTCTATTTTGCGTGTCTATCAGGTTTTTTTTTTTTTTAAGATTTATTTATTTATTTATTTATTGGAAAATCAGATATACAGAGAGGAGGAGAGACAGAGAGGAAGAGCTTCCGTCCGATGATTCACTCCCCAAGTGAGCGCAATGGCCGATGCTATGCCAATCCGAAGCCAGGATCCAGGAACTTCTTCCGGGTATCCCACACAGGTGCAGGGTCCCAAGGCTTTGGCCCGTCCTCGACTGCTTTCCGAGGCCACAGTCAGGGAGCTGGATGGGAGGTGGAGCTGCCGGGATTAGAACTGGCGCCCATATGGGATCCCGGGGCGTGTTCAAGGCTGCTAAGCCATGCCGCCACCGGGCCCATCTATCAGTTTTTGTAGATATTCCTTTCAATTGTACACTGTAATTCCTTACTACTTTTTCTCCTTTAGAGTTATTTTCTCCTGTTTTGGATTGTTTCGATCTCAGTGTTGTTTTTGTTGGGTTGAAATTCTCTTTTTATTGTTGTAAATAGTTATTTTTATGTGAAAGGCAGGTTGCAGAGAGAAGGAGGGAGACACTAACTTCCATGCCCAGTTTACCCGCCATGCGGCCACCATGGCCAGAGACGGACCGATCTGAAGGCGGAAGCTAGGAACTTCTTCCTTGTCTTTCCCATGGATACCTAAAACTTTCAGCCGTCCTCTGCTGCTTTCCCATGTTATAAATGGGCAGCTGGATTGAAAATGGAGCAGCCGGAATGCAACCTTGTCCCTGTATGAGACGCTGATGCTGAAGGCAGAGGCTTAGCCCCTTATGGCATTGTCCTGTCCCCTGGGCTGAAATGTTCAGTGTTGCATAGATCAGATCTGTATCTCAAATAAAATACTGGGTTGGGTTTTGCACCTCCAAAAATCAATACCTCTTCCTTCAGGATGATGCGTTGGCCTGTAATTCCTGCAGGGGATATTGGTTTGTCTGTTCTGAAAAACTTGACTGAGTAGTTTAAAAAGAAAGAAAATGTATGTGTGTGTGGCATTTTTGTTTTGTTTGAAAATTTATTTGCAGTCAGAGATATTATGATTGTCACCCTCCAGTCCACTTTCCAAATGACCACAGTGACTACAATGGCCATGGCTGGGCCAGGCCAAAGCCAGGAGATTGCTCCAGGTTTCCCATGGGTCTGGCAGGGGCTCAAGCATTTCTCTGCTTTTTCAAGCTGTCGGCATGGAGCTGGGTCAGAACCCAAACCAGTGCCTCGGTAACATTCTGGTGTGGCACATGGCAGCCTTCCCAGCTATGCCACAATGTCAGTCCCAGAATAAGTTTCTTAAAGATACATTTATTCAAAAGGCAAAGTTGCAGAGGGAGAGAGTTGGTCACTGGAGACTTTAAACTACATTTACCCACACGGGTGCAGGGTCCCAAAGCTTTGGGCCGTCCTCGACTGCTTTCCCGGGCCACAAGCAGGGAGCTGAATGGGAAGTGGAGCTGCCGAGATTAGAACCGGTGCCCATATGGGATCCCGGCGCGTTCAAGGCGAGGACCTTAGCTGCTAGGCCATGCCACTGGGCCCCAAGGCTTTATTTTGTTTTATGGTGTCTGATATTTTTATCTGCCCATGGTCTTTCAGCTACTGAGAGAAGTGGCTGAAATTGTGAAGCTCTCCCATTGGGAGATTTGCAGCAGCTGTATTGCTCTGTTTGCTTAGGCTCTTAGCTGTTCTGTCTTTTGAGTGAAATGTTCCCTTTTAAGTAAAAATTCTCTTTATCCCCTTTGTATTAAAATCCCTTGCGTCTGGTATTTAATTTTCTGATGTATCTATTTCCGTCTCTATTTTTTCAGCTTTCAGTGTCTATTTTCCTCACAATGTCTCTGACAAACTCAGCCAGAAACGTTTCGTTTGTTTCCCCTCTTCTCTCTTGATGTCTCTTGCATGCATTAAATCTGGAAGTTCCGTATTTCCATTCCCACTTTTTCACATCACTCATCCAGATCTAAAGTTAGGAATTCTGTACACTAAGCTATGATCATTTTTTAAAAATTACTTATTTCCATAATCTCTTGGAAAGTGAGGGAGAAGGTGCTTTTCCCTGCTTGTTCACTTTCCAGATGCGTGCAACATCTGGGACTGGCTAAGGGCTTAGAACTCCATTGCTTTTCACGTGAGTGGCGGGGTGCGAGCACTGGAGCCATCGTGCTACCTTCCAGAATGCCTTAGCTGGGAGCTGGATTGGGAACAGAGCAGCCAGGACTCAGATCAACACTCCAGTAAGTAGTCAGGAAGTGTCAGGAAGCAGTCGTGTTAACATGCTGTGCCCGCAGTGCCTGCTCTAGCATGAGCATTCCAATGCTTTTCCTTCCGTATTACCTTTGGCTAAAATTTTATTTCCAAGTATTTTTTTTTTCTTACTACTGCTTCACGCTTCATGAATCTTCCTTGCTTTCTCTGGTAGGGACTTTATTCTCCTACATGTATTTAAAATGAACTGTTAGGGCTTGGCATCATGGCTCAGTCGCTAAACCCTTGCCTTGTACACTCTGGGATCCCATATGGGTGCCAGTTCATGTCCCAGCTGCTCCACTTCCCATCCAGCTCCCTGCTTGTGGCCTGGGAAAGCAGTCGAGGACGGCCCCAAAGCCTTGGGACCCTGTGCTCGCCTGAGAGACCCAGAAGAAGCTCTCCTGGCTCCTGGCTTCAGGTCATCTCAGCTCTGATCTTTCCAGCCACTTGGGAAATGAACTAGCGGATAAAAGATCTTTTTCTCGGGCCCTGCGCAATGGCACAGTGGTTAAGGTCCTCGCCTTGCACGCCCGGGATCCTGCAGCCCCACTTCCCATCCAGCTCCCTGCTTGTGGCCTTGGAAATCAGTCGAGGACGGCCCAAAGCCTTGGGACCCTGCACCCACGTGGGAGACCCGGAAGAGGCTCCTGGCTTTGGCTCAGCTCCAGCTGTTGCGGCCGCCTGGGGAATGAGTCATCGGACGGAAGATCTTCCTCTCTGTCTCTCCTCTCTGTATATCTGCCTTTCCAATAAAAAAATAAATCTTTAAAAAAAAAAGAGATTTTTCTCAGTCTCTCCTTCTCTGTAAATCTGCCTTTCCAGTAAAAATAAACAAATCTTAAAAAGATTGGATCAACAGAATGGCACATGTGTACAGGGTCTGGTTTGGCCGCCTTGCAGAGAAGCACTGAAGTGTTTTCCAGGCTCCTGGGAGTCTCAGCCCTGGGTTCCTACGCCTGGAGCGGTCAAGGCTCACCTCCGTGAAAGGTCTCCTGTTGTCTGCATGGAGTGTGAGCAGAGCTTTCTCAATGCCCTTTTCGTTTTCAGATGGGGCACTTTGGGGTTCAGGTTCCATCCCGCTTCCCTGTGCACAGCGTGCTGGAGGCTTAGTCCTCCAGTGCAGAAAGGTGTGATGCTTGACCTGCTTGGAGACAAGGCCTAAGTCGGCTCCCCTTGCCATTCTGCCTTTGATTTCCCTGTATTTTATATTTGACCCAGGCAAAAAAAAAAGGAAGAAAAAAGAGAAAGGAAGAAAAGAAAGGTTTTTTTTGTGTTAAATCTTATCAGAAGAGATTTGAACTCATTCTTTTAGCCTGTAAGCATTCTCAATATTTCTGAAGGCAATTCTAGTAACAGTTGAAGGGAGATTTGTATCTTTTGTAAACTTGTTAGTTCATTCTGAGATCTACTAATCTTTACAAAGTAGTGGTAGTGTATTTGGATATAGAGTACCTCACCAGAAGAGTTTAATGTTGTTTTGGAGAAGATTAACAAGTGTAAAGCAATCCTGTTGTGGTTTAAGGAGTCAGTAATGTGAATAAAAGCTGTGATATTTATTAATATGTTAGTTTTCATAAATCCAACCCACTCCTCCCTCCGATTAGGTAGAAACAGAAAAGAAAGATGTTCTTGATTTTGGCGACCTGACTTACGGAGGCTGGAAAGTTCTCCCACTGAAATTGATCAATCGGACGCACGCCATGGTGCCCATCAGACTGATGATTAATGCCGTAAGTACTAACACGCACTTAGACATCTTGGGCTGTGATGAACTGGCATTGTAGAGATTGCTACTACCGTCCTTGGTCCATTTTCCTTATGATAGAGAATTAGCTCGTGATTCTGTTCATCGTGATTGACAAGGTTCTGCTCATAGCTCGTACATTATGCTGTCTGCTTTACTGAAAGGGATGCTTCTGTTTCTGGACAGGACGCGATAGCCTGGCGCTGCTTCATGTTTTCCAAGGAGCCCAGCCACGCTGCTGTGAAGGCCGCTGCTCGGGCCGACGTGGTTAGCCAGCTGGCAGCCCCTTCTGTTGTCAGTCACCTGATTCCTGCCAGTTACGACGGACAGGTAGGTGGAACAGCGCGAGAACTCGCTGCAGTGTTAGAGAGTAGATGAAGTTTCTGTACTGGTTTTCTTTTGTTAAGGTTTCAGTAAGTAGTCATTTACCAAAGAAAAATATTTCTTTCTATTTTATAGGAGCCAGAATTTTTGGTCGTTTGGGTTCTTTTCCATAGTCCAAAGAAGATAATCTCTTCTTCAGGTATCTTTTTTACATTGTGTGGGGATGGTTTTATTCAGCTAAATCTTATCTTCTGATAAGATTTAACACACACATTGCAGACGGGTGGGGGGGGGCGCGCTTACTCTGTCAATCAGTGTGCGTTTAGATGGTTTGTCAGGTATTTTGTATTTAGAAAATGACGCAGACCCCACACTGGTTTGATGTGGGCAACTAGACCAATATCTTTGGAAATATAACCAAGAATATTAATAATGTTATCACATCTACCACTTGGATGTTTCCTTTTTTTTTTGTCTTCTACTTGCATTCATTTCTATTCCTCTTTTACTTCTTTTAAAAATTGTCTTGCCTACATTTTCTTGTGACTCCCTTTAGAGATGTGTGTTAAAATGCTAGTGGCACTTAGACTGAAATAACACTTTGGTCTCTGAACTGCAACATGAACTTTTGTAGAGATTCTAGACTCGGCAGAAGAATTCTTGGCAAGAGTTGATATAGAAGTTGACAGCCCGAATCCTACCCCGGTTCTTAGAAGTGTTGGTCTCCGAGCAAGAGCAGGAGTAGCTAGGATACATGCGCCGAGGGATTTGCAGGTACCCTCCCACTTCTCTTTGTCATTATCATCCTGTACTCAGGTGCATTTCACTTGGTGCCTTTATCCTTAAGTACCTGTATTCCCTCATCCTCTAGACCATCCACTTCCTGGCCAATATGAATTCCTCAACAAAGCAATACTTACCTCTGAAAAATGCTGGGAATATTGAAGTTTATCTAGGTATCAAGGTAAGAATTCCTGTCAGGGTGCTTTGAGGGGGTCTCCCGTCAGCAGGCTGTTGATGTCTCTCCTCTTTGGGGGGTTTCTCTGTTGCCTGCCTTGCCGGAGGCTGTCAGTGCTTTAAGCACTGTTGGAAGAACACGCTACAGCACTTTAATTCTAAGATCTAATGTTGTGAATGTAAGCATCAAATTTTGCATTAGTTTCTAAGAAGTGTGTATGTCATCCTCTGGCTAGGTGGAGTTGGAGAGGGGTGCTGTATGTATGGAGAGGATTTCAGGAGGTGTCAGGATTAGGAATGGGATGGGATGGGATGGGTGGGGTGGGGTGGGGAGGGGCGGGGTGGGGCAGGGCGGGATGGGATGGGATGGGATGGGGCGGGGCGGGGCAGGGCGGGGCGGGACTGGAGGATGACAGAACAGCCTTTGCAAGAGAGTAAGAGTTCTCATGGTGATGGACAGGAGGAGGTGGCAAATGCTGTGTCGTGGTAAATGACAGAGCAAAGTGGAGGGAAAGCCGCGTTGTTTAGTCACCAGTTAGTGATATTTATGTGTTAATATTTAGGTCTCTGAACCAGGAAGTCACTTTTCAGTGGATCCAGAGCATTTATTCCTTAAACCTGGAGAAGAGCGTGAAGTTAAAATTTCATTTACTCCAGAGGACCCCAAAACCTGTGAGGAGAGGTAATATGCAAATGTTTATAGTGAGAATTTTAACTGCGAAGCACTCACTTAGATGAACTTGAAGTCTCGATGATAAAGGTGGCGTGTTTTGCTGCACCTTGTAATGATAGCAGTAACGTCGACTTAATTTCTGCCATTTGGCCTCAGATTTCCTTTCTGGTCTTTGAAAGACTAGAAAGAATGTTTTAAGTCAGCTAAAAAGAAATGGAGGAGTGACTTTTTTCCAGTAAGTTCTGACAAGAGTGAATTACAAAACATCAATTTTGATTTTCCTCCCAGGAAAATTGAGTTGACCTCGCCAGTTAATTTGCCGTTCTCCAGGCTTGTGTCTTTTGGCACCTAGAAAAGAAGTATTAACTTATACAGTGGTCAGAGCGCCAGTGCTATTGGCATTTGAACTGGCTTGTATAAACCTAGCTCAAAGTGTGCTGCAATCGAGGACTTCCGCAGCTCTGCCCGAAGCCTGGGCTGCACAGTACCCCAATGTGCTTGGTCTGCCGCTCATTCTCTGTGGAAGAAGCCAGGAATCTGGCTGTACTCCTGCAGATCATGTGTCTGGAATCCTTGCCCTCGGCTTGCCCGGGCTAACTCATTGAGGCAGACCTTCCTCAGGTCTCCCCAGTTCCTCCAAAGTCCTGTTCCTGTAGCACTGTGAACGCCTCCTGTCCTTCCATGATGCCATGATCGCTTCTTGCCTTGTCTTTCTCGGGAACCTGGTCTGGAGGGGTGGGACAGTCACTGGATCCTCAGTGTCTCGGACAAAGGAAGCATGGAGGAAGTAGTCATCAAAGGAGCTGAAGATAGGACAGTTCCACTGAGTATTTTTGTTTTCTTTTGTTAGCTTCTTGACAATATTTGTGCAACCGCTTGGACCTCAGTATGAAGTAGTGTTAAAAGGTGAAGTCATTTCTGCAGAAAGGAAACCTGTGTCATCTGGATCTTGCTTCTCTGATGTTCCATCCATTTTGTCCAACAAGCAATTCCTGACTTGGGGAGGTGTCCCCCTTGGTAGAACACAGTAAGTATGCCTGCGCGGCTTAGAGCACTGGTATTTTGATAACATAATGGTTATTTCCTATTGTTAATTATGATCAAGTTATTGATATTGGGATTGATATAAAGAAATGATTAGATTTGCTTAATCTCCCATTTTTGAATTTCAATTAAAAATTTGCCTTTTTAACAATGCATCCCAAATAAATTGGCTTCTGTTTTCCTAAGCTCTTTGGTGAATTCTCTACTGACTATGAAATTAAGAGCATATATATTCTTGCTCTTTCTGTAAAATCACTATGGAAAAATCAGAAAGAAAAAAAAAGGCAAAAATCTTGTTCCTTTTTATTTGAAAAGCAGAGTCAGGGCTAAAGAGAGAGACTTAACAGAACGAGATCTTGGGTATGTTAGTTCACTTCCCAAAAGGCTCAGTAGCTAGGGCTGGGGCAGGTGGAAGGCAGGAGCCAGGAACTCTGTCAGCATCTCTCACGTGCGTGGGAGGGGCCCAGATCTGCCACTTTCCAAGGGACATTAGCAGGAAGCTGAACTGGAAGCAGAGTTGGGAGAACTCGATTACCACGAATGGTAACTTTTCCTGCTGTGACGTAGCATGTACCCCGCGCACCTGCCCCAATCTTGTTCTTTTTTGACACGTAGTTGGTCCTATATTCTCTGGCCCTTTAAGTCAGAGGTCCAAAGGAGATGAATCGGAGTCCTTGGCAGTCATGTGCGGATTCTGACAGGACTGTCCTCACTGATGGTCGAGGTAACCGTTCAAGCCATCACACACGAAATTAACATGTAGTAAATGTTCTTCACAGAATTACATTAAATTGTACACAAGAGCACTATGATGCTTTTGGGTTTAACAGTGTCTCCTTCTTCTGGCTGCAAACTGAAGCTGGGGGCCTAGAACTCATCCCGGATCTACATGTGGGTGTCGGACCCCTGCTGCCTCACAGGGCCTGCGTGAACAGGAAGAAAGCCAGAGCTCTGCCTCATCCCCCTGGCGTGGGGTTAAACTAAGGGCTCACCCACTCATCAGTGCATTATTTTATCTTTTTTTTTTTAAAAGATTTATTTTTATTGGACGGTCAGAGAAGAGGAGAGACAGAGGAAGATCTTCCATCCTATGATTCACTTCCCAAGCAGCCAGTGATAGCTGGAGTTGAACTGATCTAAAGCCAGGAACCCAAAACCTCTTTTGGGTCTCCCACGCGGGTGCAGGGTCCCAGGGCTTTTTGGCTGTCCTCGACTGCTTTCCTAGGCCACAAGCAGGAAGCTGGATGAGAAGCACATATGGGATCCCGGTACATGTGAGGCATGGACTTTAGCCGCTAAGCTACTGCACCAGGCCTGGATTATTTTATCTTGTTCCTTCCTGAATTAGGGGGCTTCACTTCTTCATTTTAAATGGACTTGACTCATGGAATTATACATATTTATAGAGTATATACTTCAGTGGATGTATTCAGTGTGTGAAGATCAGATCTGAGTGACTGGCATATTCATTGCCTGAAACGTGTATCGTTTCTTTGAGTTAGGAATATATGACAGTCTTCACTACTATTTTTATGAAATCTTCAATTAATTGTTGTCAACCGTAGTTATTCTGCTGTGTTCTGGAACCTTAGAGGTTACTCCTTCTGTGTTACTGCACCGCTGCACCCATTGTCCGCCCTGATCTTCCCCCTTCTCCATGCCTTTCCCAGGCTCTGGTAGCCAGTGTTCTGTTCTTTTGTGAGACAGCTTTTAATATATAAAGGTAGTTCAAAAAGTTAATTTTGTTCTATAGGTAAGTTTATTTTGGAGCAAGATTTTGTTTTTGGTTTCTGAATGGTTTTTCTTCATACAAAACATTAGCCCTGAACATTTTGAAGACCCTTCATAAGTGAGACTATGCTTTATTTGTCTTTGTCTGGTTTACTTCACTTATCATAATCGCCTCCGGTTCCTTCTGTGTTGTTGGAAATGGCTTCCATTACTTTTTATGGTTAGTGTTATTCTGCATCTGTGTGCATGGTCTCTGCTCAGACATCAGAGCACATCCAGGATGATTCCGCGTCTTAAATATTATGGAGAGACCCTTCAGTAAACACGGAGTGCAGGTGTCTCTTCAACAGGGCAGTTTCATTTCCTTTGGATGGAGACCCAAATTGCTGAGACCCAAATTGCTGAGAGTATGGCTGCTCTAGTTCTAGTTTTTAAAGGACCTTCTTACTGCTTTGTGTTAGCTGTCTAGTTTATATACCTACCACAAGGGTATGAGCGGTCCCCTTTCTCCACATCCCAGACAGCATTTGTATAAAAGCCGTTCTACCTGGGATGAGGTACCATCCCATTGTGGTTTTGGTTTGTACTTTCCTAATGATTTGTGATGGACATTTTTTTTTAATGTATGTACTTTTGGGCATTTCTTTTCTTTCTTTTTTTTTTTTTAAAATTTATTTATTTTTATTGGAAAGACAGATTTACGGACAGAAGGAGAGATAGAGAAGGGTCTTCCATCTGCTAGTTCACTCCTCAAATGGTTGTAATGGCCAGAGCTGAGCTGATCCGGAGTCAGGAGCTTCTTCCGGGTCTCCCACGCGGGTGCAGGGTCCCAAGGCTTTGGGTCGTCCTTGACTGCTTTCCCAGGCCACAAGCAGGGAGCTGGAAGGAAAGTAGAGTAGAGGGGGGTGTGAACTGGCACCCATATGGGATCCTGCATGTGCAAGGCTAGGATTTAGCCACGGAGCCATTGCACCAGGCCCCATTGTGTTTTTTGAAAATTGCCTATTCAGGTCCGTTGCCCAATTTTAATCATTTTTTAAGGAGTGGATTGTTGTTTTTTGCTATTGTACTGTTTGGGTTCCTGACACATTCTGGTTCTAAATCCTTTGCCAGAAAAATAGTTTGCAAATGTTTTGTCCCATTCTCTGTCTTTTGATAATTTCCTTTATTATGCAGAAGATTTTTAGTATTTTGTTGCCAAGGGATCATCTCCAAAACGTATTTGTAGCAGTCAGTGTCTTGAAACTTTTCCTCCTTATTTTCTCCCGTTCGTGTTTGAGTCTGATCCATTGTGAGTTGTTTTTGTTTATGATGACAAAGATAGACCTTGTTGCCTCTTCTGCATATGGATTCCCAATTTTCTCAGCACCGTTTGTTGCAGTCACTGTCCCATATTCACATTATGTTTTTGACACCTTTGTCGAAATAATTTGTTGGAAAACACACGGACTTATTTCTGAGTTCTCTGTTCTGTCCTTTGGTCTGTGTCGTCTGGTGTGATGACAGAGCCAGGCTTTCCAGGCAGGCAAGGAGAGGGCTCAGCAACTGAGGGCACACCGACTGTGTGACTGCTGGGTGCTCTTTGGGCCATGCATACCCTCCTATCCTGCCTTGGTAGAGAAGGTGTGTGATACAAGGGAAGTCTGAAGAGAAAAGTGTGGGCTGTGGAGTACAAAATACGTGATTTGGAGTGGATGGGGCATGTCATTCACTGCATTTTGTCTTATTTACAAGTAACTTTAGTTGGTTGATTACAGCTAGATTTTACAAGTATAAAATGTTTCAGTCATTTTAACTTAAAATTTTTTGGATTTCTGGTTCTGTATTTTTCTGTCCATTTATTGATTATAGTTTCTTATGCATGTGCTTCCATGGCCGTAGGTTAGTGTTTAGTGGTTTTTTTTTTTTTCTTAGTAATTTGTGTGGATTATAGATGTTAACCCTTTGTTAAGATGGATAAGGCATGGATCACAGTGTAAATAACTTACTAACTGCTGGTCTTTGAAGTAAAATAGAGATGCTGGTGTTGTGACGTAGCAGGTTTATTGATATCTCATATGGGTACCAGTTGGAGACTTTCAGTCCAACTTCCTGCTGCTGTTTCTGGGAAAGCAGTAGAAGGTGAGCGAAGTGCTTGGCTCCCTGCACACATGTAAGCGACGGAGACGAAGCTCCGGGTTTCAGCCTGAGCCAGCCTCTGGGGAGTGAACGGCCATTTGGGGCAGGAACCAGCAAATGAAAACCTCTTTCTGACTCTCCCTCTGTCTAATTCTTACTTTCAAATAAATCTTGACACACCTGCTCCCCCCATTAAAAGGTACCTTTTTTGGGGGTTGACATTATGGTGCAGTGCGTTAAGCTGCTGCCTGAAATTCCCATGTTAGAACATGAATTTGTGTCCCAGCTGTTCTGCTTCTGATCAAGCTTCCTGCTCGTACATCTGGGAAGGCTCGAATGCTGAGTTCTTGACACCCATGAAAGGAGACCCAAATGGAGCTCCTGGCTCCTAGCTTCAGCCTAGCCCAGCCTTGGCTGTAGTAGCCTTTCTGAGACTGAAACTTCAGAAAGAAAAATCTGAGTCTCTTTCTTCTTCCTGACATACTCTACCTTCCAAATAAATAAATGTGTGAAGCTTTAAAAAAAAAAAAAAAGAAAGAAATTGCAACACGTTGGAATAAACGAGCCTTTTCAAATTGTTTTCCAGAAAAAAAAAAAAAAGAAAAAGAAAAAAAATTGTTTTCCCATTTACCAAAAGCTTTAGGTCAAGTTGTCTGTTTCAGCTAGGTGTAGTGTTGATAGCTTATTGAACTTCACCTGGATCTTTGGTTTATGCTTTTACGAGACAGGAGACTGAATAAAGTCATTTGAGGAGCTTTAATTGGAAAGGGATTAAACCAAAAAACTTCTCCGGCTAAGGTGAGTCTTGCACTGTATTTTCAGAAACCAGAGTCCTAGGGCTCTGTACAGGCAGCTCTGGCTTCTCAGCTGGCACGGGCAGTCAGTCCATCGCAGGACATGGCGGTCAGTCCATCGCAGGACATGGCGGTCAGTCCATCGCAGGACATGGCGGTCAGTCCATCGCAGGACATGGCGGTCAGTCCATCGCAGGACATGGCGGTCAGTCCATCGCAGGACATGGCGGTCATTCCATCGCAGGACATGGCGGTCAGTCCATCGCAGGACATGGCGGTCAGTCCATCGCAGGACATGGCGGTCAGTCCATCGCAGGACATGGCGGTCAGTCCATCGCAGGACATGGCGGTCAGTCCATCGCGGGACATGGCGGTTGGTTCTGCTTGGCCTGTCTGGATCATTGTAGTCGTGTCCTGGAGGACAGTCACATTCACAGTATGTAATTGTTTTTAGGCTTCAGAAACTAGCTCTAAGAAGTAATTCTACATCTGCAACCCAACACTTTCGACTGCTTATCAGAGGTCAAGATCAAGACTGCTTTCAGGTCTGTAGAGTGTATAGTCTCCTTTTTTTTTCCCTTACATTTTATCATTATTATTATCATTTTATGATACAGTTCCATATTCCCTTATCCCTTCCCCAATCCCTCCCCCCCCCACACACACACCTAGTTCCTCTATATTATTACTAACATATAGTTCTTCATACTCAGTTATATGTCCATCATTGCGGGCATGGACAATGGCAGAGAATCCAGAATCCTATTGTCAAGATATAATAAACAGTTTCATTGTAAGTCCATCTTTGTCTGGAAGCAGAAATGCATACTATACTGCATCCTCACATCTGGATGTTAGTCTCCATTTTACAGCTACTGTATATTCCCTTAAATGAAAAGGGAATATCAACAATAGAAAGAAAAATAGGAATTTACAATGCCATGAAGTTAAATGGCACGTTACTAGATATGACAGTCTCCATTACACAGCTACTATGAGTGTATAGTCTCTTATTCTGGTGTTTTCATCTGGGTCCAGGACACTTAACATATTCAGACCAGTTTGTATTACTTGTTGTTTAAAAAGTTATGTTAACAGCATGTTTTCTTTGGGTTATTGCTTTATTTTATGTATTCTGTGTTTTTAAATTGTAGCTTCAGAATAATTTTGGTTCAGAAGAGCGATTGACCAATAACTGTGAGATCAGAATTCGCCCAAAAGAAGACATTATCGTCTCTGTATTATTTGCACCTACTCGATTATCTTGTATGGTAGCTAAACTAGAAATCAAGCAACTTGGAAATCGATCACAACCAGGCATTAAATTCATGGTAAGATTATTTTATTGCCTTTCTATGTTGATGTATATGCTCTTTGTTGTTGTTTGCTTTAAAAATTTGTTTGAAAATCAGAGTTACACAAAAAGAGGAAAATGGGGGGGGGGAGATGATTTCCATCCACTGGTTTACTCCTCAAATCACTGCGATGGCCAGAGCTGAGCCAGGCAACACCTAGGCAGGTAGAGCTTCTTCCGGTTTCCCAAGTGGTTGCAGGACCAAGCATTTGGGCCGTCTTCCACTGCTTTCCTTGGGCACAGAGAGCTGGCTCAGATGTTGGACCAACCAGGATATGGACCTGCACACATTTGGGATCTTGGTGCCACAAGCAGCAGTTTTGTTTTGTTTTTTTTGAAGATTTATTTTTATTGGAAAGGCGGATATACAGAGAGGAGAGACAGAGAGGAAGATCTTCCGTCTGATGATTCACTCCCCAAGTGAGCACAACGGCCGATGCTATGCCAATCCAAAGCCAGGAGCCTCTTCCGGGTCTCCCACGCAGGTGCAGGGTCCCAAAGCTTTGGGCCGTCCTCGACTGCTTTCCCGGGCCAGAGGCAGGGAGCTGGAAGGGAAGTGGGGCTGCCGGAATAGAACCGGTGCCCATATGGGATCCCGGGCATGCAAGGCGAGGACCTTAACCACTGCGCCACTGCGCCGGGCCCACAAGCAGCAGTTTTAACCATTGCACCACAGTGATGACCTCTACTCTGATTTTAATAAGTCAAAGTATACGATTGTCCAAACTTAAGAAAAGTCGAAGAGTAAATGTTATGTTATATAAAACCAACTATCTTAGGGGCCTGCGCTGCAGGCAGCAGATGAAGCTGTGGGCTTGCAGTGCTGCCGTCCCGTTTCGGCCCCGGTTGGATTCCCGGGTGCTTTGTTTCTAGTCCAGCTCCCTGCTAATGTGCCTGGAAGAGCAGTGTGGGATGGCCCAAGTTCCTGAGCCCCTGTGTCCGTGAGGGAGCCCTGGAGAAAAAAGCTTCTGGTTCCTGCTTTGGCCTCGCCCAGTCTCAGCCATAGCAGCCGTTCGGGGAGTGACCCAAATCTTGGATGGAAGATCTCTCTCTCTCTCTCTCTCTCTCTCTCTCTCTCTTTTTCTCTCCTTCTCATTCTGTAACTCTTTGAAATAAATGAATTTTTTTTTTCCAAAAATCAACTAGGTTTGTTTATTTGTTTACTCATTTGAAAGAGAGTTAGAGAAAGAAATAAGGGAAAGACTGATCTCGCTGAGGCAGCTCTGTTGGTTCATTCCCCACTTGGCAGCAGTAGCAGCAGTAGGGTTCAGCTGGAGCCAGGAACTTTTTGTGTCTCCCTCCTGCATGGATGCAGAGACCCAGCACTTGAACTATTCTTTGCTACTTTCCCAGACCGACAGCATGGAGCTGGATTGGACAACTGAGCTGGAATTTTCACCAGTGCCCGTATGGGGTTTTGGCACCTTAGGTTGGGGATTTATCCACAGCGTCACAGCTTCACTGTCCCCACCCCACCATCTTTTTTAAAGCTGTTACTGGGAAACGGATAGAGAGATTCTCCGTTTACAGTTCACTCTCCACATGGCTACATACATGCAGGAGTGCGTTAGGCCAAGCCGGGAGCCAAGAACTCCATGCATGTGTTGCAGGGTATAAGCGCTTGGCCTGTCCTCCACTGCCTTCCCAGGCGTGTCAGCAGGAAGCTGAATCAGAAATGGAGTAGTGCCCAGCGGCTTGGCCTAGCGGCTGAAGTCCTCGCCATGAACGCCCCAGGATCCCATATGGGTGCTGGTTCTAATCCCGGCAGCTCCATTTCCCATCCAGCTCCCTGCTTGTGGCCTGGGAAAGCAGTCAAGGACGGCCCAAAGCCTTGGGACCCTGCACCCACGTGGGAGACCCGGAAGAAGTTCCTGGATCCTGGCTTCGGATCGGCATAGCATCGGCCGTTGCTCTCACTTGAGGAGTGAATCATTGGACGGAAGATCTTCCTCTCTGTCTCTCCTCCTCTCTGTACATCTGACTTTGCAATAAATAAATAAATCTTTAAAAAAAAAAAAGAAAGAAATGGAGTAACCAGGACTTTGTCAAAAGTGGCAGCTTAACCACTTGTGTCACAGCATTGAGCTTTTTTAATGTTTTTGTTTTATTTTTGTTTGAGAAGTTTGAAACGTTTCCAGCATTTTAAGAATTGATATATATATATATAGTATATATATATATAGTAAATCTAGCTAGAGCTGTTTAAGATGCCAACATTCCAAGTATTATTTTTTTTAATTCATTTTAAAATTTTTATTTGAAAGGCAGAATTACAAAGAAAAGAGAGACAGAAGATCTTCCCTTTGCTGGTTCTTTCCTCATACGGCCTCAGCGGCTAGAGCTGGCCAGGAGCTTCTGCACGCGTGCAGGAGACCCAGCAGAAGCTCCTTGCTCCTGGCTTCAGATCAGCACAGCTCCAGCTGTTGCAACCACGTGGGGAATGAATCAGTGGATAGAAGATCTTCCTTTCTGTCTCTCTGTATACCAGACTTTCTAATAAAAATAAATCTCTTAAAAATTAGGAATGAAAGATAATTTTTGAAGCCATGTAGTGAAGGTCTGTAAAAGTTTGGTATGTGTTCTGGGAAGCCTTTGTTTTCTGGAAGGGGTGGGGCCCTGAGCCGGCCCAGGCAAGCTCTCCGTGTGTCTCTGTCCCCGGGGAGCGGTTCAGGTTCTGACTTCATTCTTTCACCTTTGGTATAGCTGTGTTTGAAACCAGTAGATCATCCCCCAGAAAATCTTTTATTGTCAAAATTTTGAGAATTACTGAGAAGTTGAAAGGACTGTGAAGATCCACCGTCTTATAACTGAGCTTGTCTAGTTCACGTTTACCACATATCTAACCATGCATCAATCGCCATGTTTTCATGTATCACAAATTAAATGACAAAAACAAATTACAAAGTAAATTAATGTGGGTTTCTTCCTCACAACATTTTGATATAGCTTTTTTTTTTTTTTGGACAGTTTAAAAATGTTATAGCAAGAGAGGGAGAGACAGAGAGATCTTCCATCTCCCAATTCAGTCTTCAGATGGCGACATCTGCTAGAGCTGAGCCAAGCTGAAGCCAGGAACCAGGAGCTTTTTCTGTGTCTCCCACATTCCTGGCAGGGGCCCCAGCACTTGGGCCATGCTCTGCTTTTCCAGGCACTTTAGCAGGGAGCTGAGTTGAAAGTGGAGCGCGTGGCTCAATGGAACTGATGCCACAGTGCCAGCTCCCACCTTCAAAACTGCAATCTTTTTTAAAGATTTATTTATTTTTATTGGAAAGGCAGATAATACAGCAAGGAGAGACAGAAAGATTTTCCATCCGCTGGTTCACTACCCAAGTAGCCACAACAGCCCAAGCTGAGCTGATCCAAAGCCAGGATCCAGGAGCTTCTACCAGGTCTCCCAGGCAGGGGCAGGGTCCCAAGACTTTGGACCGTGCTCTACTGGCTTTCCCAGGCCACAAGCAGGGAGCTGGAAAGGAAGTGGAGCAGCTGGTATATGAATTTTGCCCATTTGGTATTCCAGCACATGCCACGAGAGGACTTTAGCCACTAGGCTATGGCGCCAGGCCCCACCTTCAAAACTTCTTAAGCAAGCAAGCAAGCAAGCATCTCGCTATGAGACTTTTTATTGTTCTTCTGTCTCCCGAGCTTGACTTATGTAACTTTGAGATAATTATTAAGTGTTGAAAGGTAAGTCATTTGTGGTTTTTTGGTTTGATTATCCTTGAAGCAAAGTCTTTGCTGTAGTGCTGGCCTGAGAGAGGGCTTAACTGTTAGCCAGAAAATCTAAAGTGTAAAGTTAATTCTGTTAGGTCTTTCTTCTGACTGAAATTAGATATAGTTTCTTCTTTTGTAACCATTATTTTTGGATGTGTCCTTCCTTTTAGATACCTTTGTCTGGATATGGAGGAACAAGTAATCTCATTTTGGAAGGTGTTAAAAAATTGTCTGACAGTTACATGGTAGCAGTGAGTGGCTTAGTGCCTGGCCAGGAAAGCAAAGCTGTTGTTTCCGTCCGCAACACGGGGTCTCGGGCAGCTTTTGTTAAAGCAATAGCTTTTAAGGATTCTCAGAAAAAAGTTGTGCTGGATCCTGAAGTACTGAGGATTATTCCAGATAAATTTGTACTCAAGGAAAGATCCCAAGAGGTAAGTACAAAATTTTTGCTATACCAAAGAACTCGTTTTAGTTAAATTAATAACTTAGTTTGTGCCCTACACCTAAAATAGTGCTTAAAAGTCACATGGAAGGGTGATTGCTTATCTGAGTGTTCAGAAATTCCACACATACGTGTTTGTGTCCATATGGAATTTTTGAGTCGCAAGAGTCTTTATTCTAGATGCAATAACTCGATGTCCTCCTTTTTCTGTGGCATCAGGACGTTACTTTAATATATAACCCGTCAGACAGAAAGAGTGATGGTAAAACTGCAACACAACTGTCAACTATATACTTCTTTGGTGGAGACGAAATTTCCAGACAGCAATATCGAAGGTAGAGTATTTTCCTCCGCTAATCCTCGAAACTGCTTGGTACAGAAAATTTAAAGACAGAATCGGTTTGCGGGTGTGGAATCTCTGGAACATGCTTCCCTCTTTATCAGTGACCTGATAGAGGAAAAATCGCGGTGAGCTGTGTGCTGAGAAGCTGCCACAAGTGCAGAAAGCTCACCAGCAGATGGATGCTTCCTATCTCTTTTCCTCGACCCAATTAAAGCATCGTCCTGCGTGCCGAAACCCTGTGCAGAGTATCTCAGGAAAGCCAAGAGCCTCCAAGGAATCGTATTCTATAAATGTGGCTCATTTGGCCTATATGTGGGAATGCTGTGCATTACTTGAGCCAATCAGGTCGTATTGTAGAGATGTGTAGGATGTCTAATTACTTAACGCATATATATATATATATACTTCCTGAAAGTCTGTTACACCTAAGGTCATATGTTGTCTTGTAACTGTCCTGAGCTGTTGCCAGTCTAGGACATTGATTTACGCCTGGGTGTGGTGTATGCTGAATTCTTGCATGGTGAACCCTGGATTGGTTGATTATAAACCTCAGTCGCTAAGCCTGAGATCCTTGTGTTGACGGACGACCGGTTGCTCCATAGGGCACAGCTCCGCTTTTCCAGTGGCCTTCCCCGCTCTGCTGGGTTTTGGGCTGCCACAGAGTTTGAGAAATGGTTTGGTTTGAATTGTTGAGGAACTGACTATGACTTGCCGCATTTTGCTAGAATAGGCAGGATAGGAAGAAGGGTCTTTGGACCTAGTATTGTTTTTTAGTTATGTTTTAGAAGTAGACAGTGCTATTTAGAGAAATCAGAACATTAGGTTTATTGGGTTTGTCTTTCTGTTCGGATGTAGAATCAGTGTGTTGCTTCAGAAGTCTTGTTGACCATAAAGTTAGAGTAGGAGCTTTTTAAACTCGTACATGAGTGTTGTGGAAATAGCTGCCTTCCACTCTCCTCGTTCAGAGAAGCTCCAGAGGAAGCCAAGTAATCCCAGTTCCCCTGCAATGTCCTACCAGTTTTCTCCTGAGCTATATATATGTGTATATATATATAACATATATATATATTTTTTCTAAAGATTTATTTATTTTTGTTGGAAAGTCAGATCTTCAGAGCAAAGGACAGAAATATCTTTCGTTTGCTGCTTCACTCCCTAAATGGCTGCGGTGTCTGGAGCTGAGCTGATCCGAAGCCAGGAGCTTCTTCTGGGTCTCCCATGTAGCTGCAGGTTCCCAAGGCTTTGGGCCATCCTTACCTGCTTTCCCAGGCCACAAGCAGGTAGATGGAAGGGAAATGGAGCAGCCAGGACATGAACCGGTGCCCGTATGGTATCCCAGTGTATGCAAGATGAAGACTTTAGCCTCTAGACTCCTGTGTTGGGCCTCTGAGCTATATTTTTAACTACAACCAAGTTATCATAAATATTGAGCCATTAGAAAATAATCTGATTTACTCTTCTTGTATTAAAAAGTTCTTGTTTTGATAGTATTTGCTGAGACTTGATTTCACTACCGTATGTAACTTGTAAGAGAATGAGTTGTCTCTTAAAAGAGCCTAAGATACAAAATCTGTTACTGCTTAAGACACGAGGTTTCTGTACTAATTGGGAATGCTGTTAGATTTGCCACAGGCTTTGATGAAAATCTTATTAGGGTCATTTACAAATCATTTTTGAATAAAACTCTCTCCTGGCAGAGTCCTGTTGCATAAACCAGGAATTATAAAACAGATACTTCCAGAACATAGTATTCTACAAAGCATCAATTTTGCTGAAGCATTTCAAGATGAACTGCTGGTAAACGAAGGTAAGAATTTGGAAGGAGCTCTGATAAGGAATGTACGGACAAAGCCAACATCCAGTTCCAGGTACCTGAGATGCGGTCAGTTGACACTAAGGCTCAGGCTTTGGGGCGTATGAATTCCTTCTCAAAAAGCCCTGTGTTCCCCAAAATGGACAATTTATTAGCATGATGAATGGAGAGGCAGTTCTAGTTATTTTATATAGGTTGGTGCCACAGATCATGTGTTGTAATTGAATGTTTTTCTTTGTTTTGTTGCTTTTTTTTTTTAAAGATTTATTTATTTTTATTACAAAGTCAGATATACAGAGAGGAGCAGGAGAGACAGAGAGGAAGATCTTCTGTCCGATGATTCACTCCCCAAGTGAGTGCAACGGCTGGTTCTGCACCAATCTGAAGCCGGGAACCAGGAGCCTCCTCCAGGTCTCCCACTCGGGTGCAGGCTCCCAAAGCTTTAGGCCGTCCTCAACAGCTTTCCCAGGCCACAGGCAGGGAGCTGGATGGGAAGTGGAGCTGCCTGGATTAGAACTGGCACCCATATGGGATCCCGGGCTGGTTCAAGGTGAGGACTTTAGCTGCTAGGCCAAGCTGCTGGGCCCCTTTGTTTTGTTTTTAGTGATTTTTTTTTGTGATTGAATGACATTTGTAGTAAATATCTTCATAGTTCATCTAAACTTTTGTAGGTAGAGGTCCCGTGATTAATATAAATGTAAATCTATAGTTAAGGAGTTCTTTTGAATTTCCATTAAAATACAAGTTGAAGATGATCTACGTTAGGTATAGCATGTAGATACTTGTATTCTCCTAAATTTTTTGTATTTACAGATTTGAATGGTCTCGTCTGGGTTCATCTGGAATAGCGTTTTATTCATCTGGAATTACTTGGCAATATTATCAGTAGCTAGTTTCTAAATTGGTTTAAATTGAATATCTGAAATTGCCACTTGCAAATTATATGCCTCAGATTGCTTCTCTATAAAGTCTATATTCCTGTCTATGAAGTATATATTCCTGTCTCAGAGGATTTGTAAAAATTATAATTTCATACAAAATAAATCTGTGTATGCGTGTACATTTATGTGTGTGCGTCTACGTATGTACACATAGACATGCATGTGTGTATATATGTGTACAAAACAGTTCCTGGCTGATAGGAACTTTTATGTTTCTTGTACCTTCCAAAGTTTCTTAATTTGACTAAGATAAACTTTTACGCATTCAGCGTGCTGAAGTCCTAAAGCTGCTGCATGGTAAAGCGGTTCAAAGAAAACCCTCAGCCAAGGGTCTTAACAATAATAATTTTTCTCCCCCAGCCTAAGAAAACAGTATTCTACAGTGCATTTACCTGGTTGTTTCATGGTGCACTTATGTTGACGACTCATGTTTTTAAAAACCTTGCTTTCTTTTCCAGTGTATGATCTTCCCCAGAGGCCTAATGACATCCAGCTGTTTTATGGAAACATGCGTAAAATTATACTTTCAGTAGTTGGTGAATTCCGAGAGTCTGTGTCTAACAGAGAACTGTTTCAGCCGCCTTCTGATGCTCCTGCCGAGTCACAAAGGTACACGAAACAAAAATCTCTCGCCAGCTCGGTGTTAATTGATGCGTTGGAGTACTGATCCTTTTTCCCTGTGCTTTATTATTATTTTGTCTCCAAAGTGTTTTTCACCTTTTAGAAAATACTTGCTTATTTATGTAAAGCTTTATTTTCATTATTTGAAAGAGAGAGAGAGAGAAAGGAAGAAAAGGAGGGACTGAGAGGGACTGCGTTCACTGGGCCACTCACTCCCTTAACGGCTGTAACAGCCAGAGCTGGGCCACCAGCAGCTTTTTCCATGTCTCCCACGTGGGTGCAGGGTCCCAAGCACTTGGGCCGTCTTCATTCCCAGGAGCTGGATTGGATGTGTAACAGCCTAGTCTTGAACCAATACGTGTATAGGATTCTAGTACGGCCACTGGTGGCTTAACTTGCTGTGCCGCAATGCCAGTCCCTACACCTTGGTCTTTTAGTTTAAGTTGAAACCATTTCAAACTTTCAAGAAAGTTTTAAAAACAATTCTAAAAGCTCCCTTAGACCGTTTTATTCAGATTCCTCAGTTGTTAATATTTCTTCAAGTTTACGATTTTAGTTGTTTTAATCAATGTGCTTTGAAGGCATAGTGAAGAGGGGAGGGAGGAAAGGAGAGATGAAAGAATGAAAAGTAAAGAGAGAAAGAAAAGGAAGATGGGGGATGGGAGCAAGAGACAAAGAGGGAGATCCTTCCATCTGTTGTCTCACTCCCCCAAACACCTACCGTAGCCAGGCTGGGGCAGGCTAAAGGCAGGAGGCCAGAATGCAATCTAAGTTCCCTCTCTGGGAGTCAAGCAGCCAAGAACTTGGACCATCTGCCACTGCCTTGCCAGGCACGTCGTCAGGAAGCTGGATGGGAAGGGGAGCAGTTGGATCTCTGCCATCCCTCCAGTATACGGGATGCCAGCATCCCAGCCATGTCTTAATGCAGTGTGCCACAATGTTAGCGCCACTACATGAATGCAACCGTTCTTTATTTCTCTGATCATAGAATTTAATCCGTAATCACTTCCTATTTAATAAGCTTGTCCCTCACTTTCAGTATAGAACAGCTCCTAAGGATGATCTTTCATAAGGAAGGTAACAGATAGGGTTCGATGACCAGATTAGAATTACAGAATTAAAGGTACTGTTTAGAATCAAACTTTGCTGATAGTAACTTCAGATGAAGCAGTCTTTATTGCCATATTAGTCCTTGTGTTCCGGTTTAAATTTAACGCAGCTGTACATATGTATACTGCTTACATAAAAGGAGGAACCATTTTAAGCGTAAAAGTTATATTTTATAATTATGGAATTATTAATTAGTGTAATTTTATTTTAAACAATTATACCCCTTAAAATCATTAATTTTAAGGTTTTTTTTTGAAAGATTTATGTATGTTTTATTGCCAAGTCAGATATACAGAGAGCAGGAGAGGCAGAGAGGAAAATCTTCCGTCCGATGATTCACTCCCCAAGTGAGCGCAACAGCTGGTGCTGCACCAACCTAAAGCCGGGAACCAGGAACTTCCTCCAGGTCTCCCACGCGGGTGCAGGGTCCCAAAGCTTTGGGCCGTCCTTGACTGCTTTCCCAGGCCACAGGCAGGGAGCTGGATGGGAAGTGGAGCAGCCGGGATTAGAACCAGCGCCCATATGGGATCCCGGGCGTTCAAGGCGAGGACTTTAGCTGCTAGGCCATGCCACTGGGCCCTAAATTTTAAGTTTCTTACCACAAATGATTTTAGAGCTAGTGCATGTTGCTCAAAGTCTCCCATGGATGAGGGCCTTCCTGGGTTTCTGGAGGATCTGTTTTTAGCAAGGTCACCAGGAGTCATTGAGTATTTCCTGGCAAAGTTGTTGCTATTTTTGTTGAGTCCAGGACATTTATTAACGATTCAGTTCTTTTGCAAATTCAGGTTTCAGCTTGAGAAGTGTGACCAAGGAAATGATGCTGTTTGTTTTCTCCGGCACACTTTTTAGGCTTTTAATGTGAATTTGTCTTATTAGTCATTTATTTTTCTGAAGATTTATTTGTTTTTATTGGAAAGACAGATTTAGAGAGGAGGAGAAACAGAGAAAGATCTGCTGTGCCCTGGTTCACTCCCCAAATGGCTGCAGTGCTCAGAGCTGAGCTGATCTAAAGCCAAAAGTCAAGAACTTCTTCTAGGCCCCCAAATGGGTGCAGGACCCCGAGACCTGGTCCATTCCCCGCTGATTTCCCAGACCGTAAGCAAGGAGCTGGATGGGAGATAGAGCAGCCGGAACATGAACCTGCACCCGTAGGGGATGCTGGCACCCTTAGGGGATGCTGGCACCTGCAGGTGGATGATTAGCCAATTTAGCCATTGTATTAGCTCCTCACTATTCCCGTTTGATCATCCAGTTAAAATATCTGCTGAGTTTTTCCACTGTAAAGTTAATTAGTATTTTATGCAGAGATACTTGGAGGTTCTAAATCGTCTAATTCTTCATCAGACTTGGACAGTCCATGTATGATTGTTGCCGGAATTAGATGATTACCATCGTGGTTACCAAAGTGTGGTGATCTTCTGATTCCGTCTTTCTACCTTTCAGATGCCCTTCCGGCTTCAGTGTTACCCTTCACAGTCACTACGTGGTGCCACCTTGACCCTCTCGATCAGTCCCTCCTCGCTCTCTGAGCCCACCTTATTCACAGGCATGGAATACTCTAGTCTCATTTCCATCCTTGCAGTCCACTCTTGAAGTAGCTATTCACCTTAGGTTCAATTCCCTTGGGCAAAGAATGGTGTTAGAAAGCTACTGAGGTTCCTTGCTTCTCGACCATCTCCGCTAAGAAGTCTACAAATTGGCGTCTCAAACCTCCCACACCTGTATCTGTGTCTGTCTGTAAGTGTGTTGAGAGCCGTGCTTTCTCACTGGGACCTCGCCGCAGTTCCGATCTGTCATCACAGTCCCATGCTCCTCCGTCCTGGGAATCCCGACCTCACTGTGGTCAGTGTATTTACACATTCTCCCAGTTCTCCTAGTTCTAAAATTCCTTTCACGCCGCCCTGAGCCTGGTGCCCCAGTTCATGCCAACATTTATTTTTCCCATGCTTTTAATGTTGATCTTTCTTCAAAGATATCCAAACAGCACATTAAAGATTGACAAGTGTGTATATGTGTGTTCATATGTGTGTATATAAAATTATCTTGAAGTCATGTAAATTGTGAGGAATTGGTTCTTAGCCAAAAACTGACCTTGAAAACCTTCATTTCGGATTCCTGACTGGTCCTTCCTCTGTGTTTTGGGGAAAGTGCAGGATCTGTCTTGAGGGTGAAGACAGCATGAGTATCAGACAGCGATTTTTGTGTCCGGTCAGCGTGGACTTAAACAATTATATGATCAGCTACTGAATGTAGGAAAATTGGGTCACCATGCAGTGAAACTAAAGTTTTCTCATGTACTCCAGTGAAGTTCAGTTGAAGGAGAAGCAATTAGTCAAGCTCTGAGATGCCATGTCACACACTGGAGTGCCCGGGTCTGATACCGGCTGCAGTGGTACCTGCCTTTCAGCTGCTTGCAGAAAGGCCACGTCGCGGGTGACGGCTCCCGTGGCTGGGTTCCTGCTGCCCACACGCGAGACCTACATCGAGGTCCCTGCCCCTGACCTGGTGGGCATTTGGCAAGGGGACCAGTGGATATGAGCTGCTTCTCTTTTTACATCTCTCTTGAGTTCTCACATGTAAAAAAAAAAATGCAGAATTCGGTTGAATTATAATTTCTGAATCTGTGGCTAATGAGAAAATGCTTTCAAAGTAATGGAAACAAAATTCTTCCAAAATTATTTACTGTAGCATTTCGCCCAGAAGATGCTCCTTTTCAATGTTTTTGGTGTCAGCATGGTGAAGCCACCTATCGTACTGATAAAGCTAAATAGAATGTTTTGTTTTTCTTAATTTGTAATTCCAGCTGTTTTTGTTTATTAAACCTTTTGAGAGATTTTAGATGACATGCAAAAGTCAACCCGGAAGAACAGTTTAAAACCACGGATTGTTTCAGTTAAAGGTTATTTTAATATTTACCTTATTCTGTACTGTGTTATTTTTGAGGGTTCTATTCACTGAGAAATATTTGGAGTATAATGTACTTACTGCTTTTAGATTTATGAGCAATTATCAAAATCATGTGACACAGTCTGGCTTTTTATTGCTTTTTAACTTCCCTGTCTGACTTGCTGATTTTTCAGCCATTTTCCGAGTGACCCAGGAGCTGGCGGAAAGCACAGTGGCAATGTGTCTTTGGATGTGTTACCGGTGAAAGGCCCTCAGGGTTCCCCGTTTCTCTCACAAGCTGCTCCCCTGCCTCAAGACTCGTCAGTTGCTGAGGAGACCTGGACTGTCCACCCTGAGCACTTGGTTTTAGTAGCTCCTCCTGCTTGTGAGTATGTCGGCCATGACATGGCACATGTGTATGCTGCAAATTGGACCTGTGTGCTCTCTGCCCGCCGGCTCTGCTGCAGTAGGCAGATGGCCTTGGCGACATTTCCTGGTGGTTTTCCCACCTCTGAGACCTGACTCAGACTTTGCCTCAAGCTGTGTCGTGATCCCGTGGTCACATTTCTCAGCCGAGCTCCTGGCTCCCAACAGAGGACCTGTATGTATCCCCACCCAAAGAACTCACTGGGGCACTTGACCTCTTGTTATATATATATTTTTAAGATTTATTTATTTATTGGAAAGTCAGATATACAGAGAGGAGGAGAGACAGAGAGGAAGATCTTCTGTCCAATGATTCACTCCCCAAGTGACCGCAACGGCCAATGCTATGACGATCCGAAGCCAGGAACTTCTTCCAGGTCTCCCACACAGGTACAGGGTCCCAAGGCTTTGGGCCGTCCTCGACTGCTTTCCCAGGCCACAGCAGGGAGCTGGAAGGGAAGTGGAGCTGCCAGGATTAGAACCAGTGTCCATATGGGATCCCAGCGTATTCAAGGGCGAGGACTTTAGCCACTAGGCCACTAGGCCGCTGGGCCCTATTTGTTTTTATTGGAAAGTCATATATAGAGAGGAGGAGAGATAGAAAGATCTTCTGTCCGCTGATTCACTCCCCAAGTGGCCGCAACAGCTGGAGCTGAGCCAATCTGAAGCAGGAGCTTCTTCTGGGTCTTAAGGCTTTGGGCTATCCTCTACTGCTTTCCCCAGGCACAACATGGAGCTGGATGGGGAGCATGGCCAGGATTGGAAGCAGCGCCCATATGGGAACCTGCCACTAGGCTACCACACTGGGTCGCTCTTGTTATCTTTAATACTGATATCAGTGGCTCACAGTGCCAGCAAATTGGCACCGTCCTGCTTGCCAGGATTTCCAGCAGGCAGTAACAGCGTTCACATGTCCGTTCCCTCTGTTCAGTGCTCCCAGTGTCTGTCATTTCCAGGTGGAGGAGTGGGCTCGTCCTCTCAGAAACTTGAGCTGCTTGTGGCTGAGCAGAGCAGGGAGCAGGTGATGCGCTCGCTGTGTCAGCATGGTTATTTAGATTCTTAGAGTTGTTTTTATGATCTGGTGACTTTTTTTTTCGCTATTCTTAAACGTAACATTCTGTTTTTCTGATGTAATAGGTGACACGGCAAGCCCTGGACGCTTTCAGATTGTAAACAGTTCTGGTAGGCTGCTGAAATTCGAGCTGTATTGGCCAGCGCATTGCCTGACGGTCACACCACAGCACGGACATATTGCCCCGGAGTAAGTGTGACTTCTGTGTTCTTGCGTTGTTATTTAGGTACTGTTGTGACACTGTAAGGTTCATTTTATTTATTTGAAAGTAAGAGTGCGATAGAGACAGGGAAAAGGAGAGTCATTGACTGGTTCACCTTCCCAGATGAGCTCAGCAAGCCAGCGCTAGGCTGAACCAAAACCAACCGCCTGGAGCTCCATCTGGGTCTCCCCTGTAGGGAGCAGAAGTTGGAGCGGTTGCGCCATCCTCTGCTGTCTCCCCAGGTACCTAAGCAGGGAGCTGAATTAGAAACAGAGCAGGTGGGACTCAAATGCCATCCTTCAATAGTGTGCTGGTATTGCAGGCGTTGACTTAACACTGTGCCACAGTGCCAGCCCTGTATGGTGGTGCCTTTTGAAGGATCACATAATCTGTTCTTTTCATTTATCCACTGCAGTTTTGTACTGTGCTGACCCTTCAAAGGCTGTGCTTGATTCTATGGAATGAGAGTCTCCAAGACTCACACCCGTTAGTGAAGAACGTCACGCACGTAGCTTGTTAGGCTGTGACCCAGGAAGGTGAAGGGACAGAGTGTCCCCAGAGGAGAAGACCCCAGAGCACTGGCTGACCCTCCCTTCTGTCCACACAGTTACACAGTTAACTTTTCCAGAAAGTTAGCTTTATTTTCTACGCTAAATAAATAACATACACACAAGAAAAAACAATCAAAAGATTTCTATCCAAGTAAAATATACAGAGGTGTATCAGCTATTTCAAATCCAAATGTCAAGCATCCTGAATATTAAGAAATTGCCTTTATCAAATACTTTCAAGTTGAATTATCCATATTAAATATTCCAATTCAGGGTTGGATTAAACAGGTACCAGCTTATTTATTTATTATCTTTAAAAACCAACTATGGCTTAAAAATCATCAATTGCTTCTGCATCTTAGCACAAGCACCCTAGTTATTATTTTGCCTTATCCATTTCTTCTTAATTCCAGCAAGCATCCTGTTCATCTATAGGCAATAAAAATCAAATTACTCTGTCCCAAATAGTAAAATATTCAGATGCTGTTCAAGTAAATCATTAATTTACATTAATTTTGGTAGACAATAAACACTAATAAAATTCAAGATATAATATCTTTAGAGCTTTTCCCTTCCCTTTTCACCCTAACCTTTCTCTGCAGAACTTATCTGATGTGGAAGAGTACAGGAAACAGACACAATTTGTTCCATTATTCTAATTATACATTAAAAACTTAAAAAATTATGTAATCTTCATAAACTAATTCCTCACAAATCCAGATAATACTTTCTTTAAAACGGCAAAGTATGATCACTGCTTTAACAGAACATAATAGTCCAGAGAAAAGCTATTCCTTAACATTCATTCCAAGGCAGAAATTAACATGTAGATCATCCTGTTGTGATGGGCCCATCACATCACGTTGGCTCTACAGCCTCAATAATTAAGCATTGCATTTCCTTGGTTTGGATTGCACTCTGCTGGTTTTGTCTGAAGGATGCTTCTCAGATTAAATTTTCTCACTTATAATGTGTTTGAGCCATAACCTGGCTTCCCATTTTCTGTGTAGAATATTTTGCTACCGGGGCAAGCATTGGCATAGCAGGTAAAGCCATTTCCTGTACCACTCACATCCTGCATAGGTGCTGGTTCAAGTCCTAGCCACTCCACTCTGCTCTGCTCTCCTGCTAATGACCTGGGGAAGCAGAATGGGATGGTGCAACTGCTTGGGACCCTACACATCTGGGAAGGTCCAGAGGTAGCTCCTCGTTTTCACCTGGCTGAGCCTTGGCTGTTGTTGCCATATGGGGAGTGAACCTTTGTGTGTGTCTGTGTCTCGCCTCTCAAACTCTGACTTTCCAATAAATAAATAAATTTCTAAAGGGAAGAAGTGTATTCTCACAGAGGGGAGGACACAGCTGGATACATAGCTGGGTCCCTAGTAGGAGAAAAAGCCACAGCTCCTTAGCTTTCCAGGCACTGTGAGTCAGCATGGAGTGCCCACTTGTGGAAGTTGCTTCAGATTAGAGACGAGCAGCTTTGCAAGAGAATGTGAAGGCTCATTTACTTAGGCATATGCTGAGTGTGCATGTTGGGGCGTCCTGCGCCTATGAGCCCACGTTAGGTCAGCAGCAGTACTAGGTCAGTGTTGCTGGGACCGCAGCAGTCAGTGGAGGTACAAGGAGTGCAGCGTTTCCTTTTCAGCTAATGGTTGAAATGACAGGGTGTGATGGACTAGGTTTATCACAAATAACTCTTCCCATATAGCGCTTTTTAAGTTTCCTCTGTTACTGTTATCAGTGAAAATTCTGCCCTGCCATTTTTGGCATTTTCTGCCATTTTTTGAGTCACAAATTTGATCAGATTGCCTGTGTTTAAATTTTCACTGGAATTCTGTGGTTCTTGAAGAGAACACCGAGTACAGAACTACTGGCTAACTAGACACGGCTTCCTTCATTTCTTCTCCGCATCTCCCAACCCGCACCTTTTCTTTCAGCTTCCTCCTCCTCTCTGCCTTCTCTTTGTATTGTGACTTTATCATGCTCAATTACACAGTGCTTTGGAGCTTTGGTACTACCAATAATTTTTTCTCCAGTATTTATTTCTGATCTTGGAGTGATGTTTCTGTGTCAATTTATTTTGACGTCAGTTTTGCTGTTGGTTCCTTGGTTCATTTCATGGTTAGCCCCTGCGGGGACCTTGTGTGCAGCCACAGTGCGTGGCCGCGTGGGGGGCAGCTGGTATTCCCTGCTGTTTCTGAGCAGTGAGGAAATCGTTGGTTACCAGCAGAACAATTTGTATAGCTCTTGTGATTATTGCTGTTAAAGTACAGAATGTCCTTGGTTTATATTGTTAAATTCTTTTTTTGTTTTTTTTTTAAGGAGTAAGCTACAAATTCTTGTGAGTCCTAATGCTTCGTTATCTACAAAACAGTCGATGTTCCCATGGAGTGGTTTGATCTATGTACACTGCGACGATGGGCAGAAGGTACGTTTTCAATGTTGTTTTGAGTGTCTGTTCTCTTCATTTGTGGCATGATTCTTATCAGTACTTATATTTCAGAAACCATGTGAAACTATTTGGGTTTTTTTTTTTTCCAGCTCTGTTTGAATGATTTAGTTACCGCACTTAGTGTAGAATTTTGCTATTAATGACCTCTCTTAGGGAATGAGGCAAATGGAGAACAGGGCGTAGAAGCTATTGCTAATCGGCAAAAATTTCTTGTAAAGAAAAAAAGTTGTGGTAGGTGAGGAAGATACAGGGTCAGAGAGATTGACCTTGGTTCAAGATCTGAATGAAACACTCTAAATTCATTAGCATTTCGTTTGGAGTTGCTGAGGCCAGAGCCATGGAGTAGTAAGCTGAGCCTCCACCTGTGGTCCCAGCATCCCATAAGTGCTCCTGGCTGCTCCACTTCCAATCCTGCTTCCTGTTTATGACCTGGCAAAGCAGGAAAGGATGGATGAAGTCCTTGGGCCGCCTTCACCCACAACGATGACCTGGAGGAAGCTCTTTAAAATGTCAGCAATATTTATGTCATATGTCTTTATCCATCTCATTTCAGAAAATTGTCAAAGTTCAGATTCGAGAAGATCTGACTCAGGAAGAGCTTCTGCCACGTCTGGCCACCTCCAGCACATTAGAAATTCTTACCTCAGCATCAGAGCCTCCAATCAGTCATCTGGTAAAGCCAGTGACAAAACCACCTTCCACAAAAGTTGAAATAAGAAATAAGACTGTTACTTTTCCTACAACAGAACCTGGTAAAACTTCAGGTATTGTATCACAGAGTCACGTGGCTCAAAAGTTTACTGACACGTGGAATGCAGTGCTCCGTTATCAGTGAATTCACGATCGGCACACATTTCCCCCCGTCCTGAAGACAATCCAAATAACCGCGATGATGGGCTGCATTTGAGATCAAACGATCTTAAATTTAGTGATTATACCCCAGGAATATGTGGTGGTCTGAGCATCCAGATCTCTCACTGGAGTTGTTAGTAAGTTGTGCATGAACAAGAGAGGGTGTGATGGAGCCTGGCTCTGTCATTTTCCTGTCGTAGCGAACGCCATCCACTGAGGCTTTGAGAACACATCAATTCATGTATTTAGGAATATTTGTAAAAGGCCTGTGCTGTAAGGAGTTTTCTGCTTTGCTAATCTGTCCTTCAGAAGCCCTGAGGTAATTTTTCTGTTTCCATCTATTTTCTGTCCGAACGTCTCCCCCATCTCCTCCCTGTTTCTTGCTTTTCTCTCTGTGTTTGTCTTTCCAGTCGCAGAGCAGGTGGAACCTGTCAGTTTCGCCAGTGCTTCCTAAAAGCATCACCCTCTTCTCCATTACTCTGGTCTGGGGGTTGTTGGACAGCCCTCTGACCTCGTTGTGACCTTCAGTCTCCTGGCCCTGCCATCCCTGCTGCCTCCTCCAACTGCTGTGGCGCTCTTCTCTGTCATTTAATGTCACTGTCTCACACACTCCCTCCACATTCCTGCAGTCAGACTGTGCACCTCTGTGTCCTAGCAGCAGGAGACCGCTGGACAGAATGGCACTGTCTTGCTGATGGGTTCATAGCCATGAATCTCACCATGGGTTTTTCTGTATCCCTCCTCCCTGTGTGTCCACACCCTCCCCAGGGGTGTCCCCTTCTGCCTTGTTGGAGCTCTGCTCCTTCTCCGCTGCTCCTGACTTTGCCCTGGCCAGGATGACAGAGAAGCCATGGGATTCAGTGACTTTCCGTCACAGATAAAGCCTTGTGTTTGGAACCTGGGACTCAGAGCTTCCTCTGGTCCCTTCTCACTCGTGGTTTCCATTTGCAGTCATTGCTTTCTCACATCAGCACACCCAAGCCTCTGCCTTGACAATTGAAGCAATATGTGCTTTCGCATCTTCCCTTCCTGAGGCTGCGCCTTTGCTGCTAACCCTGCTGATGAAAGAGTCCTGCTCCTGCCTTCACTCCTCAGGCTGCTTGAGCTGGTGTTACAACCTTACCCTGGACTGGCTCCTGTCCAAGCCATGAAGGAGCTTCATTCTGCTGGAACCACGGCCCCCTTTAGTTGCCTTTGTTTATTTGAACTCTCTCGAAAGTGCCTTCTTACAGCCTCTGTGGTCCCAGTGCCCCTGCTTCTTCTCATGTTGCTGTACTGGTTCTCCTCTGGATTCACCTGTGTCTCCCCTTCTGGCCTGTGGATGATTGACGGCCATCTGTAACTCTGAATCCTGGTGTGCTCTCTGGCCTGGCCTGGAGCTCAGACAAGTGCATCCCAGAGCCTTCTGTTCCATGTGCTGGTGTGTCAGGTGTGATGTGCCAAAGCCTGCTTCACCTCTGGCCTCACCCACACTGCTAAGTGGCACCACCATCTGCCATCTGTTGTTTGATTCCACTTCTCTTTCCTACCTGCCCACCTAGTCCAACACTCAGGCCTCTGGAGCCCATCTTCAAGGCAGGTGGGCTCTTCACGACCCTATGGGCCTGCCTGCTTCACTGCCAGGCTGCTCTCGGTGGCTGGTGCTGGGCGCCCTGTGTGTCATTCTTCAGCCGCACCACTACAGCAGTGTGCCTCCTGGGCTCCCTTGTCCCCATGTCACTTACAGTTCCTTGTCTGCACCTCAGCCTGTAATTCCTTCAAAATGTCAGTTCTTTTTTTTTTTTTTTAAGATTTATTCATTTTTGTTACAAAGTCAGATATACAGAGAGGAGGAGAGACAGAGAGGAAGATCTTCCATCCGATGATTCACACCCCAAGTGAGCGCAACGGCCGATGCTATGCTGATCCGAAGCCGGGAACCAGGAACCTCTTCCCACATGGGTGCAGGGTCCAGAAGCTGTGGGCCATCCTTGACTGCTTTTCCAGGCCACAAGCAGGGAGCTGGATGGGAAGTGGAGCTGCCAGGGATTAGAACCGGCGCCCATATGGGATCCCGGGGCGTTCAAGGCGAGGACTTTAGCTGCTAGGCCACGCTGCCGGGCCCCAGTTCTTTTCTTGTTCAACCTTCAGTGTCTGTGCATCATGCTCAGAACAGAATCCAAAACAGAAGATCTGCCATGCCTGGCTGTTTCTGAAAGCACTGTTATCTCCCACAGGGACCTCTGTGCTACAGCGGTGGGTATGGCAGAGGTCTGGTGAGTGGCCCTCTGTTAGGCAGATGGCAATGAAGTGTGTGATTTTTTTTTTCTTCCTTTTAGAGAGCTGTGTGGAACTTGAGAACCATGGCCCCACAGACGTGAAGTGGCACCTGTCATCTTTCGCTCCACCTTATGTCAAGGTCGGTGATGGTTTCCTCCGGTATATCTGTTTTAGTGTTTAAACTTTAGCCAAGATGTTTAAGAGTTGGAGTGTGGGCATGGGCTGGTTTCACTGGGCTGCCTGCTCTTCCAGGTCATTTACTTGGTTTTCTGTGTAGGTGGGAGTGATCCCAGGTGATTCCGAAAGGCACATTAGACAATCTGCGTGAAATACGTACTGCTTCCTTTTCATTCTGACTCCTGGCTCTGATTTTTATCTGAAACAGCCTTATTTTGGAACAAGCTGTGTTTATTTTACTTGGAAGTATTTTTATTCACAAAGTGATGGGTTTGCATACCCACTTTCTTTCCACGTTCAGAGAACTGTGGTGCCTTCAGCCGCTGGGAGCTGGGACCTGTGGGGGCCTTGAGGCTCGCCCAGTGTTGTGGGAGTCCCTGCTGCTGGCACTGGCCTGAGCGGGCCTGGCAGTTGTATTGCTTACAAAACTCTGGCCTCTCTGCCTTGTTTTTGGTGTGAGAATAACAGTTTTGAAGCAGAATACTAATAAAATGTGGCAAAGGTGGTCGCTGGCTCTACCACAGGGACCTAAACAGATGGTGCTGCCTGGTGGGGAGGGGGAGGAGAGGGCACGGGGTGGAAATGTGCTTCCCAGTGTCCTCAGGGTCTGCAAGGAAGCGACAGCTGTTAGATGTTACGAGGAGCGTGGTCCAGGGAGGTCATAGCTGCGGTAGAGGGTAGCATGCTGGACTGCAGAGCTCAGCTGGGAGGCTGGGGCTTTATCTGTCACCTTGGATGTCTTGAGTGGATTGTTTAAATAATTTCTTTGCAGGGAGTTGATGAAAGTGGAGATGTTTTTAGAGCTACTTATACAGCATTCAGATGCTCTCCTATCTCTGGTGTACTGGAAAGCCATGGAATTCAAAAGGTGAGTTCCGACTTTTCTCCCCGCCTCCCCGGCCCCCAGAGGCAGTTGTTAAAAACACACTGTTAACCATCTGGTAATGCTTTATTGAGCTCCAGCCAATTACGTCTGTTTCACCTAGACCAGTGCTGCGCCTAGAGCCAGTCTTCCCACAAGACAAACAACCTGCCTCAGTATGAGGCCGCATACTCACCCTGCACTCAACCAAAAGTCTCCACACCACGCTTGGTGATGAAGGCCGCGTCTGTGCATGTGGCGTAGTTCATTGATCCAAATGAGCGTTTTGTCTACCAGGCAGACCTGGAAAAGCTTATCACTGCCAAAAGGCAACTCAATGCCTGTGGCCTCGTCGGTTGAATTATCTTTGTGGACAGACCCCTTCGGCACATAACCCTCTGAAGTCTGGATTCATCGTCAGGCCTGACATCCGCCGTGGGTGTCTGTACGTGACGCTCAGCATCCCTGGGCCTCACTACCATACTTTTTCAATCTAACTGTTGAAACTCATTTAAACTGTAGTACAGATGACATAGACCCACTTATTCAGACTTTCAGACTTCTAATAAGCTCCAGAGTATAGCTGATAAACTTGGACTGATTGTATACACAGTTTCTACATTTTTAGAAAGACACATACATAGTTCTACAAGTGTAGTTTATTCCATTTTCCAAACCATAGGAGAAGCAAAGCAGCACAATAGGACACATTGGTCCAGAACAGTTTGACGTAGCAGGAGGATTTGCAGAATAAGGAAGGCCTGCAGGAAAGGCACCCTAATCTGTAGGTTGAGAGACCAGATGTGTGGAGACAGTCCTGAACCCGACTCGACCCGTAGGCCCACACAGTCCCAGTCAGAACCCCCGCTGAATTGTTATTTTTGTTGTTGTTGCATGTTGAAATTGACAAGGTGATCCTATGATTCATTCAGGTACACAAGGGACCGAGGATAACCAAAACAATCTTGAAAGAGAACGAAGTAGACAAAGCAGTAGGGGTGGCAGTGTGGTATGGTGCTAAAGCCGTCTGCAGCAGCACTCGGATCCTATGTAGGAGCTGTTTGGTGTTCTGGCTGCTCAACTTCTGACCCAGCACCATGCTGATGTCCTGGAAAAAGCAGTAGAAAATGATCCAAGGGCTCGGGCCCCTGCTACTCATGTGGGACGCCTGGAGGAAACTCCAGGCTACTAGCCTCATCCTTGCTCTGCCCTCGCTGTTGCAGGCTGAGGAGTGAACCAGTGGATGAACAACGTCTTTCTCTGTCTCTCCCTCTTTAAATCTTTCTAAAAAAGAAAAAAGATAATGAAGTAGTAGAATCTAAACATCTCATTTAAAAATTATTATAAAGCTTTTGGATAAAAGCTTTATATGTATATGTATATATAACAATGGTGTTGACATAGGATAGATGCACAAGATACAACAGACATGGAATGATATTTAGTCACAGAATAAACTATCAAATGTATGACCAGTTGGTGATGGTGGTGATAGTGGTGGTTTGTTTTTTAAGAAGGACACCAAGACAGTTTAATAGGAAACAAATATTTTTCAAATAAATGGTACTGAGACAACTTAGATATTCATATGCAAAAGAATGAAGTGTGAACCCTTGCTTACTCAGGAAAAAAAAAACCCAGAAAATGGACCCTGCGTTGTAAGAGCAGAAAATTTTGAAACACACTAGAGGGTGAACTTAGCAGAAAAAACATGACCTTAGGCTAAGCATTGGGTTTTTTTTAGGTATGATACCAATATTTTCTTTTTTTTTTTTTTTTTAAGATTTATTTTTATTATTTTTTCATTGGAAAGGTGGATATACAGAGAGGAGAGACAGAGAGGAAGATCTTCCGTCCGATGATTCACTCCCCAAGTGAGCATTCAAAGTGAGGACTTTAACTGCTACACTAGGCCATGGGGCAGGCCCACTTCATTCCATTTTATGGCAAATATTTCATTGTATGGTTATACCACATTTTGTTGTATCTGTTCATTACGGAATTGAAGCTATCTCTTAAATTTTTTGGCTACTATAAAATAACATTGCTATGAAATGTTTGCGCAAGGTTTTATTTGAATAGCCACTACAAGCTTTTAGGTACACCCCCAGAAGTGGGATTGCTGGCTCATGCAGTAATTCTATACTTAGCTGAGGAACCGTCAAAGCTTTCTGCAGGAGCCACCCTATGTGGCATTCTCACCAGTAACACATAGGAGTCCCATGTCCATTCCAACAGTTAGTTTAAAAACAACAACAACAACAAAACATATAACTCAGTGTGTGTGAACTGACATCTCAACTAGTTTTGATCAGTTTCACTGATGACCAGTAATTCTCTTTCCATGTGCTCTCTGGCCACCTATATATCCTCTTTGGCAGAACCTACTTGAAAAACATTGGCTCCATTTAAAAACGGAGTCATCTTATTTTATTGTGCTATAAGAGTTTTTAGCATATTGTGGATACAAGTCCTTCGTCAAATCTTTGATTTCAAACCACTTTCTTCCATTGCGTGAGACAGCATTTTTTTGATTTTATGATGGTGTGCCTTGATGTACAAGTAATTTTAATTTTGATAACTGGCCTGTTTCTACTTTTGTGGCTTTGTAAGAAAATATTGGTATGGGGCCCGGCGCGGTGGCGCAAGTGGTTAAAGGTCCTCGCCTTGCACGCCCGGGATCCCATATGGGCGCCGGTTCTAATCCCAGCAGCCCCGCTTCCCTTCCAGCTCCCTGCCTGTGGCCTGGGAAAGCAGTCAGTCGAGGACGGCCCAAAGCTTTGGGAACCTGCACCCGCGTGGGAGACCCGGAAGAGGCTCCTGGCTTTGGATCGGCATAGCATCGGCCGTTGCGGTCACTTGGGGAGTGAATCATCAGACGGAAGATCTTCCTCTCTGTCTCTCCTCTCTGTATATCCGCCTTTCCAATGAAAAAATAATAAAAATAAATCTTAAAAAATAAATAAATAGATCTTCATACAAAACAAAAAAACGTAGACTCCGCACTGGTAAGTATTACCAAGTGCTATTTTTAAATACTGCAGTGTTTTCATTACTGAGCTTTTAAACAGATTGTACAAATGCAGATCATGTATATGTGACCAGGGCAGCCGCCCTCGCCGGCATTCTCACGTTAACCGTAACGTGAGTTGGGTTTGTGTCTGGGAAGCTCCTCTTGTTCTGCCCGTTACCACCCGCCCTCCTCCATAATCACTCTGCACAGCTTCCTCTTCCTGTGTGGCTGTTGAGGGGTCTCGCCATTGGCACGACCGAATGGACTGCCTTCCTGCGGTGGGACCCTCCTCATGCAGACCCTGTGCCTGGCCGCTCCAGTATGCTCTAGTACATTTTGACAGTATCTTTCTTTCCTTTTCTGGTTTGGTTTTTTTTTTTTTTAAGATTTATTTATTTTTATTGTAAAGGCAGACGTACAGAGAGGAGGAGAGACAGAGAGGAAGATCTTCTGTCCGATGATTCACTCCCAAGTGAGCGCAACGGCCGGTGCTGCACCAATTCAAAGCCAGGACCCAGGAGCTCTTCTGGGTCTCCCACATGAGTGCAGGTTCCCAAGGCCCTCCTGGGCCATCCTCGACTGTTTTCTCAGACCATAAGCAGGGAGCAGGATGGGAAGCTGGGACCGCTGGGATTAGAACCAGCGCCCATATGGGATCCTGGTGCGTGCAAGGTGAGGACTTTAGCCACTAGGCTGCCGCACCAGGCCTTGACAGTTTCTTTTGCCTCCAAAAATAATCTGCTTTTCATTTTGAAGAATGTAGTTTATAAAGTCATAAAAATGTACTTTGTGGGCCTGGCGTGATAGCCTAGTGGCTAAATCCTTACCTTGCATCTGTTGGGATCCCGTATGAACTCAGCTCCGGTCATTGCGGTCCCTTGGGGAGTGAACCAGTGAACAGGTTTTTTTTTTTTTTTGTCTTCTTTCTGTATATCTCTACCTTTGCCATAAAAAAAAAAATGATAAATCTTTGAAAAATGTACTTTGGATTTAGTATAGTAGCAAATGCATGGAAACATTCAAATTGTTTTTCATTTAGTACGAAAGCCAGCCAATGATCACTAGTTGTTCCAGTTTTTTTCATGCCGAAGCTTTGGATTGGTGAGCCGACTGCATGCGTGAGATGCTCAGTGTCTGAATTTCTCCTGCCCTGTGTTTCACAGGTCTCTGTCACGTTTTTGCCCAGGGATAGAGGGTGTTATGCCCAGTTTTGGGATGTTGAATGTCACCCTGTTAAAGAGCCCCACATGAGCCACACGTTGAGATTTCAGCTCTCTGGACAAGTGAGTATTGCTTGGGGTGTAAGTAAATTATTGTGCCTATTAAAAAGACCAGGAGGAGGTTGGCATGGTGGCATAGAAGGGTGATCCTCTGCTTATGGTGCTGGCATTCCATGTGGGTACCGGTTCTAGTCCCTGCTGCTCCACTTCAGATCCAGCTTCCTGCTGATGACTGCGGAATACAGCAGCGTATGGCCCAAAGCCTTGGGTCCCTGTGCCCGAGTGGGAAACCCCAAGGAAACTCCCGACTCCCGACTTCAGATCAGCTCTGCCTGTTGTGCTCATTTAGGGAGTGACTCGCAGATGGAAGATGTCTCTATCTTTATAACTCTTTCAAGTGAAATAAATCAATCTTTAAAGACAAAAAAGAAAAAGAATATTGGGAGAATTAAAAAATATTTACTGAAAATGCAAAATATTCCCCTGTGTTCTTTTACTAATTTCATTGCATAACCCAATTGGACCTTTTTTGTCTCTTAATTTGTATGTTTGAGATCTGTTTGCGCTAGTGTTCTTGCGACACACAAACCTGTTTGATGTTCTGTATACGATATTTCAAGAGATCAGACAGTATGCAGAAGAAGTATGGCTTGCAATTTATGGGACTTGGAAAGCTGAAATTTCCTTTAAAAAAATTTTTAAAAGAAATGATAGAATTAAAATAGGTAAAAAGTTGATGTTCGTTTTTCCTACTCCAGTGTGGTCATTTTTTTTTTCAATGCAGAGCACCAGAGCAGAAAACGTGTCTGAAAATGCGTGTGCTTCTGCGGATACTCTGGTTAAAATCGACGCCGTGCCTACACCCCGAAGACGGGCTCAGTCGGTGACGTCTGCTCTCCTTCCTGGGTACGCGCTTTGATTGAATGAATCCTTCCCCTGCTTCTGGAGGTGTAGTCACAGACGCTGAAATGCTCAGGGGGGCAGCCTGTGCGCACACTTCACTGACACCCCAGGACTCTGTGTCTGGGGGGCAGCCTGTGAGTGCACTTCACTGACACCCCAGGACTCTGTGTTTGGGGGGGCATCCTGTGCGTGCACTTCGCTGACACCCCAGGACTCTGTGTCTGGGGGGGCAGCCTGTAAGTGCACTTCGCTGATACCCCAGGACTCTGGGGGGCAGCCTGTGAGTGCACTCAGTGACACCCCAGGACTCTGTGTTTGGGGGGCAGCCTGTGCGCACACTTCACTGACACCCCAGGACTCTGTGTCTGGGGGGGCAGTCTGTGACACCCCAGGACTCTGTGTGTGGGGGGCAGCCTGTGAGTGCACTCAGTGACACCCCAGGACTCTGTGTTTGGGGGGCATCCTGTGCGTGCACTTCACTGACACCCCAGGATTCTGTGTGTGGAGGGCAGCCTGTGAATGCACTTCACTGACACCCCGGGATCTCCTGTGTCCCTGTGCAGTCCAGACTTGTTCTCTGATGTCTTAGGTCAGTTTGCTTGACTTTTTTTTTTTTTTTTTCTTGAATTTTCTTTTTTTTTTCTTTTTTTGAAAGTGGGTAATATCATTGTTTCCACACTAATATAATCATTTTGCCATGTATCTAGGGTTAGGGGAGTAACAAAGGGGAAAGCCCCACCCTACCTCCCACCCATCCCCGATCCCCAACATGAGGCGCGCTCCAAGGGTCCTGCTCATACAGTTTTGATAGTTCATCAGTTCTGGATTGCTGCCAATCTCTCCGTCCCAACCGTAATGAAACCTATTCAGAGTCTACTGGCTGACAGTCTCTTGATGGTTGGGGTTCCAAGATCAGCAGTTCAGTTCGAGAAATATCCAAAGAAACTTCATCTGAGTTGATCCCAGATCTGATTCTTGAGTGAGTTTGCTAGTACAGACTCCAACACTGTTGTCACACCAATTAGCTTATGCATATGCTGGTCGTTGCGATTGCTGGGTCCGTTCGGCTTCCAGCCCTGTCTTCCTTGTGAACCAATGGGTGTTGTAGTCCAGCTCGATTCTACCCACTTCATACTCGGTCTTCATGCAAACCAGTTGGAGCTACAGCCTAGTTGGGGCGACTCCCCAAAACCCCTACCAGTTCTGCCCCCTACCCTGGTTCCCATGCTTGCCAGTATGCACTGCAGGCTTGTCCAGTCTGTCCCACATCCCAATTAGCTCTCGCACACGTCAATGGACATTGAAGCCTGGTTCAACCCAACCAACCTATTATCCAGCCCATACACCCACTGGCAGGTGCCTTTCTGTCAAGCCACCCCTGCTCCTAGCCTGGGTTTCATGCTGTCCAGTGAGGGTGGTAACCCTGAGGGAGGTGCCCACTATTTCCCTACTAGGCCACACCCACTCCCAGAGTATGCAGTCTCCAGGTAGTTTTGGCATTTGACTTGTCAGAATTGGCTCCTAGTACCAGCCTCTGCCAGTTAACGCTGTGGCTAAGCCCAAACACCCCTCAACCCACTCTAATTTTAACTTGCACCAGTCAGAACAGTCAGCTCACCGTGAGGCCCACAGGTGCTATAGCCCTGCCTAGTCTGAACTGCCCCCATCCGCATTCACACTTTCCAATGGAAGTAGTTATCCAGCAGGGGTGCCCACGTTCCCCTGTTGGCTTTGCCTCCTCCCTGATTGTCACATGTGCTGTTTGTGTGCTGCAGCCACATCTGGTACGGCTCATCTCACCTTGGCATTACTTGTTGTGTACTGGTATGTGTTGCAACCGAACCTGGCTCGGCCCACACTCTGTTCTGGTGCTCGGATTCACCAGAAGGTAATGTGAACAGATTCAGGCTGGTCTGCCCCCAACCCATGCCATGTGTATGCCAGTGGGATAATTTTCATTGCCTGTTCTGGGTTGTTCCCTATTGTGCTTCTTGCGCTTACCTGCATGGGACTGTGTCCTGCCAGAGAAGTTGCCCAGGCTCCTCCACCAGAACCTCTCCCAATGCCAGTTTTCGCGCATACCAGTGGGTCCATGAGCCGGCACTACTCAGTTCGCCTGCTATCCTAGGAGGAACAGTGGCTTTTCCTGCCTGGCCTCCGACCCAAGCTGGTTCTTGTTGTTGGATATTTCAACCCATCCATGGCTCTTCCATACCCCTACCCAGCTCACACATGGTTCAGTAAGGGCTGAGACCTAACCTAGTCTGTCACACAACCCTCCCTGGTCCTCCAGAGCACCAGATGGTGTTGGAATTTGGCCTGGCTTGGTGCTTCCCATCCCAGTCCACAATTGTGCCAAGTGAGATTACGATCGTATCCTGATCAGAATGTAGCCTCAGTTCCAGCCCATGCGCTCCTTGGTGGGAAACTCAACCCAGCTAGGGTGTCCCGTTATTTCCCCAACCGGGCCTCTGCCCTGCCATAGAGCAGGTGTAGGCCGGTGGTTGTTCTGTCTCCGCTTGGCAGAGCCCCTCACTTGTCCTGGCCCCTTGGATGCTGTGGCTTAGTGCCTCTGCCTCACACAGATCAGTATGTGCAAGGACCTACCTGGCATGAGCTGTGCTCCAACCTGATTTCTGTTGTTACTTGTGAGTTAAGGTTTGTTCAGCCCTGCCCATTCTGCCCCCTTCCAGTGGCAGCCCGGCCCACCCCACATCTTGTTTAAAGATGCACATTTGGGTGCTGCTGCCTTGACCTACCCTGACTGTTGTGGATTCCTTTACCCATGAGTGATGGCAGATGGCGTGGTCACACCTAGCTTAGACCATTGCAACCCCAGCTTGGGAACTAACCCGGGGGACTTGTATTCCAAAGGGTTGGGCCCACACAACCCCACAGAGCCTACCCCCAGCCCAAGTTCTCTTGTGTGCTGGAGAGTGTCTTGATCCTGCCAAATGTGACCACTCCACACCTCCAACACTCAGTCGGGCAATGGTACCCAACACTGCCAAAGAGGCCCCCATCCATAGCTTCGGTGTGGGCTAGTATGTGGTGATCAGTGATGTTCTATACTAATATCCCATCTCTGTATTCATAATTGAGCTGTTGCATCTGTCTTACTAAAATTATCTTCTGGACACTTCCCCCAAACCATTAGGTCTTGGTCCCCTTGCCTGCTTAAATCTTTCATGACCCTGTCACTGAGAATACCCGAAAATTCACTTTGCACCTACACTCAACCTAGTCTTAGTCATGAGTGACCCCAGGCAGCAACTACATATCTTGAAAACCCCAGAGTTTGCCCTTCCGGGCGGCCAGCAGGCAATGCCTGGCACCATGTGGTGCACTGGCCGCCCTGGGGGAGGCCGAGGACTCGTTCACTGCCTTGTGGCAGTGTCTTTGGCGTGAGTCCCCCGCATTGGGTCCGACCCGGCAGGGGCACCCCCCACAGTAGCCACACTGCAAGGAGCGTCAGTTGCCCCAGAGCCCAAGGACCGAACTCCTCCCAAACTCCCCCAGCCGCATGGTCTTAGCAGCTGGGCGGAGCTAGGAATTTCCACCCAGTTCCCAAGTTCCCTCATGGCGGACTTACCCTGAGGGAAGAGCTCTCTTGGGTCCTGGGGGAGGCCGAGGACTCGTTCACTGCCTTGTGGCAGTGTCTTTGGCGTGAGTCCCCCCGCATTGGGTCCGACCCGGCAGGGGCACCCCCCACAGTAGCCACACTGCAAGGAGCGTCAGTTGCCCCAGAGCCCAAGGACCGAACTCCTCCCAAACTCCCCCAGCCGCATGGTCTTAGCAGCTGGGCAGAGCTAGGAATTTCCACCCAGTTCCCAAGTTCCCTCATGGCGGACTTACCCTGAGGGAAGAGCTCTCTTGGGTCCTGGGGGAGGCCGAGGACTCGTTCACTGCCTTGTGGCAGTGTCTTTGGCGTGAGTCCCCCGCATTGGGTCCGACCCGGCAGGGGCACCCCCCACAGTAGCCACACTGCAAGGAGCGTCAGTTGCCCCAGAGCCCAAGGACCGAACTCCTCCAGTTTGCTTGACTTTAATGTACTTTATGTATTCTTTGTGGCTGCCTTCCTTGAGCACAATTTCTTCGGCATCCATGTGTATTACTGAATGCATCTGTAGTTTCATTCTGTATGAACATGTCACTTTTTGTTCTCCTAGTTACCGATGTGCATCTTATAATTTGAGGCCAGTCTGAAAGTGGTATGGGTGTAATTATTGGTGCATTTCTGAGGACAAATATTTTCATTTCTTGTTGGATCAATCACAGGATAAACGCGTTTAAGATAAGCTGCGCAGTAGTTTTTGGAAAGTAATTGTTGTTTGTTCCTACCTTCAGTGTGTGAAAATAGATTATTAGGAACTAAAATGTATGTGCTGAGCATTGTGGCACAGTGGACCAATCCACCCCTTGGAATGTCACATCTCATGTTAGCATGATAGTTCAAGTCCCTGCTCCTCTGCTTCTGACTCAGCTCCCTGCCAGTGTGCCGGCGAAGCAGCAAGCCTGGTGCGGGTACTGGGGTTCCTGCGGCCACGTTGGGTATCTGGATGGAGTTCCTTGCTCCTGACCTCAGAGGGAGCCAGCAGATAGAAGATCTCTCTGTCTTTGTCCACCCCTCCAATCACTCTGCCTTTCAAACAAATATTTTACAAATATAATTAAAGATATGAATTTTAATTATGCATTTATCTTTTAAAACTTTATACATTTTTTTGAAGACTTATTTATTTTTATTGGAAAGGTAGATTTACAGAGAAGGAGAGAGAGGAAAAAAGATCTTCCATCTGCTGGTTCACTCCCCAAATGGTCAAAATGGCCAGAGCTCCACCAATCCGAAGCCAGACACCAGGAGCTTCTTCCAGGTCTCCCACACGGGTGCAGGGTCCCAAGGCTTTGGTCCATCCTCTGCTGCTTTCCCAGGCCACAAGCAGGGAAAGTGGCTGGGAAGTGGAGCAGCCAGGATACAAACCAGTGCCCACATGGGATCCTGGTGGATCCAAGGCAAGGATCTAGCCACCAAGCTATCACACTGGGCCCTAAAGTATAAATCTTATAAATCTTATAAAGCTTTTACAGCTTTAATGAAAATACTTATCCCATCCAATGAAAATGTTTCTAGTAATCCTAATTAGCATTTAGGTCTAATTTAATTCTAGAAGAAATCACTTGGGGACAAAATACTCATACATGCCGAATACTTGTTGAATTTAAGATAAATTTTGTCTCTCGTTTTCTCATAGTAGCAAATAACACATTTTGGAAACGGTGATAACCCTTGAAAGAGTATGCTGTGCCCACAGTCCTCTCCATGCCAGCCTTCACCCACTGAGGCTCAGCCGGGTTAGGTATACAGGCCTGCCCTGGCCCTGCTTCTGCGGCCTCCCTTGGAGGAGGAGCCTCGTGAGTCCAGGCGTCGCATTGTAGGGTAGGAAATGAGAAATGTGGCAAACCATGGCAGGGGCAGCTTGGTGTGCGACAGGTGGGAAACACTTCCCTGGCCCTGTTGAGGAGGGTGAGTGGGAATGGCCGTGCGAGGTTTCCAGCAGCAACAAGACTGGGCAGTGGAGATTGTTGGCTCCTGTGGAGCCACATGATGCCCAGAGAGGTTCCGAGCGCAGCTGGAGCCTGGCGCAGTGTGAGGGGAGGTCGCACAAGGATGTGGTCAGATGGGAGGATTGTACCTTCTGCTTAGTATGGACTGACTAGAGATGGGGGAGACTAGATAATGATTACAGGAGTCAGCATCTGTGTTTTCCGTTGTCCAGGAGTAAAACCATCTTAAGAATTATGAAGACAGTGACAGACTTGGAACCTGAGAGAGATCAGGATTTCATGGCAGCTCCCAGCTAATGGCTCTCCAAGACAGGATGGCGAAGAAATGATTGTGTCATGAGTGAATAGTGGAGGTAGAGGAGGGTTTCCTGGCAGAGTGCCCGGGAATGGTTAGGCCACGGGGAGGCCAACCCTTGGAGAGCAGGGACAGACAGTGGGAGCGGGGATGAGACTTCCAGGTGGGCGTGGCTGTAGAAAGGAGCATGGGGGACCCAGAGAGGCCGTTGAAGTTTCTGTCTTCACTAGATGTTGCTAACAGGCTTGCAAAGGAGCTAACAGCGTGGAGCAGCCCAGAACCTCAGTGTGGGGGAGTCCAGGTGAAATGAAGGAGGGTAGACTGTATCAGAGGCAGGAGGCAGGGAGAGGCGCCTCACCCCTCCTTCTGTGCACGAGTGGCCCTGCAGTGGACAAGGGGCCGTGACGGAACTATTTCTTTAAGATAAATTGTGAGACAAAACACAGATTGCAGCAATACTGCATCATTTAACATGTAAAAGCACTTTACATTTAAATGGTTAACCTTTACCCCTATTGCCTGAGCAGGCAGCCTGATACGACCCACCGTGGGGTCTATGCCCCAGAAGACGCGTATGAATTTCTGCCAACCAGAGTTGGAGAATCAAGAACAATAAAAGTCAATTTACGAAATAATTCTTTTATTACACACTCGGTAAGTTGGAAACAAAAATGTGGGTTTTGGGAAAAATCGGCACAATCAGTTGGTATTGCTGTGTAACCTTTGGTACACAGAAGTGTTGTCTAGTTTAAGTTGTAATAATGTGTTAATTTTCAAGTGCTCTAATACTGTTTTTGACAACAAACTCATTAAAAGTTCATGATCTTGTGCCTGAAACATTTTTCATACATGTTTTTGAACTTTTTTCCTCTCCATTTTCTGAACTTTTAGACATATTTCCAGATAATGCTTACTTTAGTCAAAATCAGAACGAATTTATGTTAAAAATCCCTTTAATGTATTTTCCTTACGTGAGCGATTGTTCTTACTTAGTTTTGTGACTGTATTTAAATTTATAAAAATATGTGTAAAGAAATGCATGTAGTATTTTTTTTTTGTTTTACATATTACTGTGTCCAGTTTGCGTGGCTTCATAAAGTATTTCTTGTTAAATTCCAGCTGAAGTTTTTAAGTCCCAGAGACCCATTCTACATCAAACATTCCAAATATTCTTTGAGGTGAGTTTACTGTCAATGTTATCATCCGTGGGCAGGATTGATCTCTTGGGAGTGTGAGCTGGGAGTCTGCTCTGTTGCATGCGACAGCCTTCCCCCGTTGTTCACATCCTTAGCTTCTGTAAGCCTGGGCATTCTGGCCAGTCACCAAGGAGGTTAAGGAGTCTGCGGGAAATAGTCCCTGTGCATCCGGAGTGGCTCTGACAGGGTCCTCCCCTGGTGTTTGCACCTAGCGTGTGATTTTTTTCAGACACATCAATTATCTAGTGACTAACTTCTAGAATAACCCCTACATCCCATGTTATTTTCCCTGGAATGTTAATAATGAGCATTTAATTTTTTCACTAATGGAGACGAAAACTTTGCCACGTTCATTGGAAAAATTTTGTTGTTTTTCGCAGTCGGTAGTCTTAAAAAAACCATGTATTGTTCATATGGGTCTGTTTTTTTATCCTTGCTAATTTCCTCTTTGTGATGAACGCTTAGTTTGAAATCTTAAGCTGGGTTGTTACTGTTACTTAGAATTTGACAGTGGGATTCTGTTGGGCTGCACGCTGAAGATTTTTAACTTCATTTTTGATCATTTAAACCCTTTAATGACTGTAAGATCTGACACGTTAGCATTAGGAGACTAGCCTAGAAACATGGTCTAGTCTGAAAATTTGGACTGCTCTGCAAACTGCTAATGACTGACGCATAGCTTCTCTGGAGGCTGGGAAGTTGCCCTGATGGAGAGCCTTCTGTCTCCTCCTGCTGCTGGGGACTGTCGAGCACATCGCCGGAGGACACGACCTCCTTTTGTTCCCAGGAGACTGACCGAAAGGCACGGAGTGTAAATTCAACAAGGAGTTTCTCTAGAAACCTGTCGTCCCTTTAGCCTCCCTGAGCCTCGTTTTCCCTGTGTCTGAAGTGGAGGTGCTGCTGGTGCTGACAGCTGGGACTCCTGGGGGGCGTGCGAGATGTGCGCCGTCTGATGTTCTGATATCCAGACGTGGTAGCAGATCCTGACGCTCGCCGTCTTCCTGAGCTCCCGGGAGGCTGGTCTGCATTGCCGGTTTCCTCAGCACTGTAGATTGTGGCAGAAATCCGTGTCATATCAGTGCTTCTTGTTTTAGTCCCTTTAATAACAGCTGTGTAGAAAGGAAATTACCGACTTTGAAAAACAACGAAATCAGATTTTCTGACTAATGTGGTCCCAGTTCTAGTTTGACAGTAGTCAGTGGCTCTCTCCAGTGGGTGCGGGATTCCACATGATTGAGACTCACTGATGATGTCACATGGGCAGCACGCAAAGTGTATGTGGTCTCATGCACCGTAGCAATCAAGTTATTTTGTCTTTCTGAACAAAATAAAGCCCCCATTGGGTATTTTGGTGCAGTGGGTTAAACTACTACTTGGATGCCTGTGTCCTAAATTAGAGCGTTGGTTCAAATCCCAGCTGCTACTCTTTCAGTCCAGCTTCTCTCGTGGGAAAGCAGCAGACGGTGACCCTGGTATCTGAGTACTGGTCACCTGTGTCCGAGACAGGATGGAGTTACTGCTTCTGGCTCAGCCCCAGCTGCTGCAGGCATTGGAAAAATGAACCAGAAGACGAAAGATAATATTCTGTCTCTCCTCCCTCCTCTCCGTCTCTGCCTCTCTGCTTTATGACACAATCAGGATTTTTTAAGCCTCCAAGATAGATTTTTTTTTTTTAACAAGGCAGTCATTAATTGACTCTATATAATCTGAATGTAAAAATTCAGGAAGATTTTCAAGGAAAGTTTTCTGAATTTTCAAGAAAAACATCGTTAATGACAGAAATGCAACATGTGTTAATGTTCTTTGCTGTGGAGCAAATGAAGTGGGGATATTTGGAGCATTCTAAAACCTTCTGTCATATACATGCCACCTGCTTTTTGCAGATAAAATACAGTTCTCTGTGTGAAGGGGGGTGAGCCTCTTATTTCCCTTTTTCTGTTTTTATTAGATAGCAAGAAATATATGTGTATACATATATGTGTATATATATACATTAATCAGATGTTAGGTTTTTCTCCCCTTGGTGCCACTTCTTACTAAAGAATGCCATCAAAGACGTAGAAATAAATGTGAGCAGCCCACTAGCAGGCCGGTACCCTCGTCTAACCCTGTGCCAGCCACTGAGCAGACTGGGCGTCGCTTGCTGCTGCCGTGTCACCTGCCGCCTTCTCTCTGTTTCAGAGCCCGGCATTACATCCACATCCCTGTGCACTTCAAGCCAAAGTCGGCAGGCAAGTTTAAAGGGCTGCTCGTCATCCAGACAGACGAAGGCAGGAGCATTGCCGTTCAGCTGTTCGGTGAAGCCCTTGGAAAAGATTAACCAGAATACACTTTGTGGAAAGTCAATTTTGCAACTTATGTTTTGGTAACTTTCATTTTTCTACACTACAGTGATGCTGTTGTATTTATTTTGTATGATAAATTGGCTGATTTGTTTTGTTTTGAGAATCTAATACTGAAAACCTAATATATCATGTAATTAGTCTAAGTAATTAACTTTTACAGGAAAGAATTATATTTTTGCATTATGATATTGTGAATAAATATTGTATATATGTTTTAATGCAGTATATCCAGAAATAAACTTTATTTTCCACTGCACTTATCTGTTTTTATGTGATGTCATAGAAAAGTTAGAATATCACCTATGACGTTATTTTCCGTCTTGCTAGTTAGATGCAAGCTGTTCTGTGGGGTTTTCCCTCCATGACGTTTTCCTTTACTTCGAGAAATTCTCCGTAGCTGGTCACGTCGAGTGAAAGGACAGCTTTGTCAGTTTTTCTCCAGGGCAAGTCTTCATATCCTGTGCAGAAGCTAGGAAGAGACCCATAGGTCTTTGAACGTTGCTGTTTTTTTTCATTCGAGCTGGACAGAACTTTGCACCTGAGTCCAACAGAGAAGGGTCCTGTGCCAGTCAGTGAAAGAGAGGGACATGGCTGAGGAGAGAGGGGAGTGGCCTGCAGGGGGCGTGAAGCCACGGCAAGACATGAGCTAAAGACAGCCTAGGGTTCCAGGCAGAGAAGCCCTCCACAGAGCAGGGCACGGCGAGCAGTTGCTTCCTTGACATGAGTGGTGAGCCTTGGGAGAGTTTTCTGAGCCCATGGCCTTCTCGCAGGAAGCGGTGCCATCCCAGGTTCTGAGCACTGTGCAGTGGCTAGTGGCTTCTGGGGATCGTGCTTGCCTCATCAACTGTACCTCTGGGAGCCGTGTCCCTCTGCCATTCCTTCCTCCCACCTCCCCACCCCCCGGGCATTTCTAGTTCACCTCTTCCGAGTTCCAGACCCTGTCCAGCTGCTCATGGCCATGTGGTTGTAGAGTAGGCACCTCTCGACTCCTGTCTGCCTCCAACTTCCATCTGGATTTCCTTGCCTCAGTAGATGTCACTTACCAGTACCCTAAATTTTGGTATCTTTTAAACCATCACCCCATATCAATTTTCTCGAAAATGTATCAAGAACAAATCCCACAGCCTAGACCTCGGTAATCTCTCTGTGTTACCCCGCTGCTTGCTCTGAGCTATGGGATGCCTCTCCACTCATCGGTGGAGGTTCATCTTTAATACCCGTGCTCCCTGCTCGTGCATCAGTAGAATTACCTTGACTGTTCTGAAGCCCAGACTCCTCCCTGCACAGGGAAATCTTACATCTTCTGGCCTTGGCTGCCATCTGACCACCTCCCACCCCTGACCACCAGCCAGCCCCTCACTCCTCACATCACACTAGCTTATTTGCACTCAGTCCTCCTCTTCCCCTGATGCCGCTGTGTGTTTGTGGTTGCTGGGTGACAGTCTCCCTCCTGTAGAATGTGAGCTGAGAGGCCACAGTTCTGGCCCTGCATGCCCTTCAGGCATTCTTACATCTGGATGTGCCTCCCATGCATAGGGATTGCTACCATTTCTTAATGCACGCCTGCCCCATAGGGTTCTCCGTCTGCTGCCCCAGCTGTCAACCTCTCCCCATTCCCCATAAATACAGAAAGCCCTTGGATCATGATTCTGGAGCTTCAAATTCAAGATCAGGTGGGCGCATTGCTTTGACATCTGTATAGAGGGCAACAGATGGCAGTGGCAAATTGTGTGCAAGAAAGATCAAATGGTCAGGGAGCCAGGCAGCAGAGGAAACAGCTGGGTCTGACTCACCCAAGAACTGTCCAACGACACAACGCCAGTGACCCGAGGACCTCCCACCAGGCCCACGCCCTGTGACCCCGGTGACCTGAGGACCTCCCACCAGGCCCATGCCCTGCAACCCTGGTGACCAGATCCATGTTGTCTCCATCCTTCTAGCACCATTATCTTACAACTGCATGAATTCAGGAGCCAAATCTATTTCATCATCACAGCTACTTCTAAGATAATCTACAGTGTTCATGGCCTTGTTCTGTCCCCTCCCCTGGAATAACTTGTTGCTGCTGGTACAATGCCTCCACGACGATGAAGGTGTCACTAACAGAGACACTTGCCTCTTGCTGCCTTCAATGAAGCGAAGCGTTGAGGATGCCTCTCACCAGCAGCTGGCTACAAACTGGAGCCCTCAGCTGGAAGTGAATGCTCCGTCAGGCCTTCAGGTGAGACCCTCGGTGGAGCCCTCAGCTGGAAGTGAGTGCTCCGTCAGGAAGTGGGTGCTCATGACAGTCCCCACAGTACAGGACCCAGGTCACTGGGATTTGTAATGAAGCAATAAATAGCAAGGGCCCTGAGAAGCCAGCATCCCGTATGGGTGGTACTGGCTCAAGTCCCAGCTGCTCTACTTCTCATCCAGCTGCCTCTGACTGTAATTGGGAAAGCAAATTAGTCTTTTTTTCAGAATTATTTTTATTTGAAGTCTGAGTGACAGAGAGAAATAGAGAAAATCTCCCATTCGCTGGTTCATTCCCCAAGTGGCTTCAACAGACAGAGCTGGGCACATCTGAATCCAGGAGCCCTCTTCAAGGTCTCCAATATTGGGTGCAGCGGCCAAGGACTTCAAGCATCTGCTGGTTTCCCAAGGTGTAACAAGGGAGCTGGATTGGAAGTGGAGTAGCCGGGAAATGAACCAGCACCCGTGTGGGATGCTGGTGCTTCGGTGGAAGTTTACCCTACTACGCCATGGTGCAAGCCCCCAAAACTCTTAATGGACATGCCCCTTTTGTTGCATCTTGCTAAAAGTTCTCATTCTTTGCGTACTTCAAAAGCGAGGCATATTGAGACAAAGAATCCTGTGCATTCGTTTTCAGTTACTGATTTATAAGATGACGAACCTTTGGGCTTGTTCAACACTAAATGAAGCAACAGGAATAAAATATGTGACATAGGCCTGACACAATGGCTCAGTTCGCTAATCCTCCACTCTCAAGCACTGGAGTCCCATGTTAGGTGCCGGTTCGTGTCCTGGCTGCTTTACTTCCCAGCCAGCTTCCTGCCCATTGCGGCCTTTTGGGGAGTGAACCAGCAAATGGAAGATCTTTCTATCTTTCTCCATAAATCTGCCTTTCCTTCAAAAATAAATACATCTTTCGAAGAGTAAATGACACTTCTCGTGTGGTCCTTGAGGTTTGTCTTACCTAGGCAGGAGGGACGGTGGGTGCTGGTGTGGGCTCACTGGTGACTCAGCACCCTCCGAGCATCCATGTCGATGCTGTGCGGTCCTACCCTGGACAACTATGGTGCTGAGGTGAGGGGCTGAGTGGGCAATGCTGCTCTCATTGTCCCGCCCTCAGCAGGATGTGTGAAGAGCTTGCTCAAGTCTAGAACAGCCTGAGGCGTACTCAAGATAGCCAGACTGGGTAGGCTTGGTGGGATTTCAGACAGGGCAGGATGCTCCCAGCTGCTGTGGGTTGTAGTTGCTGCTTCTCACCTTCAGTCTAACCTGAAGAGCTGTCCTTCTGGCTGCTCAGTGGCAGACAAGGCACCCAGTTGCCCTGTGGTCCGCATGAGAGACAGGCTGACTGCTCAACTGTGAAATAGGGCACGGAATTCTCCGAGTGGATTCAGTGTGTGTCTCAAGATGTGGCTAGTGTGGACGTGAAGGACAGGGGTTTGGGAAGGGCACTGGGAGCTGGCCTTGCCATGGCAGTTTTGCGGAGGGTACCTCTGGCTCAGCATAGCATCTTTATTTCTAGTTTGAGAAGTGGAACAGCTTGTGGGGCGGGGACAGCCTTTATGAAGACGTTCAGAGAGGTTGGTTTGCTGTGCGAGAGCCAGGCTTGTCCTCACCCTGTCCATCCTCAGTCATATTCCGCTTTCCTTCATTCTCATGGCATGTCCCTCTAGTCTCCTGGGGTACCCCAGCGCCTCCTCCCTCTCACTTTCTGGTACGATGCTGGGCCCTTAGGGAAGACTGCCCATTTGAGTAATGATGGGGGGGCGGGTGGTGCAGGTGATTCAGGCTCTGTTCTCAGAAGCTTCTGCACCTGCGAGAGTCCAGCCCCTGCGGTTTTGTAAATGCACGGATGTGCCATCCACTGCAGCTCCCGTGTCTTTAGTCCAGACACATGGTCTGAATGTACACGCGGCATAATCTAGGACACTCCCTTAGCGTAATTCTTCAATCTAAAAGCAAAGCAGGCTCGCGAACAGGCCCCCGGAGCACGGGAGTCAGGCCTGTCGCCCACAGCTGCCCATAGCGTCCCGCGGTCACAGACGCGTGAGATCTGCAGTGCGTGTGAGGCTGATGTCTCACCCTTCTCAGGCAGCAAGTTAGGAGCGAGAATTCACGTTTGGTGACGTAGCAGGGCACTGCCTGTGTGACAAATCGGAGCACCCAGGTAGGGGACGAGGCTGCGGTACTGGGTGGGGACGCCCCACAAGTGTGGGGTGACGGCGGCTGCCCGCACTCCTTGCACATGGCCTACACCTGCACCTGCCTCTGTCTCTATCTGCTTAGAGGGCCTTTCATGTATCCAGAGCTGCCCCTTTTTAAAGAGAAACCCTTATGTGTATCACATCGTTAGCAGGATTTTACCTGTCTTTGTGGCTGGCTCAGTTTTACAAAAATTCATCTAATGATCGTTTCTCACGGCTTCAGTTCCAAGGTTGCAGAGGCTGGAAGAAATCTGCCCCACACACCCTTGTCCTGGAGTTTAGTGGGAGAGTTGGGTCAGTAAGAATGCATTGTTTTGCATTTGAGTCAAGCCTCCTGTGCACTGAGATGATCAGAGCCTGCTCGGGCAATCAAGAGTTTGGAGATAAACCTGAGAGAATGGAAGCAGGGGAGGCTGCTTGGCAAGCTCTTGTTTGGTTTCAGGAGGGGTTGGAATGTGCTTTTAGTTAAGGTTTAAACAAGACAGATCTGTGCCATGCTTAGATCCGAGAGGGCCCGGCGCAGTAGCCTAGTGGCTAAAGTCCTCGCCTTGCGCACACTGGGATTCCATGATGGAGCTGGTTCTAATCCCGTTAGCCCTGCTTCCCATCCAGCTCCCTGCTTGTGGCCTGGGAAAGCAGTAGAGGACGGCCCAAAGCCTTGGGACCCTGCACCTGTGTGGGAGACCCGGAAGATGCTCCTGGCTCCTGGCTTCGGATTGGCTCAACTCCAGCTGCTGCGGTCACTTGGGGAATGAATCTACAGACAGAAGATCTTCCTCTCTGTGTCTCCTCTCTGTATATCTGACTTTGCAATAA